GCCTTTCCGCGTGCAGGATACCAGTGAGGATCTTGACGTAGCCCTCCGCGACTTCTGCCTTGGTGATGCTCACACGGTCTCCCCGACCCAACCTCCTCTCGCTGTAGTGCTCCTTCGACGCAAGGGGCACGGCATGCGCCTAGTGATTCGCATCTCCCATGCCCAGTATGACGGCATTTGCCTCCCTACCATTGTTCAGTCATTCATGGGCGGCAATAATGTGGCAAACCCTGCGCCCCCGACGTTCTCCACGTTCCTGTCGTATGCCTCCCGTCGACGCTCCCAGTCTCTGTCTTACTGGACAGAGCTGCTACGAGGGTCCCAGCCGAATGGTCTACGCAAACAGCTTCTTGCGCAGAGAGCTCTTGAGAAGCCGCAGCTAAAGGCAATTCATCTTCGCGCAGAGACAAAGCTCCCCCGCCTTCCCAACAAGATCACCCCAGCAACTCTAGCGAGCGCTGCATGGGCGCTTCTCCTATCCCGCTTGACAGGCCAAGACGACGTCGTCTACGGACACCTGGTGGCAGGCCGCAACTCGGCAATTCCAGGCGTCGAGGAGATTGTCGGGTGCTGCCTTGACTATATCCCCGTACGAGTGAAGCAGCTCACATCGTCGTCTCAGACGCCAGCTGGCCTGCTGCGATCCGTTCAGGAGCAGTTCCTCGCCGTCGGGGAAGCAGACTCCCTTGGCTACAAGGAGATCATACAGAACTGCACCGCCTGGCCCGCCTCCACAGGGTCAGCCTTTTTTGAGTCGACGATCCAACACCAAAACATTGACGAGCACCCAGATATTCGAGTTCCTGGTGGTGGCACATCGCGCGTGCAGTTTTTCCAAAACCCACATCTCGTGCCCATGTCCATACACATGGTCTCGTACACCCAAGGCGAAAGGTTCTTCCTCGAGCTCGCGAGCAATACTCACATCATGGCCGTGGAGACGGCTCGTGCGATGGTCGACGGAATGGTTCGAATTGTTCGGAAACTGGATACTGACATGAGCACACCACTGTCCTCGTGGACTAAGGACATTTGTTTAGTTGACTGAGCAGGTCACTTTATGATGGCGGTGGCTTAATGATGGGGTAGAATCAAAGCAAATTATCATGAGTTACAATCCAAACGTTGCAAAGCGCTGAATTGCTATATCCTTTCTTACTTAGAACGTAGTTGATAAGCTTTCCAAAACAATATGCCTGCTAAAGAACCCTATGCCAGGATTCTTAGAAAGTTCAGGCATGGTTCACCCCTGTACGGAGTACGATTGGCATAAAATGGATTCGACACTTAGTTTGTACACAGCTTCCTGCGTAAAGGGTGCCTCAGCTTGCCTACTTTATGAAAATAGCCCAAAGCATTTTATTTTCTATCTAATACTTTTAACACGGCTTCCTCATACTCTCCTTTCGTCCTTATTCCGCACGGAATGCATATCGTGGAGAAAGTTCTAATATATTTTTAAAAGCATGCTGATCCTGCGGGTGGAAGGAAACAAAGTGCAGGGTATCCTCAGAATTCAGGCTATTAAGTAGCCCAAAAAAGGAAAAATAAAGTAAGTCTGCACGCAGATAGTAATATTATTTATTTACCTGCAACATTAGGCAAATTCGGCCGAATAGTAGCTCTCATAGCCATCAATAAATCACATCCCATAGGCTCCCAAGAGGATGTAGTCTGTTTATTTCAAGTACTTACAGACAGCTTTGAAATCTAGCATTCACCAGACAGGTCGCTATATTGGCCAGAGTAACAAAGCTTCTCGGAGAATTCGGTAGGATTGAAAGGGGCATGGGAGCTCCTACGTGTTTTATAGCAAAGATGCTATGGCAATAGCATTTTGTCAGAGCTGATGGCGAGCTGTGCATGCTATCACCACTGAAGCTTCGGCGGGTAGTAGCCATAGTAAACCCGTCACTGGGAAGGGATTCAGAGCTTAAGTAATCAGGCTGGAAAATTAGTGGGCGGCTGGTTATCATATCTATGTGGCCGTCCATATCATCCTGTTCAGAAGCATATGATACCAATTTCTTTGTGCTATGGATGATTAACCTGGTAGTTGGGATGATCCACATTAAGTGTTGACTGTTACCTATTTGGCCCATAGGCTTTATCAAAGCTATCTTACTAGTACTACTCTGGAACTGCATAGATAACCTAAGTAGGTTTAATATAGCAGGTGGAAGAGAATTAATTCACAGGAGCTGGGTGCTTCTATTACTTATGCGAATCTTTAATAAGTTAATTAATCTATTCATGATGGTAGTTAGTGCTTGTGCCTCTAGCGATATAGTATCACTAAATAGGAGGAAGCATGTACTTAGGAATACATGCATAAGCTGTTAAGAAAGCTGTCATCTTACAATCCAACAAGTAGAGGATAGTATATATAGCGGACTTAAAGCACCTAGCTAACCCTTCAGACTGCTCAATGCATTGTCAAAATAGAGTAGAGCTGGACGGCAACTGAAAACGTATAAAATAGCAACATTGCTAAATATTCTAAACACCCACAGAACACACGATTCGCTATATACAACTCCAGCAGAATCCCAAACCCAAGGGAAATACTATACTACTCAGTCAACCGCACCCTAGTCGGCAACCCCAGCGACGGCTTAGCCGTGACGTCCAAAACCTGATACATGAACGTTCCGTCCTTATAAACAATCTCAAAATCAAACGTTCGCACCGTCATCACCAAGGCAATCTTCAACTGCATCAACGCCAACGTCTGGCCCAGACACATCCGCGGTCCCTTCTCGAATGGTCTCCATGCTTTGGCCGGGACAAAGTATGGATCCGAGGGGTCAGTAACGAGGTGCCGCTCGGGGTAGAACCTCTCTGCGTCCTTGAAGAGATCTTCGCGGCGCATGGTCGCGCAGTTGTTGACGAGGACGGCGAAGGGATATGTGGGCCATTCTTTGCCGTCTGCGAGGAGGGTTTGATCTGGTTGGCCGCGGCGGAGGCTGACGCCTGTTGGAGGCCAGAGGCGGAGGGCTTCCTTGATGACGGCGAGAGTGTATGGGAGATTGTTGACGAGGCTGGGGTCATTGCGGAGGAGGTTTGCCGCGGCCGAGGGATCAGTGCCGAAGAGGGTGGTGTGTTCTTCTCGGAGGGTGTGGAGGACTTGGGGGTGTTTGCTTAGGGCGGCGTATGTATACTGACTCTGTTAGTTGTGCTGAATAGAGGCTGCGAAGGACTTACGCAGAGGGTGCTAGCTGAGGTGTCGTGACCAGCGAAGATGAGCGTCTTGACGGACGCGATGAGCATGTCTCGCGTATATTTATCCAAGGCGGTGGTAGGGGGGATAGACTTGTTGAGTGTGCGGCTGGTAGCAATGGCGTCGTCGATGGCGTAGTATCTGGCCTTTTCGCTTGGAACAGCAGTTGGGCCACTGACGACTCGTTTGTCTACTAGACGACCGACGTACCGGTCTAGAGCACGTCCGTTGCTCCACTTTTGATAGTGTCGACGGGGGCTGACGTCGTAGAGATACCGAGACCAGAAGTCCTGAGGGGCCAGGGCTGCCTGTTTTCGGAACAGTTCGAGGAATTCATCGTCACCTCGCTGCGCGTTGCACTTGATTCCCCTATTCTCTGTCAGTTGATGCTTTATCCGGGACAAGGACGTGTAGCTTACAAGATCACCCAGGCCGAGATATTGAATATCATCCTCGCACCAAGGTCTTCCATTTTGAAGATGTCATCCTTCAGCGCATGTTCTCTTAGAACATCAGCAAAAGCCAGCGCCTCATCCACAATATTCGGAACATGCTGCAGCAACTTCCGCGGCTGGAAGCCCGGTGTGAAAGACTTGCGCGCAATGAACCAGTCATGTCCATTCGCAGAGACCATAGATTTCTCGCCAAGGATAGGGCCGGTCCACTTCTGCATGACGGCCGACTCCTTGGGGAGATTCATCTTGTGGACGATCTGCGTCGCCAGTTCCGGATGGGCGATGACGAGCTGCGGCGGCGCCAGCGGCCACAGATCAAGGTAGAAGAAATCACCGAGACCGTACCGCTGGCGCATCAAGTGCGCGAACAGCTGCGGGGTTGCATCGGGGGGTAGAGTGCTTGCGATCTCTCGCATGACTAAAAAGTGACCCCAGATAGCGTGATGCGGCGGCCCAGGGAGATTTTTGAACATGCTGCGTTGCTGGCGCAGCCTGACGAGGAAGTAGCTCGCGAGAGCGACTAGGACGAGAAGTAGAGCGAGCATGGTTGTATTCGGATGTGGAGGACGAGGAGGCGTCGCTGGTGGAGTAGATGCAGAGTTGGAGTGGTGAAGAGACGACGAGGTAGGCCAGGTATTCAGCTTCAAGCATACTGGTGAGTACGATTCTGTTTGGTTTGTTGTGCTAAGATGAGTCTGTTGAGCTCTTATATATTTGTTCTCATGTGGTCAAGGCGGATTCTGTGATGGTTGTGTTGTGAGGTTGAATCTATTTCTGGCTTCTTGGGACCAAGTTCCCGTATACTTACGGAGGCTGGCAGGATGCAGATCCTCTGAACATAACCCTGCAAGGCTGAAACACCAGGCTTGGCAGACTATTGCTTGGTATTCCTGGCAGTGCTTCTTTTGAGTGGGGATTCTTCATTAAATCTTAACTACGAGATTAGGGCTGTGCAGGATCGCCCCCACTCCTTATCACACTGCATGTGTCTTAGTATACGGTACAATCCACGTGTCTTTGTAGATGGTATGGATCAGCACACTGCATCTTTGCCAGATCATTGCTCAGAATCCTTCAGGATGTCTGATATGTGATCAATCTTGCCTTGCATCTGCGAGATGTGTTACATGGGGGCCATGGGGCCGCAGGGTCGATCTCATGCTTCTAAAAGAACCAATAATAGTCGTGGCATCTCAATGGCAATGATTAAAGCTTTCTGTAGTTATAGTTCTTTACCGTCCTTTCAATAACACTAGACTAGAAATTCATCCAGAACCCCATCAACTTCTATCGTCACCCATCTGCTTGACCATTCCAAGCTCACCATGTTCGCCCTACGAGACGCAATCTACCTGATCGAACTGGCATTCTATGCCCCTATTGTTCCTGCTATTATTTTCGTTATCCTTCTGCACGGCAACAAGCACCCCTATACATGGCGTCCGATCGTGATTCCCCTCATCATTCTCTCCGGCTTGCGAATCGTCGCCGCCGGACTCGGCCTAGCAGCCATGGACCCGGCAAAATCCGATCTCCTAACAACAGCCACCCTCCTAGACACGATAGGCCTCGCACCAGTCCTATGTCTCTTGATAGGCCTTCTAATCCGAGCGTAAGTGGCCTCCTCGGCTCGACACATCTTCTAACGCCAATTGCAGCAACGCCCCCGTATACAAAGGCCTGCCTCTCTGGGTCTTCATCCCGTTGCAGCTGATTACCATAGCGGCCACGGTGATGACTGCATACGGCGGCCGAGACCTCTACACAAGCCGTGAGAGTCAAGCGCAAGACCTCCGCTTGATGCGCGCCGGCATCATTCTCTTCATCGCCCTCTTCGCGGGCATCATTGTGCTGTCGGTCATCACTATGCTGAAGGTCCGGGTAAAGTTCTACCGCACCGAACGCGCGGCTGTCGTTTGTGCTTTACTCTGTGTGCCCTTTATGAGTGTCCGGTTGGCTTTCTCGGCTGGATCGTTGTTCTCGGGGGAGGGATCCGTGTTGAATCCAATGTCCGGGGATGAGACGGGGACTTGGCTGCATTTCCTCATGGTAATTGTTATGGAGTATATTGTTACGCTTTCTGCCACGGCTGTTGCTCTGACTGCGAGAAAGGTGATGGTTCTGACTGCGGGAAGGGCTGATTCTCTTAAAGATGAGGAGATCTGAGATATATTGTTGATGTTGGTTCATAGGCGGATGGGTGTCTGGTGATAAGTTTATCATTCTATTGCGGATTGTTTGTCTGTTTACTTTGCTTAGAATCACTTATTCGATCTCATCTTTTTGAATTTACTTTATGTTCCGCTATATGATGTTTTTCTGTATGTGTAATCTTGTTCCTACTTAGAGTAAAGTAAATGTCTTTGGTAACTCCTCTTGCCCTATGTCTCATAGTGTCATAACATATATTTACATGATGCGCCGATGAACAATCTCAATGCAATGATATAATTCATCCAATCTAACTACATGTGATGTATCTGGGAGGTCTCCGAGTGCAGAGAGTGATAAGTTGACATACGCTTCTTTCCTTGTGTACGAGCATACATGGTCGATGGCGACAAAAAGTTCTCTGCGCCTGTAGGGTGAATATGGGGGTAGCCAAAATGGCTACTGCTAGAAGGCCTACCCAAGGCATACCTACATGAGACAAACATTCGAATGTATAAAGCTTCTAATTCCGCCTCACACCTCGCAGAACCTCAATACGACGAAAATGTAACATTAATTTTGTCTAATATTAGACACGACACTTATTCGTCACTAGATACGAAGCAAGTTGCCCCTGATACCATCTTTCGATGGCGACTAAAGTTTAGCGGCAGAGGAGAGGGGCAGAGGGTGATGCAGCCTCGTTCACAGTGTCTCTGGGCTTTTGGCCCCATGGGGGTTGACTGCAACTCCAGCCTGCAATATTCTAGCCTTGATTATCTGCACGACGAGGCACTTTCATATCAGAAGTAGACCCTGATGTTGCATGGTTTTACTGTGAACTGCCCCAAGCTGAAAACCCACGTGGGGATGTTTCACCACTGGGTCCAAATCCTTCATGCAGAGCCTCGTGTGGATTCCAAGGAGGGATGTGCTGGGAGGCGCAAGGTGCACCAGGGGCTAAAATCATCTGGATTAAGGTTATTAATTCAGGACGCCTCGTGTTGGGGCTGTTCTTGGCTGGAAAGAGTCAAGATCGTCAAGATCACTTGGCGATGCTTATTGGTTTGGCAACGGCCCCAACTACCTCATGTCAGATTGGATTTTATTCAGGGCGATCCAAGTAGCATGTAGGCTAGTTTTGTTGGATTGTTGGACTGTTAGTCTATTGGTGGCTGTGTTCGTTTTGTGGGTTCTCTGATGGGGGCCATATCACATTGCTATACTCAACTTCCTATGGTCGAAAGTCTACTAATACGCACTCAATGCGCGTCAAGCCGATCACTTCTTCATCAGCCCTCGTCTAAACTACTCTACAACACATCTCACAATGGAAACCACAAAACTGCAAATGGACATGCACAAGTCCAACTCCTGGCTCTACTACAAGCTCAGCATCCATACCCTCGGGCTAGTCCTTCGGTCCGGCATCTCAATCACCAGCCCCGACCCCAAAGCAGACGCAAAACTCCAAGTCACCTCAGGCGTACACCATGGAGGAACCATCAAAGTCATCGTGGTACGTCAACCCAGCAACACGATTGGAAAGTAACTAACAATCCAGGCCGGCCTCCCCCGCACGGGCACAATCAGCATGAAGCGCGCCCTCGAAGAACTAGGCTACGGCCCGTGCTTCCACCTCGCCGAACCCCTCTGCCAATTTGACAACCTCCGCCAAAGCGCCGCCATCGTGCACACAAAAGACACGGCCCTCCGGCGGCGCAAGCTCGCCAAACTCCTCCAAGGCAGCGAGGTCACCCTCGAGGTCCCCGGCAGCGCATGTCTACCCGACCTACTAGAAATGTACCCCGACGCCAAAGTGATCCTAACAGAACGCACCTCCGCAGCCGTCTGGCTGAGCTCCTGGCGCGGGTTCGGGATCGATCTGCGCTCCGACTGCTTCCGCTGGATCGGATACTGGGTTCCTGGCGTTGTGGCAGCGAACGATCTCTACCGCGGGTGGATGCAGCTTGCGTCTGAGCGGTTCGGGGTAGAGGCCGAGCCGTCGGAGGAGCTGTACCATGCGCACAGTGCGTGGGTGAAGAGTATCGTGCCAAGGGAGAGGTTGCTGGTCTTCAAGTGTCAGGATGGGTGGGGTCCTCTGTGTGAGTTTCTGGGGAGGCAGAGGCCGAATCCCTTCCCGCATGGCAATGAGGCGGGTTATTTGAGGTATTACAAGCGGGTGGCGATGGTGTTGGGAATTTTCCTGTGGCTGGTCGTTCTTGCGATGGCTGTTTTGTCGTTGTTTGTAATGTCTTTGGTGGAGTAGATTTGCTGGTGCTCTGCTTTTGTTTTTAAGCCTTTATACCTTGGTGTTTTGTGGAGCATGTATGTTGGATTTATTTATACTCGCCTTGCCAATTCTTTAGACCAACAACGTCCAATGTTTATATGTTGTTACCATGGAACAAATGGCCGACTGGCAAGACGTGGTAGACTACAGCGTAGCCTGTACTTTTCTGGAGATTATATAGAAACACTACCGTAAGGATATACCAGACGACGGTCCATCATTGAAGCGAGATGTCATAAACTGCGAAGGAATATTTACAACCAGATCAAAGAAGTGCAGCAACCGCGGCCGCAACAACAGGAGCAGCCGTGATCAACGCCCCCGCAGGCCCAGCAGCAGCAACACCAGGCGTCTTCGTCGCCTCGGGGGCAGTAAACTTGTCCACTCCCGCCGTGACAACCAACTCATAGTACGAGCTCGTCGCTGGCGAATACGTCGCGCTACTCGACGTCGACGACGCAATCGTAGCACCACCCACCGACCCCGTCATGCCAACACTCATCGTGCAACTGGCGGACTCAGTGCGGGACCGAATCTTGCACTCGTACGACTGCGTGACGGTGACATCGTAGCTGGTTTCCTTGCCTGACGTCGAGGCGGTGTACACGCCTGTCACGCTGACTGTCTCTGGGCCTTGGATGATCGTCCAGGAGTTCTTGATGTTGCAGTCGGTCTTCGGGGCGTCTTTCAGACAGCCCAGGTTGTAGGTTGTTGCGGCGGCGTTGATTCCTGCGACGCTGGCGCCAGTGCTAGTCCAGGCGCCGTAGCTTAACAGGGTGGCGGACCAGGAGGGGATGAAGTAGCCGATTGTAGTGGTCTTGTCGTCGGCATGGGCTGCCAGAGCGTAGATGGCTGCAGGGAGGAGGAACGAGGCACGCATTGTGATGGTTTCTTTTTGTTGTGGAGACGTCAGAAGGAATAGAACAGGGAAGAAGATCGACAGAAAGACAAGATTGCGGAAAGAGAGGATCATGGCCCCTTTTAAAGGGAGGGAAGAAAGGATAATAATTATCGCGTCTAGTACCAGACTACTAATGTCAATAGTCTACAAAAAAGAGACCCAAGCGCCACGCTAGGATAACAGGAGATGAGTTTTCGGCTATATCCTATCATGTCCACCAACCAGTGTTTCTGAGATTGGTGCTGTTGGCGCTAGACTGCATCTCTCCGTGCTGATTAGCATGTGATTTGCAGGATAGTATTCGGTGATATTTTAGTGCATTGAACTAGTCTCTCCAGCGCTCAGCTAAGACTCCTAGTAGCAGGCCACCGAGAGTGGAGGGCAGCTAGTCCATTTAAGTACCTCGGTTCTAAGCAATAATCAGACCAAAGACCAAAATCGCCGGATCGGCCAATATATGACATAAACTCATGCAAGGCTACCAGGCCAATACACTGCGTCTATATCGCCAGTGGAGGTATACCTTAGAATTTGCCTTTTCGCATCATCTCAACCACTCCCCGAAAGCCTGTTGACGCTACTGTTCCCAGCTGTTAAAGGCAATATTTGACAGAGCGACTGGAATCTGGTCATCTCCAGCTAGAAACTTCTCCATCTTCTGCACAAGGGTGATCAGATGAGCTCGCGAAGTGACATGTGTAAGTAGACACAAACCTCTTTAGTAAACTCCTCTACTGGGATACCAAACGGCTTGCCACGGACCATTTCCGCCATGTCAGGTTGGTGCTTTGGGTCTTGAAGTTCAGCTGTAGTGCAGGAAATCAGTATCTTTATGACGTCTTTTTCGTTCTCTTTCCCAACCCCTGAATGAACGAATCCTCAGGTGTACGTAGTTTGCACAATAGGTGGGAAGATCTCAATTACGTTGACGTTCGTGGCCTTTAGCTGCTCCCGTAGGCAGAGAGGATCCTATGATGCAGAGCGGACTTGGAAGCGCAGTAGTTGGAGCAGCGAAGAATGGGAACCAGCGCGAGATTGGATGAAGTCTAATGCATTACCAGTCAGGCGCGAATATCCCAGAGATGGGACGCGAGCATTGTCCACAACTTACAATATGAGGGATGTTGGAGTGTCCCCTTTAGCCATGAGAAAGGGTAGGAACTCCTTTGCCAATGCAACGTAGGAGACGTAGTTGATCTAGAAACATTGTCAGTCGATGTAAGGACGGGAAGAATGTACCAGTCAATGTTTAATGGGTCCTTTACTGTCATGTCATCCTGAATCTGATTCATATCAATGCTCTCCCTCACTAAAAACTGACCGCCGTTGAATGCCCGAGTTGACGAAGACGCAGTCTAAATCTGGATGGGCCGAGGTAAGCATGTCAACATAATAGGCAAATACCTGAAAGGCTGAGCTGACGACTACCCCTTCACAAAGCCTGGAATTGCATCTAGCTTGCTGATATCGAGGTTGAAAGATGCAGCCTTGTCCGCACCGTGTTCCTGGACGAACGAATCAGGGAGGTCCTGTCGTCCACCGACGGCAATCACGGAGCAGCCATGTTCGATAAGGCTTGCGGCTAAAGCACGACCGATACCTGAGGATCAGAGTCAACGACTGGAACGCTGATTCTACATTGCACTGTACAAAGCTAGAGTGACAGGTAAGTGTAGCGCTGTGTTTGAACACTCACCAGATGTAGCTCCAACCAGGACTACCTTCATGTAAGAAAAAGCCATGATTGTTGGGAGGAATGTAAAGGGATAATGCAATATCACAGACCAACTCTTGTTCAACAGTGGCTGTAGCGCCTGTTATAATCATCTCTCTAAACTTCTATGTCTCAGGAGCAGCCAAGTTCCGTTTCCGGCCATACCGTGCGATTGGGCCCTCCAGGACGGGCTCCGCAACATTTGCGTGCCATTGATGAGGTTGGACAGGTTCTTCAACCTCTTTCCATAGAGCTTTTTGGGACTCGGTTCGCAAACACGGCCACCACTGATATCAAGACCAGCATGCTGCTGTAAGTTGCGGTTAGACTTGAACTAGATGCCCTCCTATTAACTTGGAGTAGTACGGCGTTTTTTTATCAGCTCCCCCTTTGTGGCTATTGTCGTCAACGTGCTGCAGAGAGCGCAAGCCATGAGCGGTCTGTCTCCTCTCAAGGCTGGTCTTGCCTTGCTACCATTCCTACCCGCATCCCCATTTGCAACAGCCTTGTCTGGGTTCTTGACCAGCAATTTGAAAATCCCACCCTTTTACCTCATCCTCACGGCGTCAAGCTTACAATTGGTTGGAGTCAGTATGTCTTGCTCATACCCTACTAGTCAGAGCGAGGTTCCTCCATCACAATACGGCTTCGAAGTGATTATGGGGATGGGGTTTGGACTGGGACTGATCACGATCCTCACCTTCGCCCTTCGCTCGTGCAGTGGTGGAAGAGAAGCACATAGATAAGTTTCCACTGAATAGACAATTAGCCGCAGCCACTGCTTTACTAACTCCATTAAGCGGTCATGATGGGTGCCATAGCGCAGATCCACGTACTAGGAGGGACAATATCGCTTGCAATTTGGTACTTCTTCCCCAGTATCGTTCGATATGCATATTAATTCGTGATAGTTCTACTATCTTGAACAATCACGTAAAGCCTCGCATACTGTCTATCATCTCCCAATGGAAGCACAGGTAATCTATGACTCACTGTCTGCCACCCAGGACTCGACTCCGTCCCAGCAGTCGGCAGTCAAAGGGTGTTTGCTGAGGGTTATAACTTACAGAATATTTTCATGACTGCACTCACGGCTCTCGGCCTTATAACAGCATGTTTCCTGTCGGAGAGGCCTCCGAGAAAAGCAGTGTAGGCCACGGACCTAGCTTAGTGTATCACTATCGTTGACTTGTATCTATCTGCATCTAAATTAGGCGAGCCATATCCCAATCGAACAGTTTCAAGAAGAGCGCTCCTGCATCCTTCATCGGGGTGCTGATGACGCTCTGCGTAAGACTCTTCCCCAATCTGGCCTTACATGTCGCCAACACGAGTCGATGCTCACTGAGGTTGATGTTTGTTCGAGTCTGGTGATGTATTTTCCGGATGGAACACTACAAACACAGATAGTGAAGCGTAATGAATATAAATAGAGCAGATATACGAGAATTCGGAGCAGTAAAGAACATAGAAGGCTTATTGTAATAGTAGAAGATCATAATTTTACCGTCCCTTCTAGGTTACCAGCATGACCAAGATCGGAATTTGGCATATCTTGTTATATTCAAACATCGTCCTTCTCGGCCAGTTGCTCTTCGTGTTTGTCTGGAGTTGTTTGCATACGGGACGGTGCTAACGTATCCCTCTAATAATGAAGATCGGCATGGGGGTGAAAGCGATACGAAGAGGCGGAAATTGATGCCTATAAAGGTAACTATGTGATGACTTTTGAGTTCCAAGTATCTGAATCGGCACGAGAATGTATTATCTCTTAAAAATCTATTGGACTCCGTTATAGTTCGGCAACTTCTCGGTGCCGAGTTTTCTCCCTATGACATAATTCATCCTATGTCCTCTGCAATAGACTTCAGTCAAGCTATGTCTATACCATAGATAGAAACCTAAAAGTACAAACAGGGAAACATATAACTTTGATGACGAACTCGTAAACAGGGTAAGAGTAAGTTTCCTAGACGCGCACTTAGTCCTAAGCGAAGCGGCAAGTGACTGACCTTACGATTATCTCTGGACTACTTCACCATTACGTCTGCAATATTAAACTCAAATACAGATCCCGAGGAACCCGTGTAGAAACTCTAATTTACACAGAAAGATACTTGTATACGATGGCTTAAACTCGGCTTTCGGGATTTGTGCCAGCCACGTAACGGTACGATGATACAGCGGCAATAGCTTGATGCTTGTGAGTATATATATCCCGGAGGTCCTTATTAGCTATGAGTTAAAATACTTTATATTGCTACCACATAATAATTGTAAATATTTCAAAACCTCTTTCAGGCTAACTCCCACCATGTCGGCCCTACCTCCAGAAAGGTCTCAAGCACGACGCAACACCAACAACCTTGAATTGGTACCAACAGAAACCAGAGAGACGCTCCATGAAGCTGGACTCAGCCCAAGTCCCCCTGAGATAGGGATCAATTACCCCGAAGTCGGACGTCCTACCGACCCCCTTTTTCCCGAGGAATACAGCCTCGAGACTCAAACTGGGCTGGTCCCAGCACAGACTCTCGAATCAGTCCGTACGACAACCCGGGGCCGGCAGATCTCGACGGCGGATGTGGAAAAGGGAGGCGAATCCGTGGATTTTGTCACGTTTACGATTAATGACCCCGATAATCCGCACAACTGGAACCGCTTATACCGCTGGTACGTCACCATCGTCGTCTCGATACTCGTCGTGTGCATCGCGTACGGGTCGGCATTCGTCACCGGTGGGTTAGGCCTGATTGAGAGAGAGTATCATGTTTCGCTCGAAGTGGCTACGCTGACCGTTTCAATCATGGTCTGTGGGTTTGCGGTTGGGCCGTTACTCTGGAGTCCTCTGTCGGAGATCATCGGCCGTCGTCCCGTGTATGTCATCTCGCTCGGACTGTACACCATATTCCAAATACCCTGCGCACTTTCTCCCAATATCGGTGGGTTGCTGGCCTGCCGTTTCCTCAGCGGCGTCTTCTCTAGTTCCGGTCTGTCGCTGGCTGGCGGGACCATTGCGGATATCTGGAATATCGAAGAGCGCGGCATGGCCATTGCGTTCTTCGCCGCAGCGCCCTACTGCGGTCCCGTCGTGGGCCCCATCGTATGCGGCTGGATCAACGTCGGTTCGCACCGACTGGACCTCTTCTTCTGGACCAACATGGCCTTTGCCGGCGCCATCATGATCCTCGTCGGCCTGGTACCAGAAACCTACGCCCCTGTCATCCTGAAACGCCGCGCAAAAAAGCTCCGCAAGGAAACCGGCAATTCCAACATCATCACCGAGCAGGAAAAAGTCAAGCTGAGCTTCGGGGATATCGTGCGCACGAACCTCGTCCGCCCTATCACCATGATCCTCACCGAGCCCGTCCTCGACCTGATGTGTATGTACATCGTCCTCATCTACGCCATGCTCTACGGCTTCTTCTTCGCCTTCCCCGTTATCTTCGGCGAATTGTACGGCTTCAACGACGGACAGATCGGCCTGATGTTCATCCCGATTCTGATCGGCGCCGGCTTCGCGCTTCTCGTCACGCCCCTCATGGAGAACCAGTTCCGGCGGATCTGCCAGTCTCGCGCCCCGACGCCCGAAGACCGACTCATCGCCGCGCTGATCGGAGCCCCGTTCATCCCGATCGCATTGTTCATTCTCGGCGCTACGTCGTTCAAACACATTATCTGGGTTGGGCCAGCCTCGTCGGGTATCGCGTTCGGCTTTGGCATGGTGCTCTGCTACTACGCGGTTAACAACTACATCATCGATTCGTACCATAAGTATGCGGCCTCGGCGCTCGCTGCGAAGGTGTTCCTCCGATCTGGAGGCGGCGCGGCCTTCCCGCTGTTCACTACCCAGATGTATCATGCGCTCGGCCTGCAGTGGGCGTCGTGGCTGCTGGCGTTTCTGGGGGTGGGGATGGTGTTTATCCCGTATGGGTTCTATGTGTATGGAGCAAGGATACGGGCGAAGTTTGAAAAGTATTAATCGCAGTAGGAGCATGTAATATAGAGTAAGATAGATAGATTATGTAATAGCACACATCATTTCCAATGTAGCAACCGCTGATGATCCTCTACAGGTAGCGCGTATTCTTCCTTCTTGAGCATTAGCTCAGCCTTGTCGAACATGGGGCGCAGTAGGATGCTAGGGCGCTAGGAGAGAAATGATGCTATTGGAGGTAAGCAATGCGCCCAGTATCCATCATCTCCACTATCTGCTCCCACTACCACTACACTGTGGCATGGATATGGGCTCTGTCTCTAGAGGACAGAGCGGAGAATTTTGGAGGGTTGGATGGGGCTGCTGACATATCATACGGAACAAATCAAATAAAAGCGACCCTCGCATCCTTCTACGTACCTCTCTTTCCTCTGACACCTTTAAACCTTCAGATACCAGCAGGACACATATACTCAAAAATGCCTTGCTGTCTAGATGCGTGGGTGTTATGCTAGTGCTAACGATGGTGTGTGCTGCATTGAGAGTTCCAGAAGGGCAAAGGAGCTCCACAAGAATCATCCTCCCAGAGGGGACATCTTTTCTCCAACGTTTCTCTTAAAACTGGTGCGCTGTTATCAGAATCGGCCACTTGATTTTCTTGCCCTCGCGCCCCCAACTCCTAAAGAGCTGATAATGAAGCCTGCCGAGCCAGACATGCCACAGATATGGCTAGATTATGGCTAGATGAAATGCGCATTCCCCCGGGCTGAGTTTTCGAAAGCGGCGAAGCGACGACTGGTCTAAACGTGAGGAAATGACAAAGGCATCTCCGAGTCAATCGCCAGGTACTACGAAGCTTCCGCAGTGCTCTATTCACATTTCTGGTTTGTTATATCGCCTGTCTCTATCAGCACCTATCCTACTCTCCTTCTGCAAAAAATAAGGCGCGGTGTTGGTCAGAAAATACGCCGACTAGGCATACCTCTCAGGATCTGGCCCGGCTCTTCCGATGTACCACTATCGGCAAAGAGCTGTTCAGAAATTCTACAAGTCTTAAAGGCGTTACCAGGTGTTGAATTCCAGGTCTTGATATGTGATTCTCCGTGGGAATGCACAAGTAGGAGTCAATACATCAAGGATCATGCCGATGAGTGGGTGATTTCCGGACTGATAGAGACAATGCAGGTATTCAGACACCTTCAGGTGACATTTATCAGCCAGCCGAAAACATTACGTCCTGACCTGATTAGGCAGGACTTGATTATGGGCGGTACTGAACGTTGTATCGTTATACCCATTCAACGATTCTTGTTTCAGAATTTCCATGCATCTTCCCTGAAACCTTACTGGATTCAGCTTTTGTTTCGTGTTCTCGTCAACCTCCTCTCCTCTCAATATTTTCGTGAGGAATTTGGCTGCCCCAGCTGCATGGGTAACCCACACCGCAGCTGCCATGTAGAGACCACCGATTGGTGCAACGCTTCCTACCAATGGCATATTGTCTGGCGTCATGGCGAAAATACCGTTGAACTGTTCCCTTGCGCTCAACTCCGTTGTCGCTGGCAGTAGACTTCGAGCCTGCTCCAGTGTTGCGTCGAACAGCTCTCTCCAATCCCCAGTTGCCGCTTCTGTGGGCTCCTCATGTACAGGTCGATGAGCATACGACCCGATCCCATAGAAAGAGCCATGGTCCCGAGCATAAGCATGATGTTCCGGCCACCTAACCCACGGCGCACTGTATGGCATCGGCTCTCGGTGCTGACCGTACATGTATGGATGTGCAACGGGTATAACTGGGATTGGCACGTCGAAACCACAAAGCTGTGTGGCCCAAATACCGGTCGCAATAACCACCCTTTTTGCCTTAACCAACCCAGCTGTGGTTATGACCCCAGTGACACAACCGCTAATGGTCTGGACTTGCTTGGCGTCTGATTCGATAAGCTTGGCGCCCCTTGCCCCTGCAGCTTCCTGGTAAAAGGACGTGATCCGGGTAGCGTTTGCTGTACCGTCGCTAGGAAAGAACAGGGCAAGCAAATTATCCTCCTTCACTAAGTCTGGAGCCATTTGCGCCGCCTGCTGGGGAGATATAAGCTCAGCAGGCAGGCCGGCTTTCCTCGCCATATCATATCTCGCATTCAGTCTGTCAATTCCATTGAGGCTAGTGGCAACCTCGAGTCCCCCGACAACCTCGAAGCCCCCCGGAATTTTGGTATACTCGTTGACGCTATCGATAGCCAGGCGAGTGAGGATATCGGATTCATTCAATTGTCCGATGATACCCTGCGCATGTCCGGTCGAACCCCTCAATGGTGAAAAGGCCCGATCAATGAGGGCCACACGTTTGTCATTTCCGGGAGTAGTGGATAGAAAATAAGCCAAGGCCGAGCCAACAATCCCAGCACCGACAATAGCAATATCATAGGTGGTTTGCGAGGATTCCATGTTGTGTTATGTTGTATTCTGGTCTTGGAACTGAAGTATGATCGACTTTGGAAGCCATACCGGAACCTTCGTCACCCATATAAATTATAACTTATGAAGGTACTGAGCCACGGAGTGCACTGTCTGAAATACGAACCACTTGTCTTGATTAGGCTTGGCGCTGTCAATTGCAGGGCGCATGGGTGCATGATCAGTGACTGGACCTCGCCAGACCGATGTCGCCCCTCTCGCTCATTGGGAACACGATACTCTGGATGCTATCACTGAATGCAATGGAGCTCAGCGCAAGATATCGGCTAAAGACGGGTGTTATGAGAGGCAAGCGCGCCGGCATCGGGATACAGCTTGCACATAAGACGGCCATCGAGGACGCCCTCAGAAATACGAGCATCCCTTGCCTTTAATCAGTTTTGATCTCCGAGAAGGTCCCCTTCGCAATGCACTCAACACTAGATATCCCATCCCTAAACGCCAACCCCACCCCAAACCGAACCATCATAATCGGCGGGGGCATCGTCGGCGCATCCCTCGCCTTCCACCTCTCCACCAAAAGCGCACACCACATCGTCCTCATCGACAAAGACCTTCAGGCACAACTAGGCTCAACAGGCCACGCCCCAGGCTTTGTCGGCCAACTGAACGAGTCCCCTGTCTTGACTAGACTCGCCCAAGATACCGTCTCCGAGTACCTCTCCATTCCGGGCGGGTTCAACACCGTCGGTGGGTTGGAACTCACATCCACACCGTCAGGGTTGGAGACGTTACGTCGGAGACGGAATTTGGCGAAAGAGGCTGGGTTACCGGCTGAGCTTGTCGAGCCGGAGGAGGCGGCATCTCTTGCGCCGAATTTTGTTGATGGAAGCTCGATAGCGGGGGGATTGTTTTTCGCATCGGATGGGACTGCTGATGCCAAGGTTATCACATCGTATTATCTCGAGCGCGCTCGGGATAGAGGGGTGGATTTCTTGGAGGCAGCCGTGACAGGCTTCGGCACCAAGAAGGGGGACGACGAAAATATCGCAAGGATAGCAACTATCCGGACTAAGGACGGGGACATCAACTCAGAAAATAGCATCGTCATCCTAGCGACTGGGATCTGGACCTCTTCACTGCTTTCAACGGGGAATACCTCACCTATTACGCAACTCCCCATCCCCATCGTCCCCGTCGCACATCCGTACACCTTCACTCGGCCTCGACCTCCGCGTGCTGGCAAACCATCCCCCTTCGTCCGCTGGCTGGATCACCAGATCTACGCAAGAGACCACGGTGACCGGGATGGTATGGGTTGTTACAATCACGCTCCGGTCCTGCTGAACCCGGATCAAAGCGCGATCGGAGCGTGGCTGTCGGATTTCGAGCAAGTACTCGCGGATGCTTCTTCGGTGCCGAAGAATGGGGCTGAGTTCCAGGTCAGCGGACACAGTGGAGCCTCGGTGGAAGAACCGGACGCAGCCGAAAAAGGTCCGTTTAATGGTATCTTCGCGGTAACGCCTGATAACCTCCCACTCGTCGGCCGCGTGCCCGACGTGGGCAATCTATGGCTGTGTGCTGCGATTTGGGTCACGACTGCTGCTGGGGCGGCGAAGTTGTTGGTGAGGAAGATTCTTGGTGATGGCGCTGCTGCGCGCGGGGATGCGATGCTGCTGGACGCGCTGAGTCCGAAGCGCTTCTGGGGTCTCGAGCCCGACTTGCTTATCAAGAGGGCTTTGGGGCAGTATAACGATATTTATAATCGAGGGGCTGGGAAGAGATGAAGACGGTCAGTGAGGAGAGGTAAGCCCAGGTTCCCAGTTCTACAAGATATGTGTCCTGTGAATCCCCGGCGGGGAGGGAAAGTGGTAGTGGTATGAACTCTGGAGCGTTAGGGGCTCCTCCCAAATCCCAAAGCTGAGCAATAGAAGCACTATACAAGTCTAATAGACTCTATTCACGCAACCTTCCATAGAGGGATTATGACGTTGGAAAAAGTTGATGGCCTGACCCCAAGCGTCATGTGTTCTGCTATAGCGAGAAGGAGAACCTGGTATACCCCATTAAACCTCATCATCTCACCCCCTTTCAGCTCTGCTGCAAAACTAGTTTGTCCATCTCCTCGAGCATAGACTCTGCAGATTCCTCCAGTGATGTCTCCGGTATTTCCTCCGAATCACCACTCTCCTTCAACCATTCTATAATGATCCGCTTGATCCATTGCCGTGCCTTTGCTACCTGGAGCTCCCAGAGCGCCTTCGAAGAAGCATACTCATGAGTAATATAAACGACAAGACAAACATTGTAGGCCAATTGACAGAGACGCAACCCCATGGCCAATGACTTTCGGCCGAACCTGGAGGTGAGGAACTGTCGAAGCGCCTTGTGCTCATATTTCTGGTTCAGGGCACTTCTGAAGGAACTGCTGACAACGAGAAATTTACCGTCCGCCTGTTGCATGCGGAGGATTCTGTCCAAGGGAGGGAAATCCGATGGTCTTGGGTGGTCAGGATCGCCAGGTTCCCTGTCCGGAGAGCGGGGTCTGCAAAAGCGGGCTTGGCGGATGCCCATCCAGGTCGTGTTATTTAGCGGGTCAGTTGGCGAAGGAGGATTATGGTCTTCGGCCTCATTTACATCTGGGCTAGATCTGCGGGGTTTGACATAGCGTTTAGCTCGGCGTAGGATAGGTTCTGGTCGTTGGGAGTGTGCGTGAGGTGCAACGGCAATAGCCTCATCGCTATCCACGTCCGATACCGGGTACGCATAGTGCAATTCTATGTCTTTGTCCTCGTCGGGATCATTACAGGTCGCAGCTGCTTTAACCCTGCCCCTCGATTGGGTTAAGAGGGACGAGGTTACGCTTGCATCTCTTGATCGTGGCTCTAGCTCCGCAGGTTGGGACGTCACCTGTGGAGCTGGGGAGGCTCGCGATGCGTCGTGGTAATGATACTGAGTTTGGGTTGGCTGATTATGGTAGTCAAATGCCGGGACCCCAACCCCCGCCCCGAACGTGCTAGGACTCGCGGTATAAGTGCACTCAAAGGAGGTATCTAAAGAATAAGGCCGACCCGGCGGTGGTGCAGGCACCGAAAGAAACTGCGTACCTGCCTCCTCTATACCAAAGGATGAATTTCGAGGATCATTGAGCAGAGATCTCCGGACAAAAGGGCCTTTTCTTTTACCTATACGTGGTTCCGTAGAGGTAGAAGTATGCCGTGGCCTAGTCAACTGGGAGAATTCGATAGAATCCGCTTTATGGACCGATATCGCATGTTGCTGGGCTGTGGTACGATCAATAGCCACATAGCTCGTCCACTTGCTGGGTATGGACCACGTCTGCCCGACGTGCTGTGCTTCCTGCTCCAGAACCTTTTCGAAGCCTGCTGAGTTGGTGGACTTGAGGACTGGGTTAAGTGAATGCAGCCAGCTTTGTCCGGTTTCATAGTCGTTCATCAGTGCTTTCGCCGCCAGATGGTGAATGGCTGGTTGTTCCGCTACTGTCTGGATTGGCAGCTGCGCTGAGAGCTTCTCTCCTCTCTCGGTCGTTGTAGTGATATTGATTGTTTTCGGCAGTGAGTCCAATCCGCTCTCCAGTATGTAGTAGAGAGAGAAATGCGAAAAGGTACTCAGCACAGGGATCTGGTGGGGAGCCTGAACCCACTCAGGGTATTGCACAGTATATCCGGCAATCTGCCTCTCAGATGTCTTCATGGCAAGTTCCTTGCCAAGATCCACATTGCACTGAAGGCGAGATGGTGTCAATGCTGCCTTCAACATTTGTATTACTCTTTCCTGCCATGAACCCATCGAGGACTCTGGCACGACCTCTGCATAGCCGCCCCCTTGCTGCCCGATGCCCTCGACCAAGCGATGAGAGACTTGATCTCCAATTCCCAAAGAAAAGAATCTGATATTTGAATTACCGTTTGAGGCCGTTCTGTGCACCAGCTGTATCACATTGTCCACATCCCAGACCTCACCGTCAGTTAACAAGATCACATTGGTTGGCACGTCATTCCGCTCATTATAGTGATCCAGAACACTGTGCAGAGCGCCATAGATTTCGGTACCGCCATAGTTTGCTTTGAATGAATCGACATGCTTCGCGGCGACATCCAAGTTCGTTTGGCTGTATCTCATCGAGAAAGGCCATAGCCATGTAACCTGGGAACCAAAGGAGGCTATGTTGAACGAGCATGCTTCAGGGAGACTTCGCAGGAAAATATTCATCACATTGATGAGAGAGGGGATTTTTGACTTCATTGACCCTGATCTATCCGCCATGAAGATGATTTCGCCGACAAAATCCTCCATATTAACATTTTGACAAAACAGATCGCCCGGGTGCACGGTGACGGCAATCGTGGAGAGGCTGGGTTGGCCAGGCTGCGACGCCGCAATAGCTCGTGACCGCGAAAATTCGCGAGAGCTACACAAAATGTGTAAGACAAAGTCGTGACCAAGGACAGCCTTTCTGTCTGATAACGTCGCGCGTCCCTTGGAGTAATCCAGCATGTCCGAAGATGCACTTGCTGCGAAATCTGTAAAGCTTTTGTGGGAAACTGCTCCCATCTCGACCGATATGGGGTGTGATCGCGACTCCATCTTGCGGATGGCTGTCGGCATCGATGCTTGCACGTTGATTCGCAGGCCCTCCGTGAGAAGGGATTCATTTCCGCTGTATCCTTCCGGCACGTCTCCGTATCGCGGTGCGATCGATGTTGGGATCGTAAGGACCAGTCCACCAGTACTGTTATCCACCTTGAGGAGATTGGTGTACGTGATCTCAATCTTGACTGTGGTTTGTGCAGGGATATTTCCCACGCTCGTCTCGAAAACCTCCGGCACCAGCTCTTCAACCAGTACGGCGACCTTGCGTTGGGAGACAGCATGTTTAAAATCTGCCCTTGCCGCTTCCTTGGCTTTTACAGCTCCCTCGAGGAGTCTGTCGTTGCCGATCCAGCAGCGAAATGAAGTAACAACCGATCCATCGTAGATGGGAAAGACGTATCTTGCATTTTGTGTGGTCGAGGAGGAAGCGTTGCTGAACTGTTGTGTCACCTTCGTAGTACAAAGCCTGCCATGGACGTCCACGTTGGCCGAGACGCTCAGCAACGGGAGTGGGACTTCGGGAGTAGAACTATTTATCGAAGCAAGAGTTGCAGCCGGGATGCTGGACGAGGCATTCTTCTGGTAATGGATCGTGGGTTGGGCTTGGTTGGGCAAAATGTAAGGCTGGATAATGGTCGGGGTTATGTCGGCGACATTGGGCCGGAAGAAGAGACCAGACTGGAGCCGATCAAGCACATCCATGGCGGCTGAGCTGATATCTCGAGAACAGAGAAGTGGGGGAAGACGATGATTGACGGGAGGAGGCTGCGTCTATTTATACCGAGTCATCTCGCCCTTCAGCCCACCTTTGCCCAGTTCTTGGCCAGTCAGCCTTGCACAGCCTCTATTCAGACATGGCGGGACGATCACTAAAAGAATCTCATTAATTCACTCACCATAAACTATTGCATTTGTGCTACATACTATTTGCATGCCTCTTCTCTTCCCTCATTCGGTGGTGATCACTCGCCATGGCGTTTCAAATATCGGTCGGCGATGTATTAATGCTGTCGAAGCTCGCCTGGGATATCTCGCAGGCGTTCACATCAGGCAGGAAGTCGGCACCTGCCGAGTTTCAGGAAGTGCAGAATCAGCTCAGCTCACTCACCCATGCGCTAGAATCATTGACATCACTATCCGGGGGGTCGCCAGGACCGGACGATGGGGGGTTAGCCAGCAGTATCGCGCCGATCCTGCAGAACTGCCGCTTCACTCTGGAACATCTCGACGCTCTCGTAAAGAAGTATATGATCATCGAGAACGATGAATCCGGTGGTCCAGAGAAAAAGCGATGGCGAGAGGAGATCAGGAAGAACTGGAAGAAAGTGCGGTGGACAAGGGAAGGAGGTGATCTAACGAGGCTGCAGCATAATCTCGGAGTCCATATCAACAGCCTCAACCTTACAATCGCAGTCCTAAACAGGTAATTCCCCCCAGTGATGCCTGATATAGTCGCTAAAGCGTTCTTAATAGCGAAATCAATCAGAACCTTGGCCAGCGTGTAGAGAACGTTCATGAAATGCTGGGGGAGATCTATGCCTGGTTCACGAGCAATTTGAAAGGCCGAGCGACAAGCTTCTATGAGTCTTCCTCGATACCACAAGAGAGGCCACTGGAGCTATCATTCTCACTGCACCTGGCAGACTCTGAATCTTTTGATACTGCTGCTCTATGTGACAATGCGTCTTTCAATGTGGATTGGCTGCAAATCCCAGCACAGCCAGTCTTCAAGTGCAACTGTCAGCTTCGACGCACCAGGTACGGGGACATCCACGATGAAGAGCTTATGCAATATCTAAGTGAGTCTGATTTTTGTCGTACATCTATAAGTTCTAATGCCACTATCAGTATCGCCAATGACCTTGATTGTGCGTTTAAATGGACGTTCGCAGACCTGGAAAATGTGGCTGTCCTCCGGCAGAACATCCCGACTTACCTGTCTTATAATCCGAAATATAAACCCATCAAGTATGTGAGTGTCTGTACCTTTTGGACAGGATGCTAACTTAAGAAAGAACTCGCTATATTTGATAATATCATATCCGATCTCGCGACCGCAATGGCTCGTCAAGCATTCCATCGAGGAACGGCAACGTTAATGGTGTCTCCATCCATCAACCCATATACAGGGCTTCCCGTGGTTTCAGTTCTCAATATGCTCTGGTATGTCAACAGGGAACCCTTTTATGACTTCCTTTCTGACAGTCAGTTAAAGCGATGCAAGTCGACTATACAGTAAGATTGAAAATGTGAAGTTGACGGCAAATGGACATAGTTACTCTACTGGTCCTATCGAAGCAGTCCAGCTGGTCCACTACCGGAATTTGACTGGCGATGGAGCGTGGGTGTTCAACGAAACGGCAGACGCGATATTGGCTGCTCGCTTGGATCCGCTCCGCGTTGACTCGACAGAAGACGAAGCATTCGAATTTACCGTCACTGGTGAGCTCCATAACTCTGCGATCTAGCGGGCGAAAGAGCTAAAGTTCCCCAGTGGGTAGTCAGACGCATATCACGCACGGAGAATCTGCATCTGTTGTTCGTATATCTGAAGCGGACTGTCTTTCCAGGACAAAGTCTGGGCAACAAAACATGGTGAAAGCTGTAGACGTGGACATAGAGCTGACGGACATGAATTGTAAGAATGCTCTTCTTATTCGATTATTTCTAACGTGTCTAGCCTCAATCCATCTCGTTCAGCAACTGAAGCACCTGCAAGAAGGACTACTCCTCTTTAAGATCCAGCAGATGCTACAAAATGAGAGGATCATATTCGAACTGTAGGTCCCATATGACTGTTCAACTCGGACCCTGCGGTGAGAATTAACGACTGCAGAAACCTTGGCACTTTGATGGTATACGACTATCACATAACAGATGCCCTCCTTAAGCTCGTTGTCAACCTGGAAGCAAAAGAGTATCGCATGCTTATTTCGAATGCATCGAGATCCATATGTCTGAGTGTTGAGTGTATGATATATATCATTCCGTGAAAGCCCACTTTCCTGCTAATTATTCGAGCAGTGTCAGCAGAAGCATTGCAAAAGTCTGCCGGATTGCACCAAGTATACATCCCTTGCGATGGTCCGGTTTGGGTTGCAGAATGCAACCTGGATGCTACTCATGTGTACCAGCAGCGGAGCAGATCAGCCTTGACATGCACAGACGGACATGGTAGGCTGGCTACCTGGAGGTGCTTCATCGTATACTGACAAGAGTTTAGCGCAACAGCTACTTATCCTGTTGTTGCAGTCAGTAGCGAGAGGTATAGCTTGTCCAACTAGTGTTATAACTTTCGTGTGCTGATTGGGATGCAGGAGACCATGGGATTACCTACCCGATACTCGAAGGGCCTCGATACGATGAGCTAGAAGGATAGGATTGCGCTCCATTCACTCCGTTCAAGATTGCGCCTATTCATTAGAGGAGTCTGGTTTATGGGTGCCTCAAACCCTCTGCTCGCATTGTGTACTGTAGTCTCGCGAGCTACAGTATCTAGGATGGTGAGATTTCAATTTCCGCTGTAATAAAGTCCATCACTAGTCCAACTTCAGAGTGATGATCTATTATAGTTAAGTTCTTTTAGTCGCTGTGAATACTATCCGGAATAATGGTTCATGACATGACGAATAACCAAATGATATTCTCCTGCCACCAGCTACTAACCCTAGAGACCCTCATTTCGTGAATTTAGAAGCACCCCAAGGAGAAGCTGTAACAACACAAGTACAAGGGCAAGTACCAGGCATGAGATCACAACATTAGACTTCTCAATACCTACTGTGTGTTAATTATGGAACATAACACCAGGTTTTCAGATTATTGCAGGGGTGTGCAACTCTGCGGTGACGAGATACAATCAGCACCACGCAACCCATCAGGTGTGTAAAGTCAAGGAGCTAAAGACTCACCTAGGAAAGACGACACAGCCCATCACAAGCGTATTTATAGAGAGTTCCACAGCCCGAGCCGGTCTGGGTACAGCCGCCTCCAGCACAATGATAACCGGAATCACACCAGTCAGACTGCGTGGAGCAGCCACACTCGATGTCCTCATCCTCATCATCGCGGGTCTGCAATGGCTTATTGTCCATGGTGGCAAGAAGGGACTTGGCGTCCTTGAATCCGAAGGCGGAGATAGCATCGTTCTTCAGATTGTTCATGGCCTTGGGGTCGAAGTTTTGTCCTTGCTTCGCGAGGTCTGTGGCCGTATCGACGACGGCGGATTGAGCGGGGTTCAAGGGCTCATGCTGCTGGCGGAATTGATCGAAATGGGTTAGCCAGGCTGCACTTGCGGTATTGGCATTTCCTGGAAGCAGAGAGCTGGAGCCAGAGACAGAAGTAGATTGGGCAAATCCTGCGAAACCGAGGGCGATGAAGTAAAGAGTGAACTTCATTGTGAATCAAGGACTTTAGAAGTATAACTGAGAGAGATATTGTTCTACAGATTGCAAATGATCAATGATCTGCGGTGACTGGCGGATCTTGAAGAGAACATGATGCGTATTTATGTCTTCAGTGTAACAGGGATGCACCGATTCCTTGGGAATGGACGTTGAGTTTTCCTTGTCTAGTGCTTCCCTGAATGAGAGCGAGAGATATTTACATTCCATACTTGCTGGAGGCCCTAGAGTATAGTCACACCAGGAGACAAAGCAGCAATTACAGAACGATAAGCATCACTGTCATAGTCAAGCTTTTTAGGAAAGTGCTAATTTGGACTATTCGTAATATGCCGCATCAAGCAAGGAGCTTCAGGAATGACAGACTGACACATCGATCTGACATCCAGAATCCAGAATGTTGACAGCTGACCACAGCAAGGAGGTAGCTAAGTGGTGGACTCATTCCTCAGACTACAGGGACGGAGATTGGAGTATGATGAAGTCAGCTATTTTCCAGCAACAGCACCAAATCTTCTGCCAGTGGCCTAGTTCACAGTTCCTTCATCTAATTAGAGAACTTGAAACAGTGCATTTCAGGTACTGAGCTACGATCCAGTGCTGTTCTATATAACTATTGTCGTAGGGTCACGTGACCTCTACTACCTTAGTCAGCCCGCTGCCCCTAAGTTAACTATCTCACCGCTGGTTAGGCCTCCTAGCTAGGGAATCCAACCATCTCAGTGCTACGTCAACTATTGCTAGCTGTGTTTCAGAAGGCGATAGCAACATACACGCGGAATTCAGGAGAATCTTCCGACTTTTGAGTCTAAATTCTTTAGTTTGATTCTAAGATGCAGTAAATTTCTAAGTAACTACTCGTGTAGGGCAACACTCAAAACTTATTAATAGCACAAATAAAGCCAACAAACTGTGCTCTTAATGTTCACCGTGAGCAGCGTCTAATAGCCGGCGAAGATGGCTGAAGATCTACCCGACTGTGTTATCTGTAGAGAAAGACCTTTGATTAGTTATAGACCGGATGAAGCTTCTGAGGCTTATTGACGGGTGCCATGGCATTCTCTTGTTTCTGTATGAATACAATGTTCACTTATCACAGCAGAGACCTATCCTTGGTAGAATGTGGCTTTTCTGAATCATCCGAGTTTAGGATGACGGCAAAGGGGACTTGAATAGGCTCCCACCCCCTTCATCTTTTCCCCTTCCCTCGGATATCAGTTCCAATCCACTGTACTACTAGACACGTCCATTCCTGAAGCTTGCTCTAGCTTCGTCACATGCATCCTCTCAACCACAGGAATCCCGTCTCTCGTAGAACCAGGCAGAGCGAGTCTTGCTCATTATGGCTTGACAATGGAACGTATAACGGAATAGATGGCCCATGCTGCGTCAAAAGGATTCACTTAGTTTATCGTCTAGATAAAAATCTGTAAGACTAAAGATATTCTCTGGACGAGATCGGCTTTCTATCGCCGAGACTGAGCATTCAGTAGACGGCACTTGTTATCCAAGGATGCGCTCATTCGACATGAAGATTTCGCTGGAGATCTGCGACTATCTACAGTCTGCAACTGTGGCTGTATCCAGCGTCTAGAGAATGCTGGCTGTGCTGCTAAATCCTAGATTACTCTCATTCCTGCCTATGTCCATCATTTCTTACGACTTGAACCCCATTTTGGAAGGGTTTGGATACTGATGCCTTCCGCTGATTTACATGGTAGAGAAGGCGTCTGGCTTCCGCAAACTCGGTAACCATTTCATTCCTGTCCTGTGCTGGACAATGAGCTTCCAGGATTGCATTACTGTGTACTCTACTTCCTCTTTCCCGCAAACCTCGAGAATCTTTAGTGATGCAGTATCGACCTTGATGTTCGTCAACAGATGAAGTATGTGCAAGTGAGCCTTGGCATCAACTTAAACCAGATTTACCATCTTTTACTGACTCACAACCGGCCTAGACCGCGTGCCTTTCTTTAAAATGAAATTCAAATGGGCTACATTTCTAGGTAAAGTAAGGTTGGCGATCAGTTCAGCCGAGTCCATGAAGACATGAAGGAGACATTAAAAGAATAAGATCTATGTGAGCACATTGGATAGAGGTATTGTGAAATAAGATAATGCTACGTTAGAAAATGCTTTGCTACAACTATTTGAATTTGGAATCATAAAATAGTATCATTTTCTGGTTTAGACTTCAAGGTGAATGCAGTATGACACTCTTACTGCAGCACTCAAATGTTCATTGATATAGTTATCCGTTCATGAGTTAGTCATGTCTGCAAAAGTCTGATGCTGTCACGGTGCCAACTCATATGTTGCCTGAGGCACCGTCGAAGCCTTATCATCACATGACCCACACTGAGAATATCCTGCATCCCAATCTGCCTGCTGTTTATAGCTCCTCAAGCTACGTCTTGTCTATGCACCTGCAGATAGCCTGACCCATAGCTAGAGTTCATGAGTGTCAACTACCTATCTATTACTGCCTGCTCTCCCTGTAAACCAGTTCCGTGACAGATGCCTGGACTTTAGTATAAGTGGCCCACATCCAAACCTCTAAACAAGGTCTATGACTGTCAAGATTCGAGTGGACCGCAAACGCTAACTGTGCTCTGTACAGCTGTAGAAATGGTCTGCACAGAGGAAAGTAATTAGGAACCTAGGGCTTAAGCTCTCTCTAAGGGAAAAAATAAACTACCTAAGAGGATACAATGAAGAAAATCCTAACAGTATCAACTTCTTACCAGGTTCTAGAAGCATATCTATAATATGAACTACCTATTAGGTGCATATGTGCGTGACCACTTTGCGTTAGCGTCTATGATATCAGACACAGACAGGATGCCTGGGACTCATAACCCCGCTATGACTGAAGTAACTTCTGTATCCCCTCTCTTCTCATCATCCCGTCCGAAACTATCGAGTTTTATCAACGCTGTATTATTCGGTTTCTTTTTCCTCCCGCCAGTATGAGTGAACAAGCGGACAGAAGTGCCGCGGAGCAAAAGAGGATCGAACAGAATCAACTGACACTGATGTCGCTCTCGTCTGGTGAAGAAGCCAAGCGAGCGAGGGGTAAGAAGACAGAAATGCCCTCTGAACGAATAGCCAATAATCCAAACCTCGGCCAGGTGGTGTCATCCGGGGAAGAGGCACAGAAAAGGAGAAAGAAGAAGGACTAATATGTAAGGAACGCCAGCACCCCTTACGACGAGTCCTAATATACAATAGAAAATAAATGGGGAATGGATAGGACAGCAGCATCACCAGGGCGCGATCTGGCGTCCCTGACCAAAGCGCTCTTTTAGTTGATTCTTATATCTCGCCTCTTCCTCCACTTTTCGCTGTATCAAACTCTCAACTCCTTCACACCAGTATGGACTCACGGTCTCGTCAAACACACGTTTCCTGCAGTGCTCTTCGCAATAATAGCGTTGGATATGCTCCCTAAAAACTTGCAGAAGCCCTTTCGGACTGTGCACTGCTTGGATATACCAGAAACTTCGCCTATTCCAGCAGCTTCTCATGATTTGAGCGTGAGAGAAATCTGAGCATTGATCCTTTCTTTCTAGTTCCTCGAACGCAGCTATGTATTCATTGATACGAATTTCGAAAGCGTCCAGGTGCTCTCCGGGTTCAATATCATCAATGGTCCGGCCAGTCAGCCAATGAACGGGAGTTTGCAGTTCGACTGGGAGAACAGCTGCGAATTCTAGATCAATAATACCAGTGATATGCCATTCTTCGTTGACAAAAATATTGCCCGGTTGAAGGTCTGTCAGCGTGAGTCTGAACGGACCGTGGCGGTATTCACGAGAGATGAACTGAGGGAGAAGAGCACGCATCATCGTCAAAGCGGCCAGTTGTTCTTGGCCATCTTCTGTGTCATGGATGGCATTTGGCTGGTGGTAGATGCGATTGTCATGACATTGTAGGAGATCCAGAAGATATGATTCCACAGCTTGATAGACTGAGTCTCTGGGAATAGTAGGAATCCCCTCGTTTTCAAGGGTGTGTAGACGTAGCGTAAGCGGCCGGTTCGTCAATCTAACAACGCCAGCGTTGTTCAAGGTCAGGGACCCGATTCGGGGAAACTCGGTACGATTCAACGTCAGAATGATCCTTGCAAGGTCGCTGAAGAGAGTTTGTCTTCGGGTTTTATCCCCCAGTAGAACTTCCAAAGAATATTCAGAAAGCTGCCGACCTTTATCTATAAGGCTGATGATCATGTATCCGGTTCCCAATGGGGTCGGACGCTTCAGACTGATATAAGGACACGACGTCGGATAGCCAAGCCACGACCGTAGCGTCCGTGCTATGCGCCAACGGAGTCGAGAGGAAAGGGAGGCACTGGAGGGTCTGACAAACTGCAAGAGATGGTTTAATCAGTTCACTATATATGCCAGAAGTTTGGGCTACATACAGTTTGTCCGTCGGGGAAACCGAACCCATAAAGGCAAGGGATCGGAACCGTTGGGCAATTCTGGTGGATCCAGATATAAGTGGCTACCTCGCACCGCAGCTTTTCATCTACATTCCCCGGATTCTTTTCTTCCCCCACTTTGAAAGGCAGGGGGATACGAATAAGGACGTTGTTCTCAGACGGGGGATTGACGCAGACTGGAATGCATATATTATAGTTCCCCATCATCCAATGATCTTCATCAGCAAGCTGGCAACAGTTTGCTTGGAGATGAAAGGCCACGGTCGCTTCGATGTCCGCTTTATGAGAAATAAGCCGTGTCTTGAACTCTCTCAGCTTCTGCGGATAGTCCAACATGTGGAGGACATTATCGTCATGTTCGAGAGCTTCATCCAGGGAAATATTCCGCTTCAGAAGAGGGAGCGTTGTCATTTTGGGAACATACTAGTCTGTCGGAGGGAAAGCGGAAATAGGTACAGGTACATGTACAGATACAGGTACAGATAACAAATTCAGCTGGAAGGGAGCAAGTGATAAGGACGGCTGTTGAGAGTCGCAGCTACGTAGGAAGAAGGGCAGCCAGGCGAACGAGACCGCAACAAAGGAGAATCGCAGCGAGAGGCAGCGAGAGACCAGCCAGCGGGTCATCATGAAGGCGGTGGGTGGCACTAATCCTAAACTAGCAAAGGCTATTATTATGTCATCCAGATCTGTTCGGTTTCCTCGTGACTACAGGTCAGCCGACCTTTACTAAGGAGTTCAGCTAACCAAGGTGGGTTAGCCGACCCACACAACATAAATATAAAAGCTTACCTAACCTTTCATATCGAAATATAATTCTAATTTTTATATTCTATAATAATTTTTATCATATCTTACATCCTTAACTAGTAGTCGATACTGGGACTGCAATCCAGGAGAACATAGGTATCCTGACAGTGCAAAGCCAAATCACGGGCCTTGTAAGTTACAGTGTATCTCAGTCATTGAGAAAACTTACTGCGATGAATAACCAGGGACCAGTATTGAGGACTATTGCGATGGCCTCGTCGACGCTGGCATTTCGAGAGTACCTCCAGCCGATACTGAACTTGAGAAAAGGCCACTCTACCATGGGTCGGTTCAAAATCACTTGCGGCTTCTAGAGAACGCCCCGGATTGTACTGAAGCAAATCGTCGCGGATTCTCCGATCAAGACCGCTTCCTCGCCGCTATTATTTCACCCCGACTTGCATATGAGAAATATATTTGTTTCAGAGGGTGACCCTTCTCTCATCGGCAGTATTATCGACTGGCAGGCAGCTAGTATTGAACCAGCATTTTGGTATTCGGATGAAGTGCCAGACTTTGCGAGAGAAAATGACATCTGCGCCAAGACTTTCGAACTCTCCTCGCAGTTTCTAACACCTAAACTCTCTCGACCGCGATTGCTGAATGAAAACCTCTTTCAACCTCTTCGCTACTGTTACAGGACGTGGAGAGATGGTGCAGTAGCTCTACGTCATGAGCTGATTGAAACTTCTTGACGTTGGACAGAGCTAGGCTTTGATGGCCATTGCCTATACCCAGTACCTACGTCAGAAGAACTAGCAAATAATGAGGTGGAGTACAAACTTTTCAAAGCAGCACAGAATCTGCGGCGCGACTTGTCAAGCTTGCTAAACACAGCATCAGATGGTTGGGTACCCTTAGAAATCTGGGAAGCGACAGAACTGGCTCACAAGGAACTGTTCAGTGGGATGTTGCAGGCTGTTTTGGACAACCCAGACCGAGTGACGACGAGCCCATAAAGGATGAGAACACCCTGAGATCTATCTGGCCCTTTGACATTGACGGATGAACATGGATCAACCATGGCCCCGGCGAAGTAGACCCAGACTACTTTTTGTTCTTTTTACACAATTTCTTGACATCTGACTTCGAACTACGAGGCCCTTCTTTCAATCTCAGCTGAGAGAAATCTCAAGAGAAGATTGAGACCTTGTCATGCAGGCGATGAAACTTAACCCTGGGTGCAACCTACTGCCAAAGAGCTTAAGACCGTTGTGTAGAAGCGCTTGTCTACATTGACGATTCAGATATGCTGTCAGATGCCACTCGCCACCACTATTGAAGGAGTATTGGGTACAGCCATTACCACTGATGAGTGAACATTCCAGTGCAGAATCCCCCCCTTGACTGGTATCGCCCGCACCACGACATGCCTGGCCAGCGCTATAACAATTGAACGTGTACCTTGCGCGTTTTTCAAGCGAAGATAGAGCAGCAACTTCAGGATTGACAGAAATGGGAGAGGCAGCCGTCATGGACAGCAGGAACATTGCGGCACACAGGATGCGCCTTAGACTCGGCCTCGGATTAAGCGATAATTGAGAATTGGGATAGCTTGCGTGTCCAGCCATTGCTGAAATAGATCGTAAAACAAATCTCGGATGCTTGAGTCTGTGGTATCGCAGTGAAAGGAAAGATGCCCTTTGTCCGCATCAGTTGAGACAAGGGTAACCTCTGAATAGATTTTGCGAAGATGTTCTGTGATATTAGAAATTATCGAGTCTTCGATGGGAATAGGCACAGTGAGTGTGATATGGATCCCGTCTTGTGAGTCCATGCTTTCTCATTGATAGGTAGCGCGCAAGCTATGCTTTTATATTTACCCCCTCTCGCGGTCACAGATGTTTGAAGTAGTTTAGAGCCTTGGAGTAATGAGCTAGAAAATAGCGACAGGTATTATATCATGCCTTTTTCCTTGGGCGACATCAGTGGCGTTCACACCTAGTGCTTGGAAGACGTCAGTCTCCCGTTGCTTCACCGAATACTTGGAAACTGGTGCTGTAATCTGGGCGGAGTTAGAGCGAATACTACCTGCCAAGCAATTATTGTCTGGGGCCTTTATGGTTATAGGTAAGGGCTCTCCCTCTTAGGTGCACTGCTCTCTCCTCTTTATTATACTTCATCAAGACTTGCGAGTATGCCCATCTAGCGCGGATGGATTGAGGGTTGTAAGATGATTCTCCGTTCTCGAAATCTATCAAGCCAGTCAACAAGTTTAGATAACCGAATATACTCGATCATTCACTGGGTTTATGGTACACCGACTTTGAAGCTGATTTTCCCTGGCTCCCGACGTAACGTATTGTCGATGGCATGACCACAAGAATATCCCGTCTCCACAGTCCTCAGTACATACGTGGTTGGTTTTCCAAGACAAGGGAATCTATTTTATAGGCACTTGCGGCTTTAGCCGCCTCCCCCGCTCGGTGCTTCCGTGCCCCACTTATGCTGGAGATTGGCTGATCCCAACTTGGTGATTGCTGCCTTAGTCAGACATAGACACTATGTCAGAGAACGCGACTGAGAGCCGACGGGCCAAAAGTAGCCAGACTCAGGAGAGGGACTGTGCCAGAAGCTTCGAAATGTCCTCAATGATTACTTCGCCCCAGGGACGTACAGTATCGGGTCGCTTGCGCAAGTAACCAAATTTCCGGAAGGTCGATGGGCTATGTGGGACACTCAGGGCGACGAAAACAGGCTGTATGCATACATTCCATTCCGTGATATGTATGTCCGGCAAGGTTCTCATCTGAGGACAGTGACACATGGATCTATGTGTGTGATATTTCCATAGCCACTTGAGTCCTTTCAACCGAGAACTAACGTGTTCCTTCGCGTTTTCTGTTCGTCTCTGTGTCCCGCAATTTATATGATTCCAGGTTGCGGGGAATGCATTGTTTTGGGGCTGCCAATAAAGGGCAAGAAATGATATCTCTCTAGTGCAGTAGTTGTTGAAAGTCGTTGGAGCTTGCGAATGACAGAGCACGAGCTGGGCAGCTAGGAGCCAGAGTCTACTTCTTGGGAGGACCTACGTATCGTAATTACTGTTATGAATCGTTTTCTGAGAAAATAGGATTAGGTGCAACAGATTGCCCTCACTCAACTTCGGTTTCTAGAAGCCTTTGTATAGATCAAGTGGAAGGACGGTCGATGGTTGGAAGGCAAAGGAACTGGATACGCCTGTTAGTGTCTTTTGGCTTAACTGGCTTTTGGCTTAGGCGCTGGCGAGTTTAGTGCCTCTTATTGCCGTCTTCGTAGCCTTTCATCTCAAGTAGTTGCCTTGTGGCGTAATTTAGTTAAGTAGTGGACTTGGAGGGATGCTGCACTTTATCAAGGGAAGTATACAGCAACCTCCGCCCATGGCATTCCTTCTCTTTCCTTTAGTCGCACTAACAGTGCGTTTTCGTCCGAGGTGTATCGCCCTTGTTTTCCTGAAGTATCAGCCGGAGTGGTCTGAGATACTATTAGACTAGTGTTAGGAATAAATGTGAATTAATATGTTGGTTTCTGTCCAGTGGATTTAACTGTAAGGATAGCATGGGAATAGTCATATGGAACGGAGTCTGAACTGCCTAGTAAATAATAAAGAGACTTAGCTGTATGTTTGATTTCTTCTTTAGGCACTGTTGAGTAGCATCAGGAAGAGATACTTTGGGGTCCTAGTAGTTATCACTATTACTACTGGATTAATGCCGCTTCTTACAAGTCCCTATGGCAACCCTTATGGTCGCCCTGGTAGCTTTTCCTTGCGCCTATGGAGGTGCTGGTATGACTACAGTAATTAATGGGTAGGATTCTGGCCTACTAATGCTTGGAGTGATTAGGCCGGTGGAGTCTGGGCTAGAACATACCTTTAACTGATAAGGTTTGTAAGAGGGAGCGGACTTGCCCTTAGACCCCTTGGTTTTGGGGGGGGGGGTGGGTAGAGATAAGAGATATATAAGAAGGTAAGTTACTATAAGGAGGTTAGCCAACCTTTAAATGGGAACTAGTTATATGATCTGGGCTTGTCTCATTCACTGTCTCAGCTATCTTGGCACTAGCCAAACTTTCCAAAAGGTCGGCTGACCTGTATCCTGGGTTTCCTCCACGGATCGGGCCGAAGTAAACAAATCGGTCACTATACAGAACGCTACTAGGTCATGCCATATGAAGAGGGAAGCTTCTTGGTCTTCAAACAGGGCAATGTTAAGCAGAATACATGGGCCACAATACTTGGATAGCTGACCTTTCTGTTCATCGACATCGGATATACTATAGACCCCCCTTAGGACAGGCAGTATCCTCGTGGTTCTGCGGTTTCACCTCAATCTGTTTGACTTGGGACAATCCCTCGTACTAAATTCCACAATAATGAGACCTACTGGGAGTTCTAGACACAGAAGTGTTACTTGCGCTGCCGAATGTATGCGAGCTCCTATCGCGAAGAAGTGAAGGTCGTTTCGTTTCTGCATATCAGAGAGCGGAGTGTACCCCTGCCGACTGTGTGACTCGTTAAGAACATTAGAAGAAATATAGGTCGAATATTGGGGATGTAAATCAATTTAACTAGCAAAAAGCAAAAGAACAAGACCTCTAGCAGAACACCAGACATTGAAAAGCGAAAATCCTATACAGTCCCTGATATATATTCTCCCTAATCATATCCCAAAGACAATTCAGTCTAATCACTGTTGACAGTGCAGCGGGAGAAAGAAGCACCAGCATTCTCAATCATCACTCCAACAAAGTTGTCGCTGTAGTCGGTGACAACACGGTACTTGCCAGGTTCGCCGCCTATTCAATGGTCAGTCCCTATCCCATAACGATAGTGTTGATGACCTACCAGTCCAAGTTCCACCTTGGATAATAGGATACTCGCGCAGGTCCTTGGTGACGCCCTCAAAGATCTGACTGTTACCGCTCTTGTTGCCAAATTTGTGGGGGTAACCGCCCCTGCCATAGTCATCCCACTTCTTGCACTCTTTGAACGCATTGGCGACATCGTCCTGGGAAAGTGTAACGCCGTCGGTACAGGTAGCGCTACCGATCTTCTTCTTTTTGCCGCGGGTGGTCAGGTCGCTGATAATGTGGCCGGTGGATTCCTCGACCTCAGTCTCAGTCTCCTGGACGCTGCGCTCCTCATTACCACCCTTCTTGTCGTCCTTGCCCTTGTCATGCTTGTTCTTGTCATCTTTGTCTTTTTTAGGCTCGCGCTTGGTCAGGTCGTTAAGGTCGTTCTCCGTCTCCTGAACGGTGCGCTCGAGTCCCGTCGTTTGGGCACTGCGCTTTTCATCGCCACCCTTCTTGTCGCCCTTGTCCTTGTCGTGCTTGTTCTTGTCATCCTTGTCTTTGCCAGGCTCGCGCTTGGTGTTTGTGACGCGTGTGCAGGCCGTATAGGCGCCCCCAACAGTTGCGCCGGTATGCTGCATCACACCGCGGAAATCGCCACGGTTGTCCTTGTAGTCTGTGACCACGCGGTACGGGCCAGGTTCGCCTGCGCTCGTCAGCTCGGCTCAGTATCTTCGCGTTCGGGAAGCCTACCGCCACTGTACACTCCGCCCACGATGATGGGGAATTCCCGCAGATCGGTGCCATCGGGAATATTGCCGAACACCTTTTGGTTGTTGCTCTTGTTGCCAAAGTAGGCCGGGTATTTGCCAATGGAGCCGTCGTTGAGTCTGCGGCACTCGTGCAGGGCCTCGCGGATGTCATGTTCAGATAGTGTGCCGTCGGGACATTGGAAGTCGCCGAGTTTGGCGCGCTTGCTGAGCTCAGGGAGAGGAGAGGCATGGGCGAGGGCCATGAGTCCGTAGAGGACGATGGACTTCATGTCGAACAACATTTCGAGAGGCTGGTGCTTTGGACGATGATGTAGAGGAGAAAGGCTTCTGAGTGGGAATCGATTGCTTTGATGCTGTTGATGATGATGAGAGATCTGGCAATATCCTGAGGCCTTTATATCTTCAGAACCGTTCAGCTCATCTCAATTCCAACATGTTTCTAAGCTCAGAACACTGATAGATTCTCATGATCGTCAGGCTGAGTGAGATTTCGTCAATGTTCAAGGCTGAGAAATGCTCCATGCTTTGGCCCCAGCCGTTCCTCTTGTGTATGCTGTGTTCTGCATACATTATGGTGTTAATATCGAAACGGTCCCAGCAGATCAATTCTGGTCTTGGTCGAGATGCTAAGAATGCTTGATCCCTTAGACCCATGGGGCCAAGAGTGGGGGCGGGGAGTAAGCACTACAAGCACTATGCACAAGCTAGTCTGGCCCCCGCAGCCAAGACAGGCTGTGTTGATGTCGCACCATCAAGCACAGCCCACTAGCTCCTCTGTACAGCCTCATCCACTTCTGCAGATCTCAATTGTGCCTCTTCCTTCCTTTATCAGTCAGTTAAAGTTTCTACTTTCTGTTTCCTCCATCCGAACCGCACTTTCAGTCTACGCGAGAAAACCTCCTTACTGATTACCCGCAAATCCTCACTATGGGAAAGGAACACTTCATCCGACAAATTGAAAACTCCGTTGAGTTCAAACTCCTCGACAAAGTAGTTAAGGAGCAAGTCACAGTGCAAGATGCGGTCCAAGAAGTCATCGATATGACCATGACCGCACTATCTATCCATGGCCCAAGCAAACAAGGCGGTATCGGCCTGCCAGACTACAACATCTCTCTTGCGGTGATGGAGCTCGCTCAACGCCTGGAGCCATCAAAACACACCAAGCTTGTCGAGTTTGTATCTCATCTGCAGAAGCAGATTGCCATTGATCCATCTACAAACGAACCCCTCACGGTCCATCGTGATATCCTCTGGACCGACATGCCGTCATTCGGCTACACAGAGCTGGAGACGTGGTATGAGTTTGGTGGTGATTACAAAGGTAATACATCCTCACATTTTAACAGTCAAAACGCTAACGCATGTAGACCCCTGTGATGCAACGCTAGCTTCTGAGCAACGCGATCGCTGGGCAAACCTTAACGCTTTCCTCGCGCAGCTCACTCAGGCTGCGGACATTCACTATCCCCCTCCCGGGGAGGAAGTGCGATTCTTTCCCTTAGACAAATCACTACGGGCCATCTGGACCATGGCGATGGCTCTTGAGAACGAGCGTCCTCCTGCGTCTCTGGGAGAGACGGCGGCGATGGAGGCCGCTTGCCTGTGGTTCATTTATGCTGCGGAGCGGCTGTGGGCGAATGTGGTCAATAATCGCACGTATCCTGGGGCGGCTGGCGCTGGTCCAGGGAAGAGGTATGAAGAGGAGGGCTGGGCAGGTTATACGCGGGAGCGATGGGGGATATGGGAGGATGCGCTCAAGGAGGCCAGGGCTGCTTGCGAGAATGAGCGGATGCGGGTGCTGATTAACGACGCTTTGGCGAGTATGAGGGCCACCGTAGATCAGTAGTGCATGCAAATTATTCGAGGTCTAGCGATATCCATAGAGATATCCAATTAAATGAACTGGGTGGTCAATTGTATCATAGATTGATGTCTGTTGCTTGTCTAAGGCTAGCAGTGTCATTCCTAATCACATTCACTCATTCATTCATAACTGAACTTTGACCTTATTCGCTTTTTACAAGGCAGATCTGGGTCAACTCCCTCTACCTCATTGACTCTCTTTCCTCCATTCATATACTAAAATCATAATCTTCCTTCCCCACCGTCGTCCGCGGGCTGTTACAGTCTGTCTCTGCTAAATATAATACCTCTTAGCCCTTTCTATATAACACTGTAAGCGACGTTATTACTCAGGTGAGGAACAGAATGTTGAGAGTTGAGGTCGTGAATTATTCTGTAAGTGATATACAGCTGCATGTATAATGACGCTTTATTTACTTATCCGCTACCTCTGTTGTTTCAGTTCATCTCTCAGATGGGAAAAGTAATGCTGTGTCGACTATCTTCTGCTAAAGGGCTTTACTAGTAGTACACTGACGGAAAAATATTCATTTGATATTCCATACTTTCAGAAGAAAAGCCACATCACCTGTCATGACCACTATATCTAGATTATCTACATCCTGGACAATTATGGTGGTGATCAGAGATGCTCTGAGCTTATTGTCCTGAGGCTTTGAGCCTTACGAGCAATATTGACAAGGCAGCCTTAAATGGTGGGGCTGAGGTGAGCTGAACATTTCTTTATTTCCGCCTTATTTTCTGGCCCGCACGATAAAGTTCACTTCTGCACTGCCGAGAGGCCAAAGCCTCGTGTCTGCTGTTGTTTTTATCTCTGCCTGATCAAGGGGATGGACAAGCTCATGCCCAGCCTCTCACAGGAATGCTTAATACGAGGGAATAGTGGGGTTTCAGCCTGGCGCCTGTCGATCCTACCAACATTTGATGGCCCATATGATTGATTGGTTAATGTCGATCTTGTCTGTTATCAACGTGGCGCAGCGGCTGGCAGATCGACAAGTGAGATACCGAATGAGGATGTACTGCATGGATGACCCACGGCCTGTTCGTCTTATTTACCGCTTCTCCTGCCTTTGTCTTACGCTTTTGTCATTCTCTTCAGCCAGATCGACAGCACGCAGGAAGTGCATTCCTACGGAACAGACTTGCACAATGACCAACTCCCTCTCTGCCGCTACCTGCGCCATCTACGCAGTCCTCGCCATCCCAATCCTCTACCTCCTCGTACGACACGGTCGCTACGGTCTTCTGGGATGGCTCTTCCTCTTCTTCTTTTGCACCATCCGCATCATCGGCGGCGCGCTGGCCGTCAACAACCCCAGTACAGCCGCTACCATCATCTCCAGCGTCGGTCTTTCTCCTCTCCTCCTCGCAACAGCCGGTATCCTACACGAGGCGTAAGTCCCAGCCCACAAATACTATATCAATTCTGACATGAGCAGCCGACACTATCGCATCCAACCCCTCGACAAGAAAATGGAATGGGTCTCCGTCCTCGCCTACCACATGCTCGTCGTCGCAGGCGTGGCCCTCACAGCAGCCGGCTCCGCAAAGCTCCAAGAACACGAACAACCCCTCGACAAGGCCGAGAAGATCGCCAAGGCGGGTATTGCCATTCTGGCAGTCGCGTGGGGGATCCTGGTTGCCTGGACTGTGTTCTCGTTTGTTGCGAGCCGGGGACGGAATTCCTCGCTTACGAGGGCGGGGACTGTCGTAAGTCACCCGATTATACCCCGTATAGAGGAATGCTATGCTAATGTAACAAACAGCTACTTATAACCGTCGACTTCTCGCTCGTCTTCATCGGTATCCGAGTCTTCTATAGTCTTGCTGCGCTGTGCACGCAGAAGGCGTCGCTTAATCCTATCACGGGGTCCCTGGCTATTCGCGTGGTGCTGGGATTCCTGCCGGAGGTGATTGCCACGCTGGCGTATATTTTTGCGGGGGTCAGGACACAGGGTGCGGCGTTGTTGGCGCATGTTGAGGAGGAGGAGATGGTTCCCGCTCCGCCGAAGCCGAGGGCTCAGCCTTGGGTTTAGCTGACATGATTTATGCGTTGTGTATATTTAGATTGCGTATATACCTAGATGATGAGATTGCAATGATCAGTAATCTATAACGAACTGTGTGGACGTCTTATAGAGAATGTGTTAATAGCTTCGTTTATGCTAAAACTATTCTAGCGCATAATAGTCGACCGCATGCTTGGATATGTATCCAGTAACAATAACCTCGATTAAGAAGAAAGCTCATTGCACTCAACGCTGTTTCTATAATGCTCTGGGAGGAGATCATAGCCAGTGATGCTAGCGCAGACTATACATGACATTAACTCACAAACGGATGATTACCCAGAATTAGACATTAGACATTAGACATTAGACATTAGGCATTAGATATCATCAGCCCTACAACTCGACCTCCTCAAACCCATTCTTTCCCATCCTCTTCCCCCTCTCAATATGACAAGCCCACGAAGCCCAAACCACAAGCATCAAATGAACCACCCTACACCATGAGCTTATTCCATCTCCATCTCAAGGGGAGTCAACTTACACATTCACAAACACAACCACATACGCAAATATCTCCACTCGGAGCACTGCATCCCCATCACAACCCGCAGAGTAACAGTTATAACCCCCCTCCATCGCCGGCGCCAGCACCGCCAGCCCGATGGCCCCCGCGATCACATTCGCCAGGAACGCAATCAGGTCAAAGGCGAGGTATATGCCCGGGTGGATGCGGCGGGGGACCAGTCGTATCGTCAGGGCGACGAGGGACCAGAGGAAGGCGTACGCGATCTGATCTTGTTAGATTGATGAAAGTAGATGGAGTGCTTAGAGGCGGGTGGCGTACGGTTCCCAAAACGATGGTGTTGATGCTCCCCGCTCCGTCGTCGGAAATGTCCTTGTGGTGTGTGATGGACCAGGCGAGGGAGATGAAGCCCGCGGCGGAGGTGAGGAGGGCTGCGGTGCGGAGGGAGAGGACGGCGGGATGATTATCTGAGAGGGATGTTGGAGACATGGTCGAAGTTGTTAGACAATTTCTGGAGGGGAGGAGGAGTGATTTATATCTGTCATGGTGATCGGCACACCATGAGGTCAGCTCGTGTTGGCGGCGCTGCACTGACCAATCTTGGGGCGGAATCATCGACAGATGCGTCGATCACTGGGCTGTACAGCCTGCGGAATTCTTGGCGTGCCTTGGCGCTTAGCTGGGCAAGAGTTGGTCGCTACTCGATAATGCTCGATAACTTGTTATATGACGGCTAATCCCTGCGGACGATCACCACTGGCCCATAGTACTCCCTCCGCCCCTTGACGGCATACATGACCAAACTGAGGACGAACACACCCCCGAAGATCACCACGCTCCAGTTGAAATTGTCCACTGTGACTGGGGTTTCGCTCGGCCACAACGCCCAGAACAGTGCGAACATGCAATACAGCAAACCGACGATATTGACGGTCAACCCCCATCGGCCTAGGTCCCACCGCCGCGGGGGCAGAGTATCCGGATGCCAGATTTTGCGGTAGATAATACAGCTAATGGAGATGATGTAGGTGTACATGAGAGCTGCTACATTAAGGGAAATAATGGCATTGAAGGCGGTTAGCGAGCCGATGTTGATGAGAGAGAGGAGGCAGCTGATTATGCACGATAGGGCGATCGCATTCACGGGTATTTTGCGTTTGGGGTCGACTTTGGCGATCCAGCGGGCAAAGGGCAGTCCTTTATCCCGGGCAAAGGCGAAGGTCTGCCGGGATGTGGAAGCATTGAAGAGGATGTTGCTGAAGATGACGGGAATGAGGATAATTGCCGTCAGCCCATTGACCCCCGCGACCGACGTGGCGTTCTTGAACACATAGATGAACGGGAATCCGGTGGCGTCATCCAGTGCGTCTTCGACTGAGGGGATGGCAAAAAGGAAGGAGATGACCACCACAATGGCCATGACGCCGTTGCTAAAGTATCCCCACGCAATCGCTATCGGGACGTAGCGTCCTGCGTCTTTGACTTCTTCAGACATGTGTGCTGTCGCATCGGAGCCTGCCAGGGTTAGAGCAATTCGGAACGTGTCATCAACATACTCAGCGAAGCATAGATGGCAGAGATCTGCCCGATCAAGGCGCTCAGCCCCATACTAGACCAGCCTCCACCATTCGTCCACTCCGTGAACACAGCCTTGGCGGATTGGTGCGGAGCCATGGCCCACAGTACAATCACGACGACGGTCCAGGACAGGATATGCAAGATCATCAGCAGGTTATTGAACAGAGGCATCATGTCCGCGGCGTAGACGTTGAAAAAGTAGATGACCACGATCATGGCAAAAACGAACAACGTTCCTTGCCACCGTTCCGGATGGTAGTCTGGATAGCGAACACTGATGAGCCCCTGGATAATTGTACCGGTCAGGAAAGAGCCTGATGCAGAGCCGGCCTGCCATGCTAGAACGGACATCCAGCCAGTGAGGTAGCTCAGGAATTTCTGGTATCGCGGCGAAGCAAACTCGGACACCCAGTGGTATTGTCCACCAGAGGTCGGGGCCCTTTCTGGTCAGCAGTGCTCTTGATCTCACTTGAACTACAGAAAAGATGAACGTACATGGAAGCCATCTCCGACAACGATGCAATGATAAAGCCGAACCCGACAAACGTCCACACATATGACCACACCATCCCCGCGAGTCCGCCATTTCCCAGCCCCTGCGTGTTGGATCTAGATCACTCAGTACGGTCGGTCGCAAGGATCAAGTGCACTCACATGAGAATAAACTCCCACGTTGCCTGAAGTACCGACGCGAAACTCAATGCAGCCAAAGGGCGGAGGTTTCTCTGTTGGTGTCAGAACGTATCATATCACCATCTACCGCTATTCACCTTTAGCTCCTGGACCTTTCCCATGCGCTGCATATCATGATCATCATATACCGTCCCCGTGTGTTTGGCGTCTGTGGACGCGTGATGTCCTGCTTCCACCTGAAGTGAGGCCATCGCCGGCGCCTTGGTTCCCGTCTTCATCGTGGAATTATCGTGTATCGATGCCATTGCTGGATTATCGAATTCGAAGGGACGTAGGTCGACATCCGCAAAGATCGAAAGGAAGAAAAGAGGGGGAATGCAGGATGAAGCAAGGGGGAGTGACGGTGCCCGGAACAAACAAAACAAGCGAGGTGGGGTTACACAGAGGCATGGGCGTGCTCGTGTCTGTTGCTCTTCAGCAGTCTGACGTGGTGCGATAATAAGCATAACCCCCGATCCCAACTGTCAGCATTCTCTTCATCCTCATTTGCATCAATGGTCAGAAGACTCGTCTTGATCCCTGCTGTCTAGGATCATCATGCAACTAATGCATCAGCAAACGTTGTTCACCAACCACTGCAGTTTCTCATCATGCCAGATTCCCATTCCAACCAGCTCTCTCTTTGCAAATCAAGAGGCTGATCCCTGGCGTTAAATTCTGTGATACTTTTGCTGACTTCGCCCTCTCTGGCCATATATCCCGGCCATCTCACCTGCTCTGCTTATATGAGCAGTTTATCATCTTCTCAACAATGTCGCTCTTCCCCAGGAGCAGCGTTTATCGATATCGACGCCAGTCATGACGACTGCCACGGCTCTCCCGTCGGGTGTTAGTCGCCCTCCAACGGTGGACCGAAAGGATAACCGTGGAGGGCTGGTTGTGGTGATCACCGGCTTCTGCTTGGTCCTGGTACTTTCGTCCCTGGCCGCTCGGACGTTTTCCTCGTACAAGAGGCGGACCATCCAGAAAGACGACTACGGGTTTCTGGCTGTAGTGGTAGGACGCTGAAGTTTCTTTGCAAAAACACCCTAATTTGGAGCAGATTGTTGCACTATCGCAGACGTCTCTGGTACTGGCGCAGGCTCACTACGGCTGGGGAGCAACCGAAAAGTCACTGTCCTCCGCAACAAAGGAGAAAATGCTCAAGGTACGTTGAAGCGACCGTGTGTTTTCTTCATACTGACATCCGCAGATGGGATACGCCTCCGACATTCTCTTCGTTGTCGCCCTCGGCCTGTCGAAGATAACCACCACCGTCTTCTACATGACACTTTTCAAGCAGAAACTCCGTGCTGTCATCCGAGGTCTTCTAGTCGGAGGAGGTATCTGGGTTATACTGTCGGTGATATTGTTAGCAGTCCGATGTGGCCATCGACCATGGCTCGATATCGACGTACAATGCAGCGGTTTGGTATGTCAACGCTATCCAAATCGACCCATGCTGACAGACACAGTTCCAAAGATGGCAGGCAATCACCGCTATTGATATCATCATCGAAGTCCTCCTCATCCTCTACTCCGCCCGAGCGATATACAGCATCAAGATCTCCACACGACAAAAGATCGTCGTGTTCGGCACCCTCAGTTGTCGAGCCATGTAAGAACCCTTCCCTGTTCCACAATCCCGCTGACGAGAGCAGACTCATCCCCCTGTCGGCTACGCATCTCTACTACATCAAGGTCCAGCTAGATTCAGATAACCCAACCCTCTATGGCGCGTTCGCCAGCATCACCGCAGAACTCTACCTCGCCATGAGCGTTGTTTGCCTCGTCGCTTCGTTCATGAAGCCCGTGCTGGCCGTCTATGTCGACGAGTACGGCATCGCCTACACGGACGAGGTATCACCGCCGAACTCGAAGCTGCGAAGTCATACCTCGTCTGAAAGCAGGTCGCGTCGGTTGCGGCGGTCGGAGACAGAATACGATCGTGGCTGGGACCGGATGCCGGATCGGACCATCCCGGCTGCTTCAGGGGGACGCATCATGAAGACGGTGCAGATTAGTGTGAGCGATGGGCCGATGGAGCTTGAGAGGCGGGAGCCGGAGGTCGTGATTGGTGTATAATGTACTATATAATTTGTGTGTTGATATTTTGGCTTCGACATCATGATAGACGGAATATATTGGCAATGCTCCATTAGAAAGGGATTGATGTGTATAAAGGCAACCGTGTGCTGCTTCACGATGACCCCGCTGCGCCAGTCGAGAACGGAGTTGGTCGAAGAATTGATCCCAACGTCGGATTCAGAGGCTTTCTGAGGTTCTAACAAAGGAGACGCAATAAAATAACTGAATTAATTGCCTACAGGTCTATGGATTGCTCGTTGAGCAAGTTTTCGTACTGATGTTTTTCACCTTTCAGCAAGCGGATATATATAATTGTTAACAAGCTTCAGCCTCACGTCCGACTGCATCAGATACGTAGACTGAGGATTGTATGGCTTGCTAACGTCATAGATTTGAGCACTAATTTGTACATCTAACCTAAGTAGAGTCATATCACAGCTTCAAAGGAATAAAAGTGGTTGGGTTCATTACAATAAGGGCCAGTCACATGACTGGCTCTGTGTTGGTATGAATGACTCGGTGAAGATAGTCCAGATCTTTTGCCCACGCTGAGGGGTAGACAAATCTTGAAATGACCTGAAGAGGCTGAATCATCACCTTTTAATCAACTTGCTGCAATAAATCTCCAGCGTCACAGCTGAGGGGAGAGTCACACTTGGCCCGGATCTGCAGCTAGGCAGCCATCTCCCCACTATTGGCCAGAACGTTAGCCTGTGGCGTGGATCCTTAGGCAGCACTGCCCCAAAAAATATACATAAGTGAGTACCCAGAATCAGTCCATGTCAACAGCGGCATCCATCATGAACGGCACAGTCGAAAAGGTCTTGTATCTCTCCTCCCTTGCTGTGGGATCCTGGGTAGCCAAGAGACTCCTGGACGAATATGGCGATCTCCCACTGCATCTCCTCTGCTCCAGCATCGAGGTCCACTCCTACGATGAGGCCTACAATTACCTCCTCTACTGGCTTATGAAGCAAAAGTTCAACGCGAACAAAAACCGCTTGCTGGCCATAACGTCGCTGACGAGCGGTCATGGGGGTTTCTTCGGTGAAGACAGCAACAAGGACAATGATGCGGCCGAGGAGGACGAGCTGGAGGTCCACGCTGATGCAGAATACAAGGCCTCCCTGGCGAATACCCGTCCCTTGCTCTGGACTCCCTCGGCGGGAACACACTGGTTCCGGTATCGCGGTCGGTATCTAGCGCTCACGCGGGAGGTAGAGGAAAATCGGCAAACGGTGTACACGCGCACAGAGAAGCTGCGGGTCTCCTGTATTGGGCGGGATCCAGCCATTCTGAAGGAGTTGATGCAGGATGCTCGGGTGGCGTTCTCGCAAAAGGAGAAGGGGAGGACGGTCATCTACCGCGGCATGAAGTCGATTTACGATGGCGAGTTGGCTTGGAAAAGGTCGACTTCGCGTCCTGCCCGACCACTGTCCACTGTCATTCTGGACGAAGTGGTCAAGAAGGCGTTTCTCGAAGACATTCAGCACTATCTGCACCCCAGTACGATGCGCTGGTACAGCGACCGTGGCATTCCCTATCGGCGGGGATACCTGTTCTATGGACCCCCGGGGACGGGGAAATCCAGTCTCGCGTTCGCCGCAGCAGGGTTCCTCGGCTTGAATGTGTACATGCTCAACCTGAACTCGCAGCAGCTTACGGAGGATGCCTTGACGCAGCTGTTTCTGACGCTTCCGAGACGATGTCTGGTGCTGCTGGAAGATATCGACGCCAATGAAGTGACTGGTCGCCGCAAGCCAGGTGCACGGCGCCGAAAGGGAAAGAACGGGATCTCGCTGTCATCCTTGTTGAACATCATCGACGGTGTCGCGGCTCAGGAGGGCCGTGTGCTGATCATGACGACGAATCACCATGAGCACCTCGATCCGGCGCTCATCCGACCCGGCCGGGTAGACTACAAGCTGGAGTTTCAGCTCGCCAGTCGAGATCTCTCTGCGGCCATGTTTCGGAACATCTTCCAGGTCTACACGCCGGCTGAAGTGGATAGTGCACAGGTTGGCTCTTACGTTCAGGGCGACCTATCGGCGAAAGAAGGGCCTGCAGCGATTGATCTCCAAGATCTCGCCAAAGGGTTTGCGGAGAAGATTCCGCCGTGCACCTTTTCTCCTGCTGAGGTTCAGGGATATTTGCTGCGGTATCGGGATTCACCAGAGGATGCTGTAGGGGGTGTCGAATCATGGGTTGAAACATCGCTGGCCGAGAAAGCAGCTAATGACCATGTGCTTGATGACAAAGAAGACGAGGGTAGTAAGAGTGAATCTGAAGACGAGTCCGAGGAGGAGGATAATGAGAATCCGGATAAAGAGGCATCTTGATGTGATTCAGAGTCATTCTCTGCCTTGCGTTTGGTGCCATCATCCTGAACATAGAGAGATGACGAGGAAAGGACCTTATACACCACACAGTATATTAAATTACTAAGATAGTCTATCATAATATATGCACAACAAAGGAGAGCATCAGACAGCAATCATTAAGAAACAATGGCACCTTGTTCTCCAAGTAGGTGGCCCCCACTTGATTCTGTCTGCATGTCATGCTATACACCATCCTCACAGTTCGATGGAGCAAGCACAACATCATCAATAAACACCCTCCCCAGATAGGAAGATCCCTCAAAGGTACAACTAGCCACAATATTCAAATACTCCTGCGCCAGCCTCGGCCGGTAATGCCCAGAGATAGACGTCCACTCGCCAGAGTTGTACAGGATATCGGTGGCCACGAAACCCGTAGTCGAGTTCTTGCCCAAGTACACATAAAACGAGCAGTAGTTTGCGGCGGGCGATGCCGCTTGCACCTGCATGCTGAAGGTGTAGTCGATGCTCGGGTCGAGGTTTCTCAAGGGCTGAGAGATGGTGTTGCCTCGGTTTCCGATGGCAGTTTCTAGGTCACTGCTCCGATCAGTTGAGCGCTGACAATTCATGGACAGACATACAGGTAGTAATCCCCGTCATATGCTTCGGTTGCATTGCTTATCTTGGCCACGTTGAGGGCAGATGGGAGCCATGGGAATAGATTGCCTGATTCGAAAGATGGGTTGACGACGAGGTTGCAGGGTGTTGAGAGGGCCATTTTTATTGCTAGTGATCAATATAGAGTTTATGATTTGGGAAGGAATACCTTTATATATGCCGTGCTGGGTTCTATGAGAATCCTGATTTATAACTTTCTAAGACATCTATGCAGGTGTCAAGCATCATCTCCACGCGAGGGGCTTACGCGCGGGAGAAACTGAGCCAATTAGCGGATCGGGTGGTTGACTGGTTGTTATGGTGACATCAGGTCGCCTTATTTAGTTCGTTTAATTAGAGCCGCTAATACGTGAGTCATTTCCTTAGTTTGCAAGAAATTCCGTGGCAACAGGACCAGATGATTTTCGTATAATAAAATTGGATGCCTGAAAGATCTCGAACCCTCACTGTTCACCACCAAGCAACGTCAACATGTCTCTCAGTCTCTCTCATGCTAGCCTTTACAAAGGCCTTGCCATTGGCCTCCTTGTTTCATGGACTCTCACCGCGCTCAGTTATACCGCCCTTGTCGCCCTCAACACCAACAGCACGTACCTCGAGATCATCGCTTGCACCACCATGTTCACCTTCCTCATGTGCCGTCTTCTGGTCGCTTGGAACCCGTCTCCTAAATCTGAAAATATCACCATAGCTCAGCTAATTGCTTCCGCGGACTCTGGGTCTTGCCGGGGTGCTCTCGTCCTATTCTCGCTGTGCTGCACATGGCTCTATGAGCTACTCAACCAGGCGTTGGTGTTGTTCTTCATGACGGTCTTCGGGGGTGTTATCGCGACAGCCATATACAATGATGCGTTTACGGACGGTGTACAGGAGACTGAACCCCATAACGGAAGCACAACATCCCTCTCCGTCCATGTCAAGGAGTTCAAGGAAACGGTCGGATTTGATCCGACAGAGCTTTTCAAGATGATTCCCCCGCGAGTGTTGCTTTGTTTTGTTGGACTGATGTGGCTGAACTTTTTGAGCCTGGGGGCTTATGTTCTGGGCCATGCGGTGGTGTCGTTGAAGAAGGTCTTGTCTTCGCCTACATCTACGTCTACTACGACGGAGTCGACGGTTGATAAGGCAGTGGCCGTGGCTTCAAGCGAATAGATTGAAAAGTTCGCTGGTTAGGTGAGCAGCATATACCGGCGTGTAGATCTCCGTCTCGATAATGCCGAGATCGCCATCTCTGACGCATCTGTCACGGTCTGGCAAACTGTAGCATTAGATCTAATGTCACATAGCCCAGAGAAGCCGGGGTGCTCCCTTTAAAGACTACCTTATCGTCCACGCTGACCGGAACTGGATACTTTCGTCGGGAAGCTGTGAAGCTTCATGACTACCTGCGACACACCGGCTGCGTTGTCCTAAGAGCACTGGATCCAGACGCTGTTCTTGACCCTCTCACAGAACCAGTGCGTTTCAGAGCCCTAAGAGGCATTGACTCTAACTGTCTGTATGAGATCTTCATCAAATTAAACTATCCACTATTGACAATGGGCAAACCACGCCAGAAACGTAATTATGCAACACATTCATCAATCCAACCAGACTATGTTAGTAATGCTAGATCTGGCTGGAAGTTGAGATCCTGGCTGTTACGACAGCACGTTCATTCCTTCATGAGTTCTGGACGCTGCTTTGGTCCATACTGGAGCCTGCCACAGTCGCAAGCGTGTCGTCTTCTGGATAGATGATCTTGATGATGCTTGAATTGGACATGTTCCTGTAAGTACCTCTGGAAGACTCATGAGGGCAGTTATGACAAAAAATCCGACATTGTAACAGCAGCGCTCCTGAAATGGAGTTGCCAAAGTCACTGTGCCGCAAACGCAGCCGCATAAACATTCATGTGCTTGACAAACCCGCCTAACCTTCTCGGCCTCCAGCCAAGAAGTTGCTCAGCCCGCGCAGAAGAGCCCCGGAACGTCGTACTCATTGCTTTAGCAAACTTGTCCCCGCCAGCACCCTTCAGCGTCACCGTCCCTTTGAAACCCAGGCTTACAGCCATAGATTCGAAGATCTCGCGCATGCCCTCCTGGCTCGTGACCAGGTCAAAAACAGGGTATACACCCGTTCCGGAGACGCAAGGGAGCTTCGCAATAGCGCACTGGAAGGCTCGTGCTACGTCGTCGACATGTACCAGACCTGGCCTTGCATCCGCCTCCAAAGGGATCTCAATCGACGTCTTCTCTCCACCCCTCGCTGCGTTGAGAAGCGGCGTAACAAAAGACGACCAGATCGTCAGTTCCCTGCCATAAATCAACGCGGGCCGGAGAATCATCACATCCAGCACCTCGGTCGCGTTTAGTATCTGCTTTTCGAGATCACGACGCCAGGCAACTAGCTCCGGGGCAGGTGAGGGTGCCAGATCTACGACGGAGAGGTCGTTAACGGCTCGGGAAGACGAGCCGTGCACCCAGGTCCCGGAGCAGTAGATGAAGCCAAGCTTTGGTCCTTTCACGCCGTGACGCCCGTATTCCTTCTGCCGTTCCTGACCGATAAGCATCACGTTGTGGAGGAAACTATAAGAATCCTGGTTTGCGCCTGAGACGTCGACTAGAATGCCAATGTTCTCGGAGCGGATCACGGAGAGTACGGCTCTGGATCTTCGACCGGATTGCTGCAGAGAACGGGTATTATCTCCTGTCGGGCGAGCTGGGCTGCTTTCTCCTGCGAACGTGCCACGCCGTAGACTGTGTGTTGGCCTGACTGGACGAGCCTGTGGGCTACGTGCTTGCCTAGATATCCCGTTGCTCCTAGGATGAGGATTCTCGACATGGTTGGAATAGGAGAAGAGAGGAATAACCGTGATTTATGCTGATTTATTGAATGCCCTATACAATAGAATGAGAATCTCGAGAGTATGTGATTTGGTTGAAGCTAGGGCTTGATATATGTTTCTATTCGGACTTAATAAGGCTAGAACCGCCGAAGGTCTACGCTCCCGGTTTTATCCTCCTCTACGGAGTACGGTTTTAAGTCCGACAGTAGGTAAGCACCTGATGTCAGGCCCAGTCAATAGCTCTCAAGCTCCGAGGAATCTAATCATACACCATAATGATGGTTTGATTCCAGTTCTGGATATCTCTACTTTGTCGCAGGGAGTTAGTCACTCCGAAGACAGTAGTTACTCATCCCCGTCCCTACCGGACCCGCCCGGAGACCGGAGCGGTTTGCCGATCTAGGATAGCAGTAGGTACACCCGAACCCCAACTTTTATCCACCAGGCAAATCCAGCATCCCTGGGAGACTTCTACTTCATGAGTTTAAGTGTCAACTCAAACCTAACAAGAGGTACTGGGTCCAGGCTGAAGGGGACATTAGCACCTATCCAGGTTACGAGTATGTGCCTTGTCCTTGCTCTTCAGGGCCATCTTCTTTAATTCACGAGCGGAGGCTGTAATAACTTAGGGGCCTGTGCTGTATGATGAATCCAGCTGCATGGTAAGTATCCCATTCCATTCATTGCCCTCATTTCGAGCATGGAAGAGGCATAACTACCTACATCCCTTTTGGGAAATCCGCTCCTGAGCTGGTTAATGAGAAGATTGTATAGAGACATTATACTACTAGGCCAAAAAGGATGTCAGGACACGGGCATTGTCAGTCTAGGCTAGTCTTCGGGTCTGCTCCTCGCTGGATCCCTGAACAAGAGATATTAGGAATATGTTCAGGCTGTAGGGAAGATTGCAACTATCGAATTATATGACCGCTTGCCCGATTGGAAGGGATGTGATTTGACTCTGCACCGGCGCTCTTGGCAGAATATTCGGTAGTATCCGATCATTTGATTAGCCGAAATCATAGTCATTCGTTTAGAAGAATCGGACCTTCATTGATTTTTAATTGGCCATATAAATCACTAATGATTTGCGAATCAAACTAGTACTATTAATTTCAACAGTTATGAGCCTGGCTTGCCCTTAAGGGACGCACGGATTGACTTCTGGTATCATTCTTTGAAGGCTTGCATATTGGAGAGCTCTATCTCATGGTATTTGGCGAGATATCTCATTAGAATTAACTTGCCTAGTTCAGAAGAATTAAAGTTATATTAACACCGCCGTCACCCCTGTATCAAAGCGGACATGGAATATCACATTAAACGAATAAGATCCACCAAAAAGGTCCCCATCATGCTGGATTCGCCCGATGATTACGCGAAACCCTTGAGCGCTCCAACCAGCACGATTACACGTTTAACCACGTTTAGACCGTTTAAATCGACTCCAGCATTCCTTATTGGCCGGAGACACCCACATAGACTGGCTGACCCAATCCGCGGTTTGGGTTGCATAGGGGTTGACTCTGATCTAATCCGCACGGATATGGATGCACATGGATATGGATAACCCGTTGGGTGTACGTGACCTAAAGGCTCATAGAACTGATAAGCTTATCTAACAAGATCTAGGCGTAGGTACGGAGTAGATTCACTGAGAAAAAATTAGAGTTATGGTGGGGTCTATATTTTAGATTTATGGTTAGGATAGTAGTGGTAAGAGATATATCTCCGCACCACTTTTCGTCTTAACCTCATAGAGTAAGTTTTCAATTGACCCATGCCTGGAAAATCAACCCCTCTTGCACCTCCGTTAGCGAGGTCCTTTCCAGCTAGTGGTTTGTACAGAGCCTATAGATTAGAATCCCATAACATACTTAGCTACTAGCAACCTCGGCCACCCTTCCACTTTTGCCCTGTCCCTTGATTTCCGGTTCCAAATATGGGCTTGGCGGAGCTATGTCCTGCTGCAAAGCTTTCGGAGAGAAGAAGACGCTAATGGTCTGATTCAAGTGATTCCATCTTTTGGACTTCCGTTGGGCCAAGTCTGTAAAAACGTGCCCATGTCAGCTAGGCCGAAACCACCAACAAGTATGAGGAGCTCCTCACCGTTCAGGATATAGAGTAATTCAACCAATATGGGCACCCAGATTGTCAAAGCAGCAATCTGCCCGAAGCCCCACTGATCATCTTCAAATTTGTCTCTCGCCAAGCTTCGCAGATGCCTTCGTTGTCGCCACATCATTGTCAGGCCGAGAACCATGCCTGCAGTCAAGAGTCCAATTAGTAAGACCCAAATCATCATTAATATCCTGAACAGCGACTTGTGTAATTTGTCTGCCTGGAATTTCTTCTTCAGAGACTCTATCCAGAATCCAACGGTACCAGCGACGGCAAAGATAGCAACGGTCCATGATGGATATGGGACAGGCTTGATGACGCTGTAGTCGCTTGAGCTGTGCGCGCAGCCATCAGAGGCAAGCCTCCAGTCTGCCCTACTGTCACTGCCCAGGTGGCTCTGGCCTAGGGCAACAATCACTAGGACAAACACTACAAAATAGAGCAGCACTCGCGCGCCCCAGCGCGACCTTGGTTGCGCGATGACCAGGCAGAAGAAGGTCACAAGGATGCTGTTAACTTGCAGGAATGCCAAGGCCTGCATCTCAGCGATCTCAAAGGTGGGCGGGTTCTGTGACAGGTTTGCGATCGTAGCTAGAGCGGACGAACAAACAAAGAAGCCATTCGAGGAGAAGAAATTCGTTTGAACGTCTTTTAAGTCTCGGATGAAGGCGCTCGCTGGCGCTAAAGTGAGATAGAATATACGATAAACAGGACCGATGAGGATGGTAAGCCCGGTCTGTATGCTATATGCATACATCATCTGGATTAGGAGGAGGCACAATCGATCAGCTAGACGTTTGTGGAGAAACATGGAGAAAATTTGTCTCTGCGAACTTAACTTACCCCGATCCCAGAAAGATCGGGGTTTCCCACCCCGTATGTGAGCAGGCACAGATTCTGGCAGTTCTGGACCTCCACAGTGATGTTTAGCCCGTTCTTGTTGGCGTAATCGAAGAATTCGTTGATGGTGCCAAAGTTACATGTCCTATTCTCTCCGATGGATGTTCCTGTGGATGTAGCTGATATGGCGCTCGAGACTTCGGATGGGGTTATTCTCTGTGGAAATGCTCCAGCACCCTGTAAGCATAACAGAGCGTACGCTGCGAGGTAGTGGAGAAGGGGTCGCATGGTCGATTAAGCTGTAGAGCGAACCTCAAACGTGAATTCATTAAGAGGGATTGGTATTATCCAGACAGGGAGGCGCTTTCTCTTGAAATACTCACGGTGCCAGCATAAGTCGCTTGAATACTTCTCACCACGAACCTTGATTCACAGCTGCAGAATAAGTAACCAAGGCTGAGGTCAACTCACTACTCAGCAAATCAACGGTGCCCTACCTGACGCCTTATCGTTGGACGTCAGCACCGTTTACTTGGGATCCATGGTGTATACTGAATTGGGGATAGCCACAGTGCACAAAGTTTGGGACAAGATAAAGTAAAATGAAATTCATCGAATGATAGGGGCTGGGATTGAACAAACGCACGGCCCGACTACCATTCGTGGACATCGTCGCTTCATAGTAGCGCATCAGGATGTCCAGCGTAACGCCAAATCAGGGCTTGGGTAGTTAATTTGGGTCTGGCTGCAACTCAGCCAGCCACACTTCTCTCTAATACATTCTTAAGAGGCTATGTATAACACTGATCCTGGCCACCCACCCTATCCCAGTAGGAAATTTTAACTACAGTCGTCAACAGTGTAAACATTACACAAGGAAACCAGGTCGGGGACACGAAATATGAGGAATGAGGGAGGCGACCTATCATTACCCATAAGGGCCTGGCTTCGCTTCTCGCCCCCAAAATAGCGGCCTGATTCAGCATCAGACCGGGGGATGCATTTCCAGCCCAGCTCACTGGCTGTAGAGCGGGAAATCAGCCGCCACAATAGGGTCGGAGCAGTTGTTAGCCAAAAATGCCAGAGTTAGTGCCGGGGTTAACGCCTAAGTTCACCCTAGCATGGCCGTCTTGACCCGTTTCACAGTACATATACCATTGCTGACAGATTGGCCTAATAATGACCAGCAAAGCCAAGAGAGGAAAGACTGCGCTATGGCATCTGGGTGGGGGGATACGAGAACTGACAGGGATTTATCCCCAGGCTTGCGGCCGCTTGCCTTCAGCCGCAAAACTTGAGCACAGTTCTCATTTCCCACCTCTTCTTCACAGCCTGTAGGGTAAGCTCGGAATTTCCTACCGCCAATTGGAGGTGAACTGCCCCCACTTTGGTAGGAACATGCATGCAGCCAGTTTCTTGGCGTTTGGATCCAGCTTCCTCTTCAAGTGCAAAGAAATAGGCACACTCCTTGGGAAACTTGGTGGTCCGGGTTCGCGGCTTAACTGACTAGTTAATTAAGTTAAGTGCCAGATCTCTGACTAAGATCTTGGAGAAACGCCCCATAGCCTGAAGGCTGATTTTGGTCCCGAATCACTGAAAGTTAGGCATAAAGTCGAACCAGCTACCCCTCCGGGACGTTCTGCGCTGTACGTCGCTCAGAAGCGATCCCAGTCACGGATCCCTAGTTACAAGCCATCACTATGGCTGGAGTTGGTAGTAACCTGAAAGCTCACCCATATGAGCCTTCTCAAACTTCCGAGGTCGGCTCAGAGACAAGGAGTGCGACAACCACTGAGTATAGGCGCCATCCCGTCTACTATCCCAGCGAATGGCTTTTGGAATCCACCAGTTCAGTCGTGGCCCTAGGCCTCCTCCTTGGAATTGCTATTATCTTCTGGTATATGGACAACAGGCCTCTCTCTGCCTGGGGCGGTCGCGTCTCTCTGAACGCGACAATTTCTATCCTGACAACTGCATGCACTACGGCGCTGATGCACGGAGTTAGCGCATTTATCGGACAGTCTAAATGGCTCCACTTCAAGAACAGGCCTCGCAAGCTCGCTGACTTTGAAACATTTGACGGAGCAAGTCGCGGTGTCTGGGGGTCTATTCTACTGCTTACCACTATCAAGTGGAATCTAGCCACCATCGGCGCATTCATCACGATCTTGCGACTTGCTTTCTCACCTTTCACACAACAGGTGGTTTTGATTAAGCAGCATGAGATCATCTCTCCTGCTGACACCGCCGCCTTCGGATATGCGCACAATTACAGCCGGAATACACTGAGTGGCCTGGCAAACGCTGGCGTCGGTAAGCATCGACAACACCCTACATAACCAGAATACAGCTAATATGCTTTCTGGCTAGAGAATGTCCCGCAGGATCCTGGTATGCAGTCCGCAATTATGCAGGCTCTGTATGGTGTCAACACTACAGAACCTTTCAAGTGCCCCGGGGTATGTCGCTGGACCGGGTCATACATATCACTTGGGTTCAAGGCTGCGTGCAAAAACGTCACCCAGGAAACATTGCAAACGGCTACCTGTGAGGGTGACGAAGTTTCCCTGCGGCAATGCAACATGACAACACCAGGAGGAGTCGGCCTTGCAACTCGCGCGTGGTTTACCGAATTGGCGACAGAATACTACATGAACGCGTCGTCGCTGCTGATGGAATCAGTTGGATTTCCAGATTCATTTCCCGAAATAACGCGATTTGCAATCTATAGATCGACTCCGGACTCCAGTTTTCGATTACGGGATGTCAATATTACAGAGTGCTCTCTCTTCCTCACGGCCTACGAATACAGGGGAGCCGAGGCCAATGGTAGCGATTTTTCCTTTGCGAGCAGGCAGGAGGTCGATTTCGGCGTGAAGAATCCCTGGGCGTTCAGGAGCGAAGAAGCCCAAACGGAAACGAAACTCAAGCACTTGTACACGAACGAGTCGACGAGTGGTGGTATCCATATTCCTTCTCTTGCAATCAGCTATGCCAGTCTCGCCGCCCTGGAAAATTTCCTTCTGTCCTCAACAATAGTTTCCGAGTGGGTCGCAGGGAACTTTATCAATACAGACCTCGGTGTCGCCGCTGCTCTATCGGGCGACGTGGACATTAGCAACCGGTTCGACAGAATGGCGACTGCCATGACGGACCACCTGCGGTATGGTCCGAATACCCAGTCTGCACAGGGAGAGATAGTTCAGAGCGAGCCATTTGTATTCATCCGCTGGGGCTACTTCGTTGTTCCGATTGTTACTGAGGGGCTTGCGATTTTGTTCGCCGTCTCGAGTATTTTTAACAATCGCCGGAGCCGTCGTGTTCCCCTGTGGAAGTCTTCAACGCTTGCTGTGTTGGCCTGTCAGCATGAGGCGCGACTTGGGCTTCTACAGACTAGCGGCAAGGATATTAACGAGATCCAGCATGAAGCAAGTAAGGCTGAGGCACGGCTGCAATAGTGCCAAACGTGATGTGGTGTAAATGAGTTATGAGAAGACCAATCATGATAGACAACTTAGTATAAAATATATATTAATTCGCGGAAACCGTCGGAATTCGTACGTGAGCGATACGCCCTCACCACGCGCGAGCTGGCTTGAGACCTAGGGCTGGACGGCAAATGCAAAGACCTAATCAACCATTCAGCAGCTCACTCAGTGACCACAGCACAGGCTGGCCGACCACACAGCGAATCCTAAAGAAGCTGCATCATGTGCAGGGGCAGTGAACTTGGTTAAACAGCTACTCAAGGACTCACTACATGAGGGTGTAAGACATAGCTAACAGTGGTTAGTTCCATCATCACCAGTCATTTTCTCGTCCACCACCATCCCCTAGATGAACACGGATTTGCCCAGGAGCTTAACTATCCTGTCTTCAGAGATCATTAATATCCTGTAACAGTGTCAGGAGTGTGGTGAATAGACCATATTAACAGAATATATCCACTAGATGAAGAAATCATATGAAGTTGAATGTTGAAGCAAGTCTTAGCATCAACAGAAAGAGTAATAACCTCTCATTTCTGTACACTAAATATCATGAGTGATACCAACCCTATGGTATTAAAGTCACTGGAAATTTTGGTGCCGAGTAGTAAAAATTCCCTATACTAAGAACCAACATATAATGGACTTAGCTCAAACCATTAGTAACTCAGGCATTTTACAATTAAAGGCTCTACATTTCTGTTGTGCGTATATCTCTGGGATGATTTGGGAACCTATGTTTCAACAGACCTTCATGAGCCCTGCAGGGCCTCCTTTTGTCTCCTCCATAGTTTCATAGGAACATCAAATTCCTTCTCCGAATTTAGAACCATTCTCGCCGTTTTTCTACCGGCCGCGTGCCAGCCATAGGTAATTCAGAGTTGCTTGGAATTGATCCTCCTGCTGGTCTAATTTCCTTGAGGAAGGCTTGACGTCTCTGCAAACCTACCAGCTTCATTTCTGGGAAAGCATGTATTTGTGAATCATTCAGAGCAAGCTGTTAATGAATCTTGCTTGGATAACACATCATATCATAGTGCAACTCAATCTAGGTATAGTGCTTATCTAACCACGCACGCAAGTTATAAACAGTCAGGCACTCTAAAAATAGACTCTCATGTATGGTAATTCCCAACTGCTACCGCAGCTTCTTCGCAATAACCAAAGCCATTAGACTATCAACTCTGAGACTTGCAAGGCTAACATCATCCTGCAAGCCAGAGAGTTCCATGGCTGCCTCAGCCCCCTCATGGAAAGACGAACTCCTCCAGCAATTGATTCAACCAATCTAGCAGTTTGCGTATACCCACGGCAAGAATGCAACCAATTTCAGCTATGATTATAGACGCGATGGATCTCCTATACACCAGCCGCCATGATGGTTTTGCCTAGTCTCCAGTGACAGTGACTTTACCTGGCTAGCTGCTTGTATCTGTGAGTTAGGTCTTGTTGGTGTATGGCTTTAGGGAGTAAAAGACGCCCTAGCCCTTTATCACTGCCTGTGATGAATTCATCTACACTGAAAAATCTCGTGCATCTTGATGAGCTTGTGCCGCGTGCTGGTAGCATTATTCTAGTTGGGAATGTTTGGGCTTCAATGATGGACATTTAGCAAGTCAGTTACAAACATCCGTAGAAGCAGCCTCCGATGACGACGGATGGGCTATGCTCTCCAACGTCGGTCAGCTCCTGACCTAAAGATATCCAAACTTCGATTCTCGCAGTTATGGGTATCATAAACGATGTGATTTGATTGCTGCGTCTCCTTTGTTCGAAAGCAGCCGCCAGCACTTATCTACAGAGATTTTTGTGCGCAATAGGCGCCGGAAGTCTTAGAGATGTACGGAATATATATATCCTTGAATTAGCATATTGTTTAGAGCTTTATGGAATGTTTGAGCACCTTGAGTAGAATTTTCGTTCAGGAAGGCTTCGGTGTGTGATAGAATATACTAACCTGCATGGAGAATATGACACGGGCAGAGGCTGGACTTGACTCCCGAAGAAGAAGGATAACCCGGCACGACCGAACTGTCGAATTTGGAAAGGGCTTCTTCGTCAAGCGGGGTGTTACTAAGAAATACAAATGCTTTGTAGCCAGAGTCATCAGGGCTGGGAACCCCGTTCCAAGCGGACGACGCCGGGAGTTGCAGGTGTTGTGGGCCGAGGAAATGTAGGTAGATCCTGGAATCACTTACTAGTTTCCTTTATAAGAGACGTCGAAACCGCTCATACCTTTCGCTTGCAGATTGTCCGAATCATAGATACCTGAAGCAGTCCAAGCGCTATTGGACTGGTATATCGCAAGGTCAATGCGAGGCTTTCCTGATCTCAGGATGTGCTGATTCCTTCCCTGGTACCCAAGTACATCGCCCATGTGCCGCCATGCGGGTTGAATATGACTCCATGAATCGGTGGTGCCATAGCTGAATGGCTGATAACCCGGCCAGGTGGTCTGCGCATATGGCACACTGTACGCCATGCCGTGGATGACCATCATTGTCAATCCCCCAGCATATGATTATTTGATCGAGAGCAAGAGCTCTGGGATGGTCCGGCTATATGCAGGCTGGAAAGCAGCTCCATCATCCGATGAAATATCACTTTTGCCAGAAAGCTGGGTTGGGCTAGACAGAGACTAATAGGCATCTACGATATCCTTAAATCTGAGAGATTCCCCTTCCAGATCATCCACTGACGGAACTTTGTTCGGCTGAAAATAATCTTATTTACAGGTTACTATATGGTAACTAGGAGACTCATAAAACCTGTATTGAGAATTTTATTCTATGTGAGTTAGCTAATTTAATATAGTAATCTAGATATTCTTAATAATACTTGCTTGGAGTCTGCTGATAATTTGTATTATAATACTAAAATGATCTGCAGTATATGCTCTGTATACATACTCCTCAATATATGGAGTATACATATGTACCTATAAGTTACCTTTATTAAATAGAAGTAGTAGGTATACTGCATTTATAAGACTATATGAATGGGCAGACTTAGCGCTCTTTAAGAACCCTCATATCTAAGGAAGTATAAGAAGTAATTCTATACTATCCTCCTAGGCTGCTATCTATTAAGCTCAGGTAAAAATAACAAGGGTAATTTACATAGTATGTAAAGGATCCACAAGACAGGGTAGATGAGCTTGACTAGGTAAAGATTGGTAACAAATGGAGTCTAGTAGCGGACGAGTATAGGAATGTAGTATATGTGGAACATTAATAGATCACTGATTAACAAGAATAACCCTTGTCCTCCTAACTTTAAAATGGATCTGTGAACCATAATAGGCTGTTGGCGATTGAGTTCAATGATGCAGATATTATATTGCGTTGTACAGAATGACAAGCGCCTGTTATACTAGTGGACAGTCTGAACCTGGGAGTTTGTGAGAGGTTTGGCGACTCGTCTTTGACGTTGGGACGAAGACGTCATGGTAACAGGTCTAGGGGCTGTGCTGGTTTGTGCTGAACCACGTCAAAGGTTTCTTAGCCATAGGAAACAAGCAAATGTGGCGATTCGCTGAAGTGGGTTAAAGCTGACAGGTCAGATTTGCTTGGTTTTTAGCGCCGATACTAGCTCCCACTTACTCTGTACATCGAAGCACAATGAGGTTTTTGGTCTTTGGATCTTCGATTTCGTCCGAGTCCTTGTTTCACACGAGCGGCTTACATGAAATCTTGTCAAGGCCTCAAAGCGATCACCCATGTCTCATAAGTCTGCAGGGAGACTCCAACGATGGTAAGAAAGGTAATCCAGACAGGTCTCACGAACCAGATCGGCCGAGGCCGTGCTAGACTTCGCCAAGGCGTCACAACAGCTTCGCAGCCATTATACTGTAGAACCGGGATGCTAGAGCCGTGCCATTGCCAACAGCCGCAATGCATAGTAAATACATTTGGAATGAATTTTAAATAGATTCCTCAATTTTCATTCAAGGACTTCCATCGCCAATTGTTGCCATGTTCACGAACATCATGCAACACGACCAAGTGAAACAACTATGGAGAGCTTCTGTTTGGTGGGAATCGTGGCATTGCATAAGGCGTCATCCTTCCCTGCGAGGACAGCGCACTTAGCGTCATGCCAAGCATAACTGGTCATTTGGCACCCGTTCGGTAAAGGCTGGCGAGCGTGCTGAAGTAGACTGGACCTCCTTTTAAGCTCACGATAGTCTATGGAAATCTCTGCTGAAGCGAGTCAACCCAGACCTGAATGACAGAAGATATTAACAGTTCAGAGGAAGACAGAAAACAGCTCCTAGGCGAGACGTCAGTACAATCAGACAAAATGCGCTCTATTTTCCAGAGCTCTCTCTTTGGTTCACTTGCTCTCTCCATCGCAGCGAGGCCGGTCATTGATCAGATAGTGGTCGGGAGCCACTATACCGTTGAAGTTGTTTCTGTCGAAGACGGGAAAGACGAGGCAATGGGGAATGCAGGACTTTATCTATGCTCAGAAGCAGGATTCCGGGGAACTTGCATCCATTACACCACACCTTGGGGACAGTGCAGTAGGTCTACCTCAACCAGTATGATGTACTGGCGAGAGAAATGGCCTAACATGTGCCCACACAGCAAACATATGGCAGACTTTTCCCCCAGGTCGACATGAGGGAGTTTCTGCCGCTGGAGCTGATCCTGGTAACTGGTGCACTCTGTACTCGTGAGCATCCTTCACCCAGTAGCAAATGTGCCTATTAGATGCAGCTACTGATTTTTTGTATTTATATTTAGGCAACAGAACTGCCGTGGCCGTGAGCTTCAAATCTACTATCCGGGTTACAAGGACCTCAGAGAGGTGGGTTTTAACGATAAGGCCGCCAGTTACAACTGCGCTGCGCTTTGATGATCTTGGAGTGTATCTGGAACATCAGAGACTGTTATGTGGGATGACCAACAGCGCCGAGTTTTGACGTTCGACTTGGTTTGCAACAAGTGCACAACGTAGGTATGTGGAGGGCAAATGATTGTACCGAGTCAGGGAAGTTTAAGATAGCTTGCCAGGTTTGGATTTAACAACCTTGGCCTGAAATGAGATGTCCTTTGAGAGAATCACTGCGAAATTTCCATTTCAATTGTCTACTACGGTAGTTCTACCTCCATACATCCAATGTCTAGCTCGGCAAGCTTCTCGGTTGTGAGAGCTTTTCTTCTCTACCCGCACTTGTTGTCAATCAGGGTACAACCCATTCAATCAGATATCTCACAAGACGAATGTGCAAAAAAAAGCCATTTCTGCATCTGTTAGATTTGGAGCCAGAAGGAGTTCACACGTAGATGAGAGATCTGTTTGACGACAACACATATGCTGCGGATGTGGACATGATTCCAAAACTCCGCCGTAATATGGTGCAGTAGGCTGGAGCGGTTGAAGGAGAAAACTTGAATCCAACCCAGTACTACCCTAGGCAGTGCCGACGACTACTATTGCTATCGGGTGAAGGGCAGTCCACCTATTCTACTAGACTAGATATTAGTGTTATATTTGTTTGGCTGCACCAGCGGAGTACTAGTCTCAACTTCAGGAGCTGAGATTCCGCCGGTTACACACCGACGCAAGGGGTGAGAGAGAAAGAATACTAGGCTCCAACGCTCTTACGTACGGCCACACTACCATATATGTAGCCTAAGATCTGCGTGTATATTAATTGAGCAGTTCTCCTCTTTGCCCTTCCGGCAGTATTCCATCCACAGCACACCAATAACTAAACAGCGCAAAAACAACCACTCTATCTGTCGTACCATCCACATTTTTCATTGATTTGATCATGTCAAACACTGAGAACACCCGCGAACGGACCATACCTATCTTGCATTTAAGAGACAAAGCGCCAAACAAGCGGAACAAACCTAGGGTCTCGGACCGTTCGTGGGATGAGCCGCGGATGTCAGGCCATGCGATCGGGCAAACGAGTTAAGGGTCGTCACCTGACAGATCTGTAGTAAAAATCACCATGGACGAATATCGAGCTTCCTTTAACTTAGATCAAGAACGGACACTCAAGACACCTCAAGAAACTGAAAGCAGAGAAGAGGCTCGGCGAGTTCGAAATCGAATGTGTCGTTATGATGTGGCCGTCGGTTGACATGATGCGGACCGACGGCTGGACAGACGACGAGACCGAATTGGCCTTAGAAAGATACTATACTGGTGCCCAGTAGTACGTAGCCCCCTAACTATCCAATTTGCCGCCATGCGGTCGAATCTTGGTAACATTGCTAACTCCACAAAGTTACCTTACGCCCGACAATATCGCACCCCCCAGGATGATTGAGCAGTATGGTGCCGACTGGGGACAGAATGCCCGGGGTATTTACTACTGCCCTTCCTATTCTCTGGAGTGGGTTACTTCTGATTACGATCTCTGGCTACCGTCACTTGATGGCATTGATTGGAATCATTTTAGTGAGTCCAGTCGCCGCTCGAGAGCAGAAACTTTCCTCAAGCATGTTCTTAACAATGAACGATGGAAGAAGAGTGAATATGCATGGGAAGCCGACGCCTGGACAGATGTTTTGGTCAGATGAAGGATGACCCAGTGCTGGCCGTGTTAGTTTCTCCCTATTGGTGCAGCTTCAGCGTCTGATCTAATGAGCCCAGAGATAAGCATGAATACAACACCGTTAAGCTGAAGAGAGACCTGGTGTCATGCTTATTAGTGGGTGAGCCTAAGTTCATTAAGAGAATTCCAGATGCAACTTTCGGACTTGCAACCTTCAAACCAAGAGACTACCCGAATATTTTAGAAGAATCAGATTTGGACCATGACCGCCATGAAGCACTCCTACTTCATCGACATTGTGGTCTTATTTCTGATCCACGCTGGGGCTACACAGATCTTGTATTTCCATTCGCAGTCTATGAGGCTAAGGGATGGGGTGGTGATGCTTGAGAAGCACGTCGGCAGGGATGTTCAGCAGGAGCTGTATATCTCGATATGCTAGATAGCCTTGCGCGGCAGCCAGGAAAGGTTGGGCAAAAGAACAGAGTATATCAATCGGCAAAGAGTTGCAGCGAAAACCAAGTCTTCATGTTTACCCCATTTGGTGCTCACTGGCATATCCTGGTTGGCTACAAACGACCGCGGCATGAAAGCGAGTATGCTGGGCACGAAGGATTTAGTGAGTCTGTTTATGTGAGACTGGTCAAGAATTAGCTTCAGTGGCGAGTTTACCTGACCTTGGAATGGTAGATTTTCCAGAGAATCTGGAGCGGTTGTGTTGCGAGTATGCGGAAAGCCTGGGAACTCCTGTTGCTAGTTAACCAGATACACCTTTGGGGAGCAACCAATTTCCGAAATTCCATTATCCAATATCTGAAGCAGTGGCATGAATTCGGCAGGAGATGTTATGCCAATGATGTTGATTTTCTGTTCTCGGAGCTCAAAACAGACAGAGTCACGAAATATGGGAAAGAGTATTGTTGCATACCCGCGGCTTGCCTTCAACTTCCAGACTGGGCCAACCAGCTCTTGGAGGAAATTCGTGGCAATTGCGGGAAAGAGTTGTTTTCCGCTTCCGCGAAGCCTACCAAAAAGATCTTTCGGCTCTGAGTGATTAATGGCCCGCGGCTATTACATGCGTACGTGGAGACTGTGGCCCACTGGGCACTCCAGGATATCCTATTCTGTCCGAGGAAGAGATGGTAGCGCACTATCGCCTGATCCACGGGGCAGACGATGAAACAATAGCAGAGCTTGTGCGCGTTTTCGGCGAAGCAAAAGCGTTTGGCAGCGATAACAATCCGCTGCAGGTAAGAAAGAGAAAGAGATCAGAGAGCGGAGAACCTGGACCATGCACAAAACAGTTGTGACGTCTGATATATGACTGTGGATGCATAGATATCAGTGTAAGGCAGGACGGATCTTTATGCATCTAACTATATAATACAAATTAAATAATAGGTGGTTGATTAATGATGGTTAATGACATGGGAGGAAGCAGCATGTTTGATGTCCGGGCAAAGATGGCAAAGATATGGTTCAGATTGATTGTAAGGAGTGAGTGAGCGCAAACATCTACATGCTGTATGTTTTTCTTCCCAATTTTTTCCTTTCCTTTTTTTTATCTTCCTTTTTCTTTTACTTTGTTCTTACGTTTATCTCTAGTACAGCCTAAGAACATTGTGGAGTTAAAGCATATTCCTATCAGCTTCCACCAGACACTAGTAAAAATATCTCCCCCTGCTCTTTATGTCTTTATATCTGTGACCATAACCTACTTAATCTCTTTTGATGTCTCCCTATAACTACTAGAAATCTTAAGGTATGGCCCTGTGATTGTAGGAAGCATTATCCTTCCCTGGCTAAGAAAAGTAGTAGAGTAGTACTAATAATCTAGTATAGGAGGCTATGCACACCCTGGGATCTGTCTCTGCTGTTGTCTGCTAGTCAACTACTTTGGGAATCGGGCGATATAATTCTAAGCTAAATCCTATAGTTAGATATATTATAGAGTTTTAGATCACTTATATCGGTTGGGGAAGCCAGTTCACCTGTTTATAAAATTGTAACTTCTTACTAGCCTAAGTACCTAAATCTTTCTCTAAAGGTACTAGAACTTAGGCGGCAAAGAAGTGATAGAATAGTTACTAGGAGGGGTAACCACCAACATATACATGCTATTATGTGATTTTTTCTCTTTGTTTTAAGGGTCGGGCCCTTCACCTACTGCTTAGACCCTCTAAGCCACACCTGAACGCGCTGAAATGACCCGTCAAGGTATTTTGCACGCCAAGACAATCAGGGGGAGAAGCTTGTTCAATACTTACGGGCGCGATTCTTTAGCGTTCTTTTGTAATCTTAGATCTGGGCAAAGAGAACAGCAGTGGATCCTGAGCGCCTGAGGATTATTTGAAGCAATGCAGGTGGATCCTTAATTGAGAGACTCCTGAACTGGCGGTCATCGGCCGGGGTAACTTCCCCTTCTACAAAGTCATGGAACATTCTTTTGAGAAACGGTCTGCTTCTTGGTCATCATGATCCAAAGAGGATTGCCGCCAGCGGATGGGGAATTTTTGGTCCGTCTTAGATGTCATAGCAGAGGATGCGTAATTGAGACGGTTCCAAACTGATGGTTTGCTTGTCTACGAGAGGGGCATTAAAGCTGTTCCCCGTAGCATGTGAAGGGGATTTCGGCCCCCAAGAATCAGGCAGAACTGTTTCGAGTTTCGATATCTCCACTAGCTGCATAGCCTGCTCTTTTGGTTTCTATTAAGGGTCCAGAGACAACACTTTGATCGGCATACCGCTTGGTGACGCGACAGATAGATGGCTAGGATCGGCTCGAGACTAATTATTTGAGTGACAATCCTTCTTGGCCCAGTTGCAAACGGGCTATGGTGTACCATATCGAACGAATGTATTGCACTCATGACTAGGTACTAAGAAGCTGTCAAGGGTGCAAATATTTAAAAGTCCATTGGCCAATGCAATTGCTGTTTATGACCCGAGGTATACCTATCTGGTCCACCTTGCTCTACTATGCATACCTAGTCTTGGAAGAGATGTATGTCATAACTTGGCCCCAAGACTGTGATTATGGAGAATTCCAATGTCAAAAGGGAAAGCAACCTGTCGATCAAAACAATAGGTAAAGTTTTGGCCTCAAGGTTACATTCGCAGGATATGTACTTATGCATGGATTTGGGGAATCTTGAAACTGCAGGGTCTTCAGATGAGACATGCATAGTCCTTGCAGCATCAGCGGGTCCATCGCGGTGAGGAGATCAAAATTCCTCCTATGGCCTGATCTTACAGTTCCACACTGGGCTGGACCCTGATGGCTACCCTTCGTAGATTCAAATGTCTTGTGTCAACTTCCCCGGATTTTCCGGATTCACCGGCTTGTGTGCCGAGGGAGAATCACTTGGTCATCCGACTTGATCAAGCAGGGGCCCGACATACACGCGGAACTATCAGACTTCCCTGGCGCTTCATTTTGAGTATAAAGGGCATGATATCTGTCTACGAGGTAGAGGAACCAACAAGGCCAGGTTCTCTTAAATATCAAGGCAATTGCTCTTCCTGACAATCAGTCCGGCACAATGCGTCTGTCCGAAATTTTTACTATTGCTTTAGTTACTGGGGCCACTGCTTATAATCTGCCCAACAACCTGAAACAGATCTACGACAAGCACAAGGTATACTGCACACATCTCAAGGTTTTCAGCCAGCCAGCTAATATCTCTTTTTGCGCCTTTAGGGAAAATGTTCCAAGGTACTGGCAAAAGGGTTCACCAATGGTGATGCTGGCCAAGGCAAGTCTTTCAATTACTGCGGCGACATCCCGGGCGCCATTTTCATCTCCTCCGCCAAGGGGTACACCAATATGGACATTGACTGCGACGGGGCCAACAACTCCGCCGGCAAGTGCGCCAACGACCCGTCCGGCCAGGGCCAGACTGCCTTCAAGTCCGACGTGAAGAAGTTCGGCATCTCCGACCTGAACGCCAATGTCCACCCCTATGTGGTGTTTGGAAATGAGGACCACTCTCCCAAGTTCTCGCCCCAGTCACATGGAATGCAGCCATTGAGCGTTATGGCTGTCGTGTGCAATGGTCAACTGGTATGTCTCTCTCATCTATACAGCAGCCTGCACGTCGGTGTCCGTGTCCGTCTCCGTAGCTAATAGCGAACCCATTACACAGCATTACGGAATCTGGGGCGACACGAACGGCGGCGTTTCTACCGGCGAAGCCTCCATTTCTTTGGCTGACCTTTGCTTCCCCAACGAGCATCTCGATGGCGACCATGGTCACGATCCCAATGATGTCCTCTTCATAGGCTTTACTAGCAAGGACGCCGTGCCTGGAGCGACTGCCAAGTGGAAGGCAAAGAATGCGAAAGAATTCGAGGACAGTATCAAGTCGATTGGTGACAAGCTGGTTGCTGGTCTGAAAGCATAGAGACAAAACAGACCGAAGACAGCTGTGGCAGGGGTCTGGCTGTTGCAACTATATTTTCGTACGTACAATCGGAGGCGCAGTACCTAGGAGTAGGTAGTGTAGAAGAATCGTAGTTGAAGATCCTCCACCATTGTATGACATGTAAATGGCTTTGAAGACCATCAACCTCGCAAGGCCAGAGGCCGTCGTAGCCTGCAGAGGTAGGGGTGTTAAGACACCAACACAGCAGCACTGTGCAGGGCAGATATGATGGGCTGAGATAAAGTAATTAATAATCACTAATCAATCATAAAGGGATCATTAAGTGATCTAGAGATATCCTTAATTCAAATAGGAATTCACAGGGAAACTATACTAGTGCCTGTCTATATTATAGAGCAAGTTCTCTAAGAGTGCTTATGAACAGTCCATTCATAATACCTTTATCTTTTCATATGTAGAGATCATTCAATGGTAACAAGCAAAGATTAAATGGAACCGTAATCAATAATTAGTTATAGTAGAGAACATGATTATCAGTGTATAAGGCAAGAAACTTGACAAGGATATAGAAATAGCTACATCTTAGCTGCACACAAGTCAACCCAACTTAATAGATACCACTCGGCTGTTGGTTAGCTCTCCTCCATTCCTTCACAGAGACATTAATCCGAGGGGGACAGTCTTCACTGGCGCCAATCTCAATGTCGCGCCTCGTTCCGGTCAAATCCATACTGCTCGCTCTGCGGAGGAGATAAATCAGCTTGTATTGACTTTTGAATTATACAAATCTCATTTTGAAGCTGGCGATAATTGATTTGACTAGTTGGTTCTCATGTTTGAGACACATATAGCATATCATCTGTCACAAGCAGTGACGGAGCACTAATCAATCTATATGATTTAGTTAGATGTTTAAATGTGTCAGTCTCTTTATACAGACCAGCATGGCCATAGGGCTCCAGCGATGATGAATGAGTGAAAGACCAGCTGGAATCAATGTCAAAATTAGGAAATCGAAGTAGTAACTATATCATGTAAGATTATCACGTGTCACCTTCTGCGTTGTGGAATGTAACCCTCTTATTCTACACAGTCCTGAGATATAACAATGTCCCATTGACCACAAAATGGTGGTACACTGCATTTCACTTGACAGGGCCCATGAGGAAATTCAACCGAAAAAGACACTCCAAAGTCGCTAAAATGATAGATTGAAATGAACCATTGCTAAACCTTTATACGCAAGTAGATATTAAACAAATAGAAAGTTGCACCACTAAGGCTTCCCGTAGGTATAGGGCCGGTCAACAACCATCTCCTTGACCGTTGGCAACCGAGTTCGACCCTTTCCGAATTCCACTGCCATCGCCATAACCTCTCTCCACCGCAACCCCGGCGCAATCTTACCCGAGATGGTGTTGGGCGTCAACGTGTCACTGTTAATGGGAACCAGAGCGGCACGGCCCAGAATCGCCTCGAGAGCCTGCTGAGCGAACGAGACAGCCTCCTTGGCATCTGACGGAACACCCGTCTCATCGAGCTTGAGGATCGCCACGCTGGGCAGCTGCTCCTTGAGGTAGTTGATGATGTTGGGGTTGCGGGCACCACCTCCACACATGTAGACGGCGGCTATCTTGTTGATATCGATGTTGAACTTGGGGAAGAAAGTGCGGTACTGCTTGATGATGTTCTGGGCGGTGATGCGTGTGATGGTGGCGACGGTGTCGTACTTGCTCATGCCCAGCGCTAAGCACTCATCGATGATCTCCTGGGCCTCGTTGTCACCAAAGGTCTCACGACCGGTCGTCTTGGGAGGCAGGTGATTGCAGTACTTGTTGTTGTTGAGGAACTTGTCAACGACGGCCTGGTTGACAGTCCCCCGAGCACCCCACTCGCCATCGCGATCATACTCCATCTCGCCGTTGGTGAAGTAGCGCATCGCGGCGTCGATGAACATGTTGCCTGGGCCGCAGTCCCAGTCGACCATGGCGTCGACGCCACCCTCGCTGTCGGGTGGAATGACGCAGAGGTTAGCGATCCCGCCGATATTCTGGCAGATGCGCCATTCGGTGGGGTGGTGGAGGAGCAGACCATCGATCAAAGCGACAAGAGGTGCACCCTGGCGGCCGACGGCCTGTTCAGCCATGCGGAAGTCGGTGACTGTAGTGATGCCGGTCAAGCCGCTGATGACAGTTCCCTCGCCAAGGCAGAGGGCGGAGCGGGTCTCGCCCTCCTCGGGCATGGAGAGAAGCCAGATAGTTTGACCATGGGAGCCGATGAGGTCGATGCTGTTAATAGGAACATTGTGCTTCTCACAGAAGAGCTTGACGGTCTCGCCGAACATGTTGCCAAGCTGGACGTTCAGCTGGGACATGAGGGAGGGAGTAGTTTTTGTTTCGCGGAGCATGGTGAGGACGGGTTTTTTGATGTGCTGAGGGATGGGGATCTCGTCGTACTGTACATGGCGATTTGTCAATTCTACTGGAGTTGAATCATAGAAAGACCACTAGAGCTGTCGTACCTTGAGGATCTCCATATGCAAAGGAGCTTCAGGAGAATCCTGGCGGTAACGAACAAGGGCGCAGTCAATGCCGTCCATGGCTGTACCGCTGTTCATTCCCATGACTGTGATGTCGAGAGTACCATCAGCGGCACAACAGTGAGGACTGTTGACGTGAGCAGAGCCATTGGGCTCAGCAAATTCAATTGAAGTGACCATTTTGTAATGTGTATATACAAGATTTTGGATTCCAACAGTATCCAGAGCGAAGAACCGCTTCATATACCTTTCGAAACCTACCCAATTCTTGCGGACAATCAAAATACCCCACTACCCCTCATAATCCAAAGCGTGCGGTCATGCGCACGAGAAAGTGTTGAGAAGGGAGGATTCTGGATGCACCTACGAGCTCCATCACGATTGATTCCGAGGCCGAGATGCAAGACAGAATTGCCTAATCGGGTATCCTCGAGACGAGGTGCACAGACCGTCAAACCTCGGGATTGCAAAACGTGGGGAGCCGTTTAAGCGAGCCATTTAAGCGTCAGTCTCGGACCGTTTACACGACCACCCTACCCACTCTCTCTAGATCGGAGACAGCCGAGGTCCTCCCGCGTAGAACCTTTGATACATGATGGTCAGCGGACCTCGAGCCCTGCTACTGTTTTGGGAACCAGGCGAGGGATGATCCTTCGAATTTTCTTCATAATAAGAATACATAAATAGTCTTCTGAATCTGCTGACACTGCTTCCTAGGTGTCAAGTTAGATCTGTCAGAGTCATATCGTCATGCCTTCCGCCACCATGAACGCTGAAGAAGTTCGTGCAGTTTGGACGTCAGACAAAGGGTCAATGGCTAAACAGACGGCGGAGACGCGATGGGCCAGAATCATTCAGGGCATCATCGATGACATTGGCGAAACAGCCGGCGCGGAGGATGTGGACTGCCAGAAGAGGGCGGAGAGCATCGCCATTCAGATTGCCCTCAAGGACATCAAGAAAGGAATTGAACAGAACAAGCCCCTCACGTACGTACTTTTCTTCTCTAAGGACCGAAACACAGAGACTCACGGCGCTTCAGACCCCTGCCAGATGACGGTAAGCTCGATATTCAAGAGTGGAACAAGCAGCTGGCTGCCATTGGCGAGTGCAGTTGGACCAACTGCCCTTGGCTCTTTGGAGAGTGCTACATGTACAGGTACAACTGTTGCTGCAAAGATGGGATCGAGGAATTGCGCTGAAAATCCCTCTAGAAGCATCCAGAGGATCCTAAACTCCTCAAAACACTGGCAGAACTACGATGTTTTCAAGCGCCAGAAAGACTCTACCTTCGTCAAATCGAGAGTCGCAGTCGAGGAGCTGGCCAGTCGTTATATGCAGATCGTCGCCGATACTCGACTCGCCCAAGATGAGAGCAAGGAAGAGGCCAAGAAGTTGCTGTTTATTGAAATGACGGAGATCGCCCTGTGGGGAAACGCCACAGACCTGTCACTCCTCGCTAACCTGACCCTGGAGGACCTGCAAAACCTGCAGGGCCGTGAGGCGATCCAGAAAAGCCAGCGGAACATCGTCGATAATGACACTGACGACGTCTGGGCCTATCTTCAGCGCACTGCCGGTCAAACCAGTCGCCAGATCGCCATTGTCCTCGACAACGCTGGCTTCGAGTTCTTCACCGATGTGCTCTATGCCGCTTATCTTTTGGAAGCCGGCATTGCTACCTCTATCAGACTGCATACCAAGGAGTTCCCGTGGTTCGTTAGCGATGTCATTCCCTCGGATGTCGAATCGCTGTTCGCGCATCTTGAATCCTCTGAATGCTTCCCAGTTCGAAAGTATCTCGACCAACTCATCCCGAGACTCCGCAAGCTCTTCCAGTCGGGCGCCATCACGACCACTAGCGACCCCTTCTGGACGACGCCGTTCTCATTCCACGAGATGCCATCCAAGGCACCCGCCCTCTTCAAGGAGCTCCAGAACAGCTACCTGGTCATCTTCAAAGGCGACCTCAACTACCGCAAACTGACCAGGGATGGGCTGTGGCCGCACACCACCACATACGAGACGGCTCTGGGTCCCCTAGGCAAGGAGAGCGGCGTCAAAAGCTTGGCCCTTCGCACGAACAAGTCCGACGTTTGCGTTGGCATCCCGGCCCAGAGCAAGGTTGACGCGTTAAACGAGGAGGCGCCCGGTGGTGCCTGGATCCGGAACGGAAAGTATGCCGTGGTATCGTTTAATGAGGGTCAATGATTTCTTTTCTCCTGTCGATAAATAAATGACCTTTATGTCATGGTCCATTCTTCTTTTAGAGAATTAATTATCCAAGTTGTCGGCCATGCATGGGTCGCTTCCATATCTCGCAGCAATCTAATGACCCCTTCCCTTTCCGCTGGATCTGTCATCAAGGGACCCCCTGTTGATGTCAGTAGCTGCACCCACGCGGACTTTGGACATGTCTTACATATAAAGGTGGAATGACAGAGCGTGATCAATGATGGCACCGTCGAAGGGGAACTGTTGCATGCCCCACAAATTGCGCGAGCGTGCATCATGACTCGGATCTGATGCCGTTAACGAGAACTCATCCGCACGATAGCCAAAAAACCAGAACTCACATCAGACTCACGAGCTGTGCTATGTAGTCCCCTCACTGCAAATCTAGGTGATGGCTTGTAGATGGCCAAGAGCATACAGGCGAGATGGTAAAATCCAAATGCCATAACTACAAACCACATTAGAGAGCGCAAAAGTAGACGACTGGGAGCAGACACACTATGCCAGTCCGCCGTGAACCATATCTCTGGGAATGGGTTTTCGCTCCCCGGGACAGCTTCGCTATACCAGATTGGGTTAAATGTATCCGGTCGGGTGCTCAACCAACTCTCAACCGCCTCGGATAGCTGTTGCCATCGGAGTATTCTGGTGGAGGGCTCAGGGTAACTCGACCCAAAGCAAAAGTGTACCACCGTGGCACAGATCCAAGTCATGGTGTTGGCCCAGGCTGTTTCCGACCTCAGATCGCTCAGAGGGTCGCCTCCGCCCTGGGGCGGGGGGATGAGAACCAAGTTCACCAAATCTACGTTAGGAGCCTGCTGATGTATACAGGCATTGTACAGGCACTGACGCATGTACACCCAGAAAGCCGCTTGCCGCAACCCTGGGGTCGATGGATCCACCTCCCGTCCTTGTGACGCTCGAAGCAGAGCCGAGCAGCCGGCTAAATGACGCTCCTGATCGCTTCCGGTTACCATGACTGTTTCAGTAGGAAGTTAGCCTGTGTATCGGGTTCGAAACTTGTTCCCTTACCGTTCAACTGTTCAAACACCCGCAGGATGACAATGGCACATAGCAGAATATCATCGTCGGCCACCTTTTCCGAGCTCAGAGAGGGAATCAATAACTCTACACAACGCTCGTGCGCCTGTTCGGCCATTTCGGCATCCCCAACGTGACGGGCCGCGTATGAAAGTACGGCATGCAGCAGGATCGGCGATTGCTTGACCAGGATGGGGATTTTCCGGGTAAACTGGCGGGAAGCGTCGGTACAGTCGAGCCAATACCCGAGGTGCGTTGCGAAGTGATGCACCAGGTAAGCTTCCCTGTGCGTCAGTGGAGTCCCTGCATGTATCGAACCTGGAGAGGTCATCAGAGGCATGGGAACAGAGTCGTTGGCGAGTTCCGGGAGGATAGTAGACGTTTGTGTGCTGTATGGTGATGTCACCGGGGCATTGCGATATTGGTCATTACAGGATTCGGCATAGGTTGGATGGGTAATTTGTTCAGGGCTGGTTGCATTAGCAATCACCGTGTCGGCAGTTTCTTGTTCTAGAAGGTGAGATATTTCCTCCTGGTCATTGCCAGGGGCGTCCTTGGGATCTTCCCTGGCCTTTCGCGGTTGATAGTGCTTGATCCTGATGCGATTGGATGGATCTTCTCGAAGACATGGCCGGTTCTTTTTCTGGCACTGCGAACAGATTGGCCTGACTTGGTCGCCTGTTCTCGGGTAAGCCGTTGTATTCAGCCTATATTGAGCTTTCAGTGGCATACATTTGACATGCCTCCTTCGGCAAGTTAGGCTGTGATGAACTTAGCAAAAAAAGAAAAAAAATATGGCAAAGACGGAGAAGTGTGGAGTTCGTGTAGTGGAGAGAAATTATGGCGGGGAAAGACTAACCATCCATCTTTTGAGCGAAGCTTTCCCATGTTGGGATCCGTGGCGAAATCTTGGGTCTGGAGAAGTGGAATGGTAGTAGCGAGGTAAGTGTGTCTCGAAGAAGGAATATCGAGACGAGAATAGAGGATGAAGAAGAGGGAGCGGACAGATGGAAAGTGGGAAGAAAACTCGGGATTTGAGACGGACAAGGAAAGAATACCCGAGGTTTTATAGTTTGGGCTTTGGAGTATTCCCGTCATGACATCCAGCCCCAGTATCTCGCATGCGTCTCCCCATGGGGTTTGCCTCCCTTAATAAACATCCCCATATCTCCCCGATACGGCTATGATCTTCTCTCTATCCAGTTTCTGGGGTTGATTCCCACGTCTTGGTTTCTCCATGTTATATATTCATTCCAAAAGTACCCTTTTTTCCCCCTTTTCCTCCTCAACTCCATTCACCATGATGCACAAACATTTCTGGAAGACAGTCCCTGGACCTAGGCTGCTCAAGTTGATCACTGCAGTCTCTGCTGTGGCTATTTCCTACGAGGGCATGAGTCAGGGTGTCATGGGCGCTGTCAATGTCGCCCCTGAATATGGAGTATGGCCATTATCCCCCAGAGAAAGTCCGTATCGTGAACTAATCGAATATCACACTGCAGCATCGTATGGGCTTCGCCGATGAGCATGGGAAAGTCATCAAGCCCTCGCTGCAGGGTGGCATCGCTGCCATGTACTATTTGGGCGCTCTCTTCGGAGCCTTCTGGGCCGGTAGTTTCTCGGACGCCTACGGGCGTATCAAGGGGATCTGGCTGGCCTGCGCCTGGTGTCTTGTCGGAGCCATCCTGCAGGCTAGTGCCGTGAATCTCGCTCACATGCTTTGCGCTCGTGTTGTCGCGGGTGTCGGGGTCGCCTTCATCATCGTGATTGCTCCCTCGTGGACCGCAGAGCTGGCTCCAGCCGCACATCGGGGTCAAATGATCGCCGTGACTTTCCTCGCTAACTTTGGAGGCATTGCCTTGTCTTCCTGGATTGGCTTCGCTACCTCCTTTACTGACTATGCCGGCGGCGCCTTTCGATGGCGCTTCTGCTTTGCCTGCCAAGTGATCCCGATTTTCTTCCTCGTCATCGGCACCCTGCTCATTCCGGAATCGCCTCGATGGCTCGTCAAGGTCGGACGCAACGAGGAGGCATTCGAGATCATCACCAAGCTCCGTGGAGATGGCGACCGCAGTCACCCGAATGTGCAGAAAGAAATTCGCGAGATCCTCGCCGTCGTGCAAATGGAACACGAGTCGCAGAACTCCAGCTATATCAAAATGTTTTTGGGCATCGGATCGGGGGATATTCATATTGGACGTCGGATCCAGCTGGCCTTCTGGCTGCAGGTTCTGATGCAGTACGGCACCGGGATCGCTGCGGTTGTCATCTACTCGGGGAACATCTATCGCACTGCTGGCTTCGACGATCTCAAGTCCAACTGGCTGTCGGCCGTGTGCATGACCTGTGGGATTCTGGGAACGGGTATTGCTGCCTTGACCTTGGACCGGGTGGGTCGCCGCCGGACCCTCTACTGGGGAGCGGTTGCTCTGAGTATTATTCTCTTTACCCTGTGAGTATAGAATCGTTTCATCCTTGACGTGGCTCCTGCTGACTTTTCCAGTGGTGGTCTAAACCGTGGAGCCGTCAATAACCCCGACAAGGCTGAACAGTACGGAACCGGAGCCGCCGCCATGGTGTTCCTCTACGTTGTAGTCTTCAGCTCCTCCTGGTTGATGATTCCTTTCATTTATCCCACCGAGATCTTCCCGACATGGCTGCGTGCCAAGGGTAACGCCTTTGGTGTTGCAGGTTGGGCCGTCGGCTACGGCGCCGGGTCACTGCTGGTCCCGGTCATGTTTGCCGGTATCCAGGAGAAAGTTAGTTCAATCCTCCATTTGATCATTTTCATTTCTGACTTCTATTTCTCAGACGTTCTACGTCTTTGGGGCCGCCATGTTCGCCTACATCCCCATCATCTACTGTTTCTTCCCCGAGACGGCCGGCCGCACGCTCGAGCAGATCGACTTCCTGTTCGCCAGCAAGAGCCCCTTTGTGTGGGAGGAGGAAAAGGAGTTTGCCAAGCGCATGACTCAGTTCAATGCTGAAATCCAAAAGATGGAGATTGAGAACGGTGGATATGCGGGCGGCGAGAAGACATGTGAGGAGTTTGTCGAGAAGGTCTGATCGTAGGCTGTCATCTATGAAGTATAGCGTACAACGTATTATGTTATGTGTCAAGTTGAGCTATATACACGTTATGTACGAATGTATCATTCGCAGCGATGATCAGTCAGACTTGGTATGAGATCATTACAGGAATGGTAGGTTTAAATATCAGTTCAAATATGTAACCCTGAAGGGCTACTATAGTGTTGATTAGTATTCATCGCATTAGGTTGATGTATATACACAGGCCTTGCCATCCATCAATAGGGTATATCTCTTCATTAAAATGACACATAAAATGGAAAAGAGAAGGTAAAAAGAGGGTAGAAGGAAGGTAAAGAAGGGAAAAAGGAAGGTAAAGAAGTCAAGGAGTAAGGAGTAAAGAAGAAATCAAACATTCATCCCATGCATCGTTTTTCCCGAGTCTATCGACGCCGTCCGGTTCTTGACGAACTTGGGCCACGTATTGGTGAGAACAAGATACTTAATGCTCTCCTGTGCATCATCAAAGACATTCGGCCCGAACGACTCGGGGACATCGCCCCAGTATTGAACGCGGTCATGGATGGCACCCACAGAGCTCTGCAGCTCCTTTTGGGAGCTGTTGGAATAGGTCGGCGACGCGGGTGGCTTGAAGGAATCAAAGGGGGTGGCGGGATCGACCTCGCGCTCGTCGCCGTACAGAATCCGAGCGGGCCGCTCGAAGACGTCTTGCAGTTTTCTGAGATCCTGGGATGATATGTTGATAGGGAACTCGGCGTGCGTGACGCTGATGAACTCGGCGTAGATGCGCAGGGCGCGGTTGAACCGCTCGCGGATCAAGTCCTCGGTGTTGCCGTCCCGAGGGGCCGTGTTCTCGCGGATCGCCTTGGGGAAGGACTCTTTCCATTCGGCGACGCTGGTCAAAAAGGCGATATTCTCGCCGGAAAAGTCACTGAGGGCGGAGAAGCGCTGGAGAGGAGCCGGGTCTCGCTCAAGGGCATACTCGAGAGCGCCCATGGTCAGGATACTGTCGCGAGAGTGATTGGTCTGGACGGAGCCGTTCGTCGACTTGCCGCCGGTCATGATGGATTCGACCAGAGTGGCCGTCTCGGCGAGGGATTTGCTGGCTGAGCTGTTTTTCTTGTTCTTTTCTTCCCACTGCGCGATGGCGTCGAGGGTTTCCTTCTGGAGCACCTGGTGGCGCATCACCTCCCAGCAGGGAAGGAAAACGGTGAAGATTTCCATGACCAGGATTGAAAGACAAATCCTACAATCCATTAGGGACGTGCTGGAGAAGGGACCGAGCGCTCAAGCACTTACCACTGCGGGGGCAGCCAGACTTGGTTTATTTTGTCAAATGCGGGAGCGTAGAGGGAAATGAGCCACAGGGGAGCGCCGGGCAGACTGCACAGAGCATTAGTGGGACAAAGAACGCATGGTTTTGGCGGCGACTTACTTGGCTATAGCACAGCCGATGGTCTGAACTCGCCAGCCATGGGTATCACGGATATTGCGCGATTTCCAGAGAACAATAGGAGCAAAGATCCAGGCCCAAAACAGTTGCCAAAAGATACTCGGCCACCTAGACGTGTTAGCTTAGCTCTCCAGCCCAGATCGGAGTACTTCGCTTCATACCACTCCCAACCACGACCCATCGCCGATAACTGAGCCATCTTGGGTCCGGTAACCTCTGTGCCTGGAATTCCCCAAGTGGGATGCCACTTGCGCGAAATCAACCACATGATGATAGTCAGCATGATCTGGGCAATCATCCCGATTCCAACGAGAACAAGGATCCTGGTATTGTAATCGAGACGCTTGAAGCGGCCCATCAACCCGCTTCTCCTTTGGTTGGGCGGGAAATTGTGTCGAAGATCGTTGTAAACGTATTTCTCCTGGAGCTTTGCGACGTAAAGGAAACGGCTGTTGGACGCGTGAAAGAGAGCGATTCCGCAGGGTAGAAAAGTGCCCATGATCCAAAACTGAGCATCGCCCGGCATGATGGGGCCGATCATGGTGCCGAACTGGACTGGGGCGTAATACAAATGAAGGAGAACGATAGCAGAGAGCGACAGGCCGAGGCCACGGATGCGCAGAATAGGAGTGTCCCGACGAGCGATGAGATAGGCGATGCCACTGGCGACGAGGACTGTCCAAACGCCTGCCCAGGTAGCCCACCAGATGCTTACCGGACTGTATATAGGCTCCGGCTTCGACTCGGGCGTGACTCCCAGTTCCGACCCCATATTGACCGGTTTGTTGAAGCAAAAGGATTAAGGAAAATGAATGAGTGACTGAGTGAGTGACATGGTGGGAAGAAAAGAGAGAGATCAGCTGGGACGGTTGTCGATATTAGTCTGAACAGATGCAGGGCGGACTCATGCAGGGTCGTGGAACCCATTGTTAAACAAACTTTGCCGGGTTTACATCGTACTAATACAAAGCTGGGTCGATCGGCGTTGACGAGGGCAGATATCGGGGGGAAGATGGCGACATCTCAAGATTAGATACTGAAAATATGACTCCAAGGCCCCAGCGTAGCAACGAGACTGCCAAAGGCGGCCACGTTCTCTGGCCCCATCGCTGGCTGTGCCTGAATATCGATCTATTTCCTTTGCCGGGAGTCGCTCAGTACGATCAGCCGAACTACTTCGTGCCATTGGTTCTACAACGGTCCATCGTGGGGGTCGAAATGTACTAGTTCATGCGTTGCCCCACTAATCACAGACTAGTCTTGTAGTTATTTGGAATTCTGATCGTTCGTTCCTGCCCACGGTCACAGTTCCTCAATCTACGCTCCACTTTATCTACCCTACTCTGTCGGCGGAGACCGAGAGACTCGCTGGAAAACCGGGAAGCATCCTTGGTAGCCTTGATACTAGTATCGAGCTAGATGAAGATAGGAAACACTCTCGAGGCCCACTTATCCTGCAGATCTTGGAGACTGAGACCTGAGAAAGCTTGCTCTGATGAGTTCCTGCTGACGATTTCCCACACGCTCCGTCAGTATTCCCCTGATCTTCAAGGAAGGTTGCCTCATGCATCGGATATTCTCTGCAAGGCCCTATGCACAAACCCCGATAACAAACGCCTGTCTGATATCTGATAGGTGAATCATATGCTTGTCGCCGCTTTGATGCCCCTCGCCTTCCCATGCAGGTCATATGGACAAGGATGATGTGATGGAGCGATACCTGCCCCGACTGTGCGTATTATCGTCTCCGTGGGTGGCCACCCTAGTCCTCACTGTCACTTCTCCGATCCAGCTTTCCAGATTCTTGGCCACGAACTCTATGAAGCCTTTGAAGGATTGCATGTCGAGCTAGCGGGATGCCATGGGATGTGATTTAAGAAAACTGTAGAGCGATGGTAAGCAGTAGATAGACGATCCTCAGGCGAAGAAAAGCCACAGTACTGGTTAAAAATCCCCAGAACCTGGTCATATCATGCATTGGTGCGATCGTGGCCCTCTAACTCGCGATACAAGTGGAGAAACTCCGGTTGTACAGAGTAAGCTCTTGTCAGCCATCAAATCACTACGCGAAAAAGGTGTCTAGACGACCATTTCTTGCATAGTAGAAATGATAGGCATGTTCTGGTTGACAGCTCTACATTTTCGCAGCGTCAGTAACTCTCCATATTCTTGACACACGGGGGCAGTGTTTCATGACCACTGTACAAGTAGCACGTTGCTCTATCAGCTTATCGACCAGATACTGATCTGTAGGACCAGCAGACTTTTCAAGAACTGGTTGCTAAAGCGCCGCCGGCGGCCCACGGAGCGCAGGATGGCAGTCCGCAGACCGTCTTCACGCTTTGGACACGAAAGGAAAGATTTGGGCTGATCATTATACAACGGAATGCGATTGGTTGCAACGGAATATTTCAGGATTCCACCATCCAAAGTGACTCAATAGGGCGGCCACCGAGCACGAGGATGCGAATCCTCGCAACACCCACTGCACGATTCTACGACTCAACGGTTCCGAAAATGCATGTCATCGATCCGCTGAGTCTCCAACTTCGCTAGTTAGCCCATTAGCATCCATCTCACTCCATCTGGCAATTTAGTGGCGTGAGTGAAGCGCTTATGCAAGGCTTGCATCTTGTAGTGTCGTTTTGATTGGAGAATTCCCTCCCACCCCTGTTGTGACCACGTCAGCGGCCATTTTCTCGAAGACAAGCTCAGAATGTAGATATATCCAGCAGACTAAATGAAGCTCGATGACCAACTCCGTAAACTGGGCTCCTCAACAATGATAGCCCGGTGGACGTAGTTTTACAATGGAACGAGAGAGATCGACCCCAAATTGCCATCCTTGGTACGCCTTCATCATTCCACACATAGCAGATATCGAGCGCGTCTCACTCGGCAGAGCGTTGGTCGGTGGGATTCTCGGCGAGTCGTGCACTCCGGATGCCGCTTCATTAAGCTCTTTTTCAGACATCACCACAGAGTACAGAGTTGGTCCTGGCCGTTTGCTGATGTTATGAACCATCTACATAAACTCCACAGACTCATATTTGCACTAAGAGATAAGTCTAGAGGTTGCGGCCCAGTCGGAAATGATATTCCTTGGCTGCAAGCATGACGCCCTCAATGCGATGGTGAAAGCGCTCAAGGGATTTGTTCAGTCGCCTCTCGCTCGCATTCCCGCGTTTTTGGGCACACTAATCCTTCGGCAAGTTCAAGGCTGATCTCGAGGCTTCACACCTTCGCACCGGCATGAGGGCGCAGTCTTGTATGCGGACGTAGAATCGCTCCATGAAAGAATGAAAGCCAGGAAAGGCATCCTCGCTGAGCCATCTGTTGGGCCACTTGGTGTCGAGTGCCGAGCCTTGATCGCAATGCTCCTATCAAGGACTGATCAATACCCACCGCGAGTGCTGAGGCCTTAACTGGCGTACTCGTGCATCTGTGAGATCCGCCTGGGTTACTCCGTGACTGAACAGAGAGGCAGTCTTTTCGGCTCCCACAAAGCTCCAGCCGCGCTGGGGAGAGGGGCTTTTGGGGTTGGCAATCTGGAGCTTCTAGACCAGACTCAATTGAGCGAATCGCTCGTTCTGGTATGCTAAGAAGAAGGGTCAGTAGTACATGTGGGGTATGGTCAGAACGACCTCTACATATCCAGGTGGTCCTTCCCACGTTCGAGCCGACTCTTTCTCGGGTGACCACTACCATGGCTGCTGCCGACCTGGAGGGGCTTTGCAACTCGATTTGCCGGTCATCGCCGGCTGAGACGCTGTATCTGGATCGGATCGTCGCGCAGTTCATCCTCGTTTCCGCGGCCGATGACGCCACCCGCCATGCGCTGATCATCCGGCTATCGCACTGCCAGCATGACGGCTTCTCCATCCCGATCCTATTCGATGGCCTGGCAGCTGCCTACGAAGGCGCCAGTCTCCCTTCTCGGAGTCAGTTCATCGACTACTGCTGTCTCCGGGCGCAGCGGGATGCCCCCAAGGGTTACGACTTCTGGCGAAATTACCTCTCTAGCAGCCTCCATGACATACCTTGGCAATCTTCAAGGGCCACTTCTGGTTTATGTCGTCTTTTCGATTGCCAGGCCAGAGTTCCGGAAATTTGCTTCGACGATCTGCTCCCTTATATTCACAGTATCAATGCACCATTCTAGCAATGCATTCTTGATCGAGAGTGCCAATTAATAATATTGTTTGGTCCTCGAATCATACCAAGAATTACCTCCAGACTCAACTGAGCAACGTAAATGTTGGGTGTCAGCGCTAATATGGCATGTGCGAGGACAGTCCAGATCTTCTCTCAAGCTTGTCTTGTATCACGTTAGGCAAATCGTGTGTATGAGAAAAAGAACATATTGAAGACCAAATACCACATGGAGAGAAAGTCTTTCAACCGCCATTCTATACGTGTCCATCAGGAAGCATACCATATATGTCACTCAATGCGGCAAACAAATCGTGCCTTAACATCTGCGCATAGCTTCAGGAGATCTGCACGGCTGGCAGTCGAGTATGCCATGAAAGCCGAAAGCCATGGTGTTGTATCGACGCTAGGATCCTCTACGTGCTCGCCTTTCTCGAAATTCACAACATGCTGGACGACATGGTCCATAAGGGCTGGATCTCTCTGCCTCAGATCCCCCCAAGGGTCGTCAGATACGACTATTCCGGACCGCTCTGCTTGGATAGCCGCGATGGCTACATGAGACGGTACCTGAAACGGTTGTGAAAGGGCGTGGACACGCTCTTCATCACCAAGCGCGATAAGAATCTGTAGCGCGAAGAGGTCCACCCCGTTCGCAAAAGCACTTGAACATGTGTCCACATACCCAGGAGGACGAGCATTTATCTCGATCAGGAAGATACTCGGATTTGATGCTGGTGGATACGTTCTCGGGTGCAAATCCATCGTTTGTCCGTCAATCTGTCGATACTCGTGATTGGAGTGGCGGACTCGCGCCTCGACATGAAAAACTCCCGAATTAAAGCCCAGTCGGAGGATCGTTTGGAGCAGTGAGTCGCGCAGTGCGTTTTGTTCGGCACGCGGCAAGGCGGAAGGGAACAGTAGCTGCGTCTCTTTGAAGTTCCCGGAGCCATCGCCCGCATCCCCGGAGCAGGGAAAGTTATCAATTACTTCGAAGAATAGAACCTGGCCTCTCCAGAGCACAAAGTTGCAGTCGACTTCTGGCCCATCACAGTATTCTTCAACCAGTACATCTGTTTGCCAGCGCGGATCTCCCTTTGCTGGTACAGCCCGGGTATATGCGACATGGCTGGAGACCTTCTGCACGGCTTCCAGGAGAGCCTCGTAGTTGGAGACTTTGACAACATTCAAACTGTGCCAGCCATTGCACGGTTTAACGATCCACGGGGGACCCGGTACAGGCACGCTTCCTTCATTGGTCGCGACCAAGTCGCGAAGCTCCGCTGTGCTGCGAACAAGAAGACAGGAGTTCGAGCCATCTTCGAGCCGACATTGATACTTGTTCACTGTTTTGGAATACGCCTGTGAGGGTGAGGTCGATAGGTTCAACTGCTCGGCCGCCTGAGCCACCGGGACGAGCAGGAATTCAGTGACAGTGGTGATTCCGTCAATCGGTTCCGGATAGTCTCTGATGGCATTTACAATACGAAACGGCAGCCCTGCATCACCTGTGAGGTCGAGCGGAATAAACGCTTCTCGAAATTGAGAACCTTGAGGCTCGGCCTCTAGCCTGTCCAGGAGGCCCATATGCAACCACGGAAACGCCTAGCGCTCGCGCGGCCTGGAAAAATCTCCAGGACATGGAGTAAGGACGCAACTCTCCTATTACAGCAAGCCGACGCTGAGGAATTCGTGTAGGAGACAGCCAGCGCAGTGACAATTGATTGCTCAGCTGGGATTGCACAGCATCAAGAGACTGAGCGATGCTTTCTGGGTTGACGCCATCGACCGTAATGCAGCAAACCACAGATTGAAGTAGGGCAGCTAGGCTTGGGTCTGAAAAGTCAGGAGGCCCGACTAATTGTCTGGGATAGGCATACTCCTCTACTTTTTGGGTATACGGTGCTCCTCGGAGTCTCTCTTCGAAGATATAGCTGCGCATGATGTAGCCCTTGTTGGGCACGAGCAGCTTGACTTCTTGATGAAGACCGCTGGATGTTTCCTCAAGAAGATTGATCAAATAGCTGAATTTTCGGATATCTGCTCGCGGAATATGTTCGACCTTCGGTACTGGCAGGGTCCAGTTGATCAAAAAGGATGCATCAGCTGCTTCGGCTGATTCGATAGGACATGCGTCGAGTTCTCCATTGGTTCTTTGCAGATCTCATCTATGACGCTGTACGATGCTGTTGGGTCACATTTTGTCTGTAAGACTGTACCTTGAAGGCGGACTTGGACTAGATTAATATGTTAGTCCGCAAAGCGGGTATATCCATGTGGGCTTAAGAGGCTGTACCATTTCTCTCGCGATCAAGAATGACGAAATCTATGGAAGGCATCTCCTTTCCATGTGGGCTAATTCTCTCCTGTATTCCGGGAATTTGGACAAATCCCAAGCTCGCTTATGTAGCATTGCCTGGCCACCGACCAGCGACCGCTATCCCGAACTCCGTTTTAACGCCGTTGAATTCCGGTCTTTTTTTTTAGGCCTGACAGAACTCGTTTAAATGGACGTAGCAGCAAGAGGAAAACTTCCAAAAAAATGATAGACATCGTTCTTCTTGACAATCTGGTCCCTCATACTACGAACCCGGATCTGTGATGATGGACACTTCAGCAGAGGAGAATAAAGCTGAACGAGGACGAGCACCACACATTGCTCAATTGTCAACAGCATCAGACAGCAAAGTAGCAACTGAAGATGAGATCCAGGAACTGGAACATGTTGCAGCCAAACTGCCAGCACAGGTTTGGCTTGCCGCAACAATTGGAATGGCGGAGCGGTTTGCGTACTATGGCACACAGACTCTCTTCCGTAAGTGGCAAGAAGCTGTTTTAATTTTAAAGTCGCGCAAAGATCTGACTCTGGTACTTGGATTCTATAGAGAACTATCTCCAGAACAGTCCAGACGATCTCATACCGGGCGCAATGGGATTAGGAAAGTCTCGTGCTACCACAGTCAATTTGGCTTTTACTGTTGCAGTGAATCTGTTGCCATTGCCAGCATCAGTCCTGGTTGATGGATGCCTAGGGAGATATAAGGCTTTACAGATCTTCACCGGGTACTAAAGGGTTCAGTTCTAGCATACTTTCTTTGGATGTGTTCTAATCACTTAGCTTGCAGAATCTACGCTCTAGGATCTGCAATTCTGTTTGGCACCTCATTTCCCTCGGAGATGAGGAGTGGTGTTGCTCTTGGAGGGTTCATTTTAGGAAGTGTTCTAATTGCAGTGGGACTTGGGGGTGTTCAAGCTTCAGTGCAGCCTTTTATCGGTAGGATGCCCCAGCCTTGTGTTCTCCTAGTTTAAAGAGGACCCTACTCACTGCCTGCTTAGCGGACCAATATACAGAGCAAACCATGCGGATAAGGATTACGAAGAATGGCAAGCAAGTGGTAGAAAGTCGCGAAGTGACTATCCAGTATATTTACAATGTGTACTATTGGTATGAAGAGCCGACAGTACCTTAAAAAGGCAGATGACTCTCTTTACTGACTGACACGGATCATTGTTCTAGGATGGTGAATGTTGGTTCACTGGGAAGCATTGCTACTACATTGATGGAGAGGTATATTAGCTTCTGGTCTGCATATCTGCTGGATCTGTGTGCTGTGATACTTGCGGTCGTGGTTGTCCATCTGGCGAAACCAAAGTTTGGTATGATACAAAGACATCGTCGTATCCTCTGTTATTATCAATGATTGCTAATCCTGAGGGATTTAACAGTCCATCCTGTTCCACAAGGGTCTGTCCTTCCCCATGCCGCTCGCTGCCTATGGTATGCTGCTCAGGGTGGTTTCAGCCTAGACACTGCACAGCCAGAGTACCAGTTAGAGAACCACCAGCAAGTGGTACCATGGGATAAGGAATTCATTTCTGAGCTTCGGGGTGCTCTATCTGCATTCAAAATGGTACTTCCCCTCCCCCCCTCCCATTAGTGATTCCTGTTATTCAATGTAGCTTCTAACGCGGCAGCAGCATTGGATGGCCCATTTTCTGGGTATGCATGGGACAGGGTGCTCAAGTCTCAATCTCACAAGCCGGACAGATGGAAACCCATGGGATTCCTAATGACCTGATCAAGTCATCGAATCCAGTCGCCTACATGATCATTGGTGTGCTTGTCCAGAAACAGCTATACCCTTTCCTCCAATGATGCAAGATCTCCTTTACCCCTGTCAACCGTATCAGTCTGGGATTCTTCATTATGTCAGTGGCCATGGCATACTCCGCAGTCATGCAGGCAACCATCTATCACTCTGGGCCATGTTACTCCCACCCACTGTCATGCCCTGCGTCTTCTGGGGGCCGCACCCCCAACCATGTGCATGTCCTGCTTCAGCTGCCAACATTTATAATCATTACCCTGGCCAAAGTGTTTTGCTGGCTGACTGGATCAGAGTACACATATTCACATACCCCAAAGAGTATGAAGTCAGCCCTGCAGGCATGCTACATCAGTACCGCCGGCGTCGGGTATCTGTTGGGAATGGCTTTGTCGCCTCTAGCTAAGGATCCTTTACTTGTGGTGCTCTGGTCCGTGACAGCTGCAATGATGTTTGTGACGGCCTGCGCTGTTCGGGTCGCATTCAGGAACTTTTAGATGTTGGTTTACGCCAGCGGAGGTAATAGCATTAAAAAATAGACATGGGTATCATGTAAATATCTAGATATCGTTCTCTGTTCTCAAAAGCGGATCGTGCTCAGACGGCTGCACCGTGGCGCTCCTTGACTTACGCGAATACAGACAGTAATGCTGGACCATGAGAATGATGTCAAAAAAGATGGTGAGATTCCCAAGCACAAGCTTGGTAGCATTTCCCTGTGCGCCCGACCAATCTGCCTGTAAGGAAGTGTCGATAATTAATTGCATCAGAGAGAGCATGCCCCCTGTGAAATCCATCAGGATAGCAATCATACAGAAGCCTTTTGTCGACTGGTGGCAGTAGTTCATCCATGCCTGCGGGGTGTATTTGATTGCGGTGAGGAACACTTTAATGTTTCCAATCGTGTATAACTAGTGGTGAAAGGATATCAGAAACAAGTCCAACTTTTTTCCTTCTTCCGAGTATAATCAAACGCACCACATCAAGCCACTGTTGTGAATGAAGTTGTGGGAAACACAGCAGCCCCATGACTTCGACTGCGACCAGACCAAAACATCCTGAGAGCAGGACCACCGTCAATCTGCTTGGCTTCCGCTGTGTTTGTTTTTGTGATTCAAACTTCCATAGAACAGGCCACTGGAACTGGCTGTAGATAAGCAAGCAGATGATGGTCCCATGTAAGGCATAAAAGAAATCGTTAAGATGCACGGGTGGCTCAGGGCTCTGGGGGTGCCGCTGCGCGTATTGGGCGCGAATCACTGGGGAGAATAATAGGCCGCCATTGAAGACCGTGTAAGCGGATAGGCCGAGCACATTCAGCAGAGCGAAATCTAGGGAGAAGCCGCTTGTTGCGCGTCGGCGTTGGTTGTGGATGAGCTGTGGGTAGAAAGATACCGACCAGAGCAGGAAATAGCTCCATCCCAATCCCTGTGAAAGGGCCTGGAGGAACTGACGGACGTCCAATGTCATGGTACGTAGTATGTATCTGCTATCAGTTCAGGATTGAAGAAGATGTTGTTGTTGTGGAAAGAGAATTGGTGCTGACTGTTTTTCTGGTCAGTGCTCCGGTAATCTGGACTTGTCTCGGGGTTGACCGGAGTATCGGAGTCAAAACTAAGCCAATCATAATCATCAGTCACATGATATGTGACAAATTCGGACATGCACAGGCATCATCTCATCCATTGAGCTCAAAATGAGCAATGCTTATATACACTCCACCCAGTGGCCTCGAAAATATGCTTGACCACCATCTTGTACAGCACAAATATCGAGCAAGGGAACAACTCCGCACATTCCAGCATGAAGAAAGATTCTCAAACAGCAGCGTTCCAGTGGTTTGAAACGTTGCAACCTCACGCTGGGTCAGGGTCTTTTTTATCCTAGTTAGCAGTCCAAGTCTCATTTTTGCTACAGGAAATTCCCTGACAGCTTGAACAGCTGTGCAGTTCCCGTCCACACCTCCGCAGTATGCTCTCCCTTTCAGATGCATTGCAGGGTCCCTAATCTCTAATTTAGGCAGGCCTTTGCATTCAACAATTGCCTGCATGGAGTCCGCTTGTTGAACCTCACCAAGTTCGGCAATATTTACAGCCGCATCACCAACGTATGACCCTAAATTTGGTTCTCGGACTCTAAAATTCATGAGCGCGTTAACTTCAATTGTATGCCCACCGTCAGTGTCTTCAGAGAATCGAATGGCCGCCCTTGAGGAGGGGTAGCTGCTTGTGCCACTGCATCCGGTACGGCGGCCGTGTCCATGACCCTGATGGCGCTGGCGGGCGTGGGAGACAACATTGTTGCCTCCTCTACTGTGCACGGAGGAACTTACCATCAATTCAAGGTTCTGGCGCCACAGCTGGGCATTGAGTGTCGCTTTGTCGCGTCCAATGAGCCGGAAGATTTCCGAGCATTGCTTGAAGGCAAGACAAAGTTCATCTTTGTTGAGAGTATCAGCAATCCTAAATACACAGTGCCGGACTTTGAAGCTCTAGCTGATATTACTCACTCCCATGGGGTACCTTTAATTGTAAGTGTCCCTGTTGCTCTTAACAGGTATATATTAATCTCCTGCGACAGTGCGACAACACCTTTGGCTGCGCCGGGTATTACTGCCGTCCGATCGAGCACGGAGCGGATATCGTCGTTTATTCCGCAAGGAAATGGATCGGCGGACATGGAACCACTCTCGGTGGTGTTATTATGGACGGAGGGACTTTCGACTGGGGCCAACATGCAGATAAGTTTACTCAGTTCCATTCAGATGGGGCCCAAGAGGGCAGTGGTGAGGTCAGTCTGTGGAAGACTTTCGGGCGACGGGCCTTTGCCATACGATGTCAGTTGGAGGTGCTCCGAGATATCGGCAGCACTATGAGCCCCCAGGCTGCACAGCAGCCGCTCATCGGCCCCGAGTCGCTCGCCGTTCGATGTGATCGTCACACAGCCAACACGGAAGTCTTGGCCGCGTGGCTTGCACAGCAGCCGCAGGTGGCGTGGGTGCGCTATCTGGGTGACCCGGACCATCCATGCCATCGCAATGCCAGCAAGTATCTGCGACATGGATACGGCGCTGTCTTCTCTTTTGGCATCAAAGGAGGACAGAAAGCCGGTTTCCGTCTATGCGATGAGTTTCAGATGATCATCAATACGACCAAGTATGGCCCTATCTTGACTGTGCCATTTTCCAGACATGGTTTTGTTCCTGGTAGAACACGGAAATGCTGACGCTGGTTTAGTCTGGGCGACTCCAAGACTCTTGTGGTTCATCCATGATGCCCTGCAGCGGCAAGGACGGACATCCGAGAGTATCTTTTTTTCAGGAGAAGGGCATATCTATTGGAAGGGCGAGGCCTGGCGACGCAGCCTCATCGCACAGGAGCAATGGTGGAAGAAATACCTCCGTCTTGAGTAAATGTCTGTACATATTATTATTTGACTTGGTATAACTATTTAATTCCTTTTCTGCCACACAATCAAGAGCCGCTCCTCTCTGTCGTCCCTGGAAACACTGTAGATGTTGCCCTATGCTTTCTGCCACACCATGTGCCCTAGTTGGCACTCACGTAATAACATTTACATCCCAACGTAAAGTGGAGCTTAAGTCCAGAACGAACTAGTGCGACAACACCGAACTTTCTGCCTTGACAGACCACCTGCCGTACTCTCTGCGTACATAATTTCTTTCTCTTCTCCCCATGCTTAGAATGTTCTTGCAATGCTACCATATCTTTAATATTTGCGAAGCGACTGTCATAGAGCGCAAGCTATACAAGTATGAGCCGCTCATTCAAAGCATCCATATTTGTTGGGTCCATCAGGCAATTTGTAATTCGGGTGTTGTGCTGACTGTTGGTGACTCTCCCAAATACCTTTGTGCTTACCAAACAACTCCGAAGATATGTGCCATCCGGCATAGTCTCGGAGTACAGTCGTCGCTTCACGCATATGGCAGAGAGGCTGCCGAGGAAGAAAGATGATAATCAAAACACTTGAAGAAACGGTGGGACATGAATACTAAAGGAGAATGTATATATTTGTTTTCAACAGAGAACAGCAGGTGTGCCACCCAGACGTACAATTGAGCACCAGGGGAGCTGCTTCTATGCGGCCCCATTTTGGCTCGGGGATATCTCCACGATCCAGAAAAGACAGAAAAAACCTTTATCCAACCTCCGCCTTGGTTGCATTTCTTTGGCTGGTCAGGGTACCACGGTAGGCTGTACAGGACTGGAGACCTGGTCCGATATTGCGACGATGGCACTCTGGAATATCTTGGTCGGAAGGACCGCCAGGTCAAAGTTAACGGACAGAGACTCGAGCTGGGTGAGGTTGAGGAGGCGATTCACTCGTCCTACTCCTCCGCAAGGGCCGCCGTTGATGTTGTACACCATCCTTCCAAGGCTAACCACCAGGTTCTTGTTGCTTTATTAGCGTTCCCTGACACGTCGGACACAGGGGATCTTCAGGTCCTGTCCCGGGAGTTGTACCGCGCAGAAACTGATGAGATCAGCTCGCGAATCACCACTCTTCTACCGAGATATATGATCCCTTCCTATTTCATTCCAGTCTCGAGGCTCCCACTGTCTAGCTCTGGAAAACTGGACCGGGTGACCCTTCGTTCTCTGGTTCTTGATTTCCTACGGTCCGTATGCCAAAAGATTGTGAAGGAGGAGCGACAGCGTTCTCGGACTGAACTGATTATGCTGTCGGCTTGGGCGGACGTATTGTCTGTATCTCCCGGTAGCATAGGTCTGGACGACAATTTTTTCCTTTTTGGAGACTCCCTTGCCGCCATTAAATTGGCCAGGCGCTTGAGAGATGATGGAATGGAGATGAGCCTCACGGATGTCATCCAGAATCCGACCATATCCCAGATGCTCATCAGAACGAAAGTCTCTTGGAAGTCGTCCTCGGTGCCACTGGCCTTTCGCACACGTCTCGGCTGCCGACAGAGTGAGCTTGATAGCAGAAGCTGCTCATCAGTGTGGTATGAGTGAGGATCTAATACAGGATATCTATGCCTGCATACCAATGCAAAAGTCGTTGATGGCAACCGCCGCTTGCCAACCAGGGTCCTACCAAGCGTGCTATGTCTACCGTCTCCCTCAGCAACTAGACATTCATCGATTTCAGGAAACATAGAGATCGTCATTAGCGAGACTCCTATCCTGCGGTCTCGGATTTTCTCCTCCTCCCAGTCGTTGATGCAGGCGGTCATTAACCATCAACCGCGGTGGGATACTGAGTCCGACCTCGCTTTGTACCTTGAGAGAGCTGCGTCCGTACAATTTACTCTTGGTACTGAGCTTACCCGCTTCGCGCTCGTTACAGATTCGCATCGCAGTGTATCGACGTACTTTGTTTGGATCATCCACCATGTACTTTACGATGGCCATTCGCTGCAGCTCATGCTTGAGGATGTCCGACGCGTGTACGCGAACAAAGACAGACTGTCTCGTCTTCTTTCCGTGACTACATATCTCTACCGACAACACGGGACTATCTACTCGGTGATTTGTTCTGGCGAGAACATCTGGAAGGATTCACACCCACGACATTCGCTCACACCCGGCGCGAGGGGCAGCAAGCTATCACGGGCCAGACGATTATGCACCATTCCAGTTTTCAGCGACCGCCTCAAGTAGCCTTTTTACCCTCCGTTCTCATGCAGGCAGCATGGGGTCTTCTTCTTTCTCGATACCTGGAGTCGAGTGACGTTGTTTTCGGAGTGACGCTGAGTGGTCGCTATGCTCCATTAGAGACTATCGACAAAATCGTGGGGCCGACTCTGAGCACGGTGCCACTGCGTGTGCAGATTGACGGGCAGCATGGGGCTAGTTCCTTTCTGACTTGTATACAATCGCACCTTGCCCGAGTGATGGAGTATGATACGCATGGGCTGCAAAGAATCCCGTCACTATCCTCATCAGCTGCCTCTGCCTGTGAGTTTCAGACGCTGTTGGTTATCCAGCCCCCACGTTTCAGCTTCACAGACGAACTGTTTGAGGAGAAGAGTCTGATCCGATCTGAGGTAATTGCAGGGTATCCTCTCACCATCGAGGTTCAGCTGGTGGAGGATGGGCCGATTGAGGTCCGCGCTCACTTTGATTCAGCCATCCTGACCCGGGCGAAGTTCAGCGCATGCTGCAGCAATGGGACCATATTCTCGAGCAATTGGTCAACATTAGTTCCTAGCAGCCCATCTCCAGCACTAGCATGGCGAGTACACAGGGCATCCTAGAGATGGCTCATTGGAACCAGGGTGTGCTTCACCTAACTCCAGGTCAACGCAACACAATCGACGAGTTTTTGTCCTTTTTGTCTTAGGGATGAAAGAAGAGACCTAGTGAAAGGTATAAGCAGTGCCTGACGAAGGCAACCCTACTGAACCACATTAATGAGCACATGAAGTTGTGCGAATCAGAGGAAAGGGTTAAGTGTCCCCACCCATGCTGTTAAAATAAGGAGTATGAGGGTATAATGGGCCTGCGACGCCACTTCTTTGATGTGCATTCTCTCTTGGAGCCTCGTTCCAATTGCGTTTCCAGAAAACGACGATGGGAATTTCACAGTGACAAAGAAGAAGATAATATTAAGCCCATAAAAGTGATCAAGCGTGGTGATGATTAGGATAAAGCTTAGGATGGAGAGCTAGCACTACAACATTATGTGTCTGACATTGTAAGATTACTCTAGCATTGTGTTTCTTACATGTCCTTTTATTGGTATTTTATAAGGAAGATCCGGTTATTTAAGGGCGATTGGGTTTCAGTCTCCAAAGGGTTTTGCATCTCTTCAATTTGTAGTCTCCCATTGAATGAAGTTGCATCCTAGTGATAGCCCTTTATGTCTCCCGGTCGAGATTGCCAGCCGCACAGTATATAAAGCAATGTGTGAAGCATGTCATTTGTTGGCAAAGACATTATGCGCTTTTAAAATAGCAACAATTTGCCACCGGTCCCAGAATACCTTAGATACTGATTGCGTCATCATTGTGATGCAGTCCTTACCTTACACATAGCTAGAGATTATGACATTCAGTTTCAGCCCAGCATGCAGCGACTTTGCTCGCTATGCTGTTATGGAGAATGCTAGGGATTCGTCGAAGGTGTGATTGGATATTCCTTCAATGACTGTCACATCGTCGAGGAGTTATGCACCGAGTTCGAAACCAGCGGCTGGGTTTGCTCGGAGATAAAGCCGTTGTATTAGTGCTCATCGATCAGTGGCATAGGAGCGAGGGGAGTCGCGGTACGGCATGTTCCACAACTACGAGAGGTATCACTAATAAAAGCCAGAGGATGGGACCTCCCAGCTCCAGCACTTCGCATGTAATAAGGAAATGGCACGCCAGGCAAAGCAAAAGCGCATCGACGAATGTTTTGTACCGGATTCGTAACCCCCCCCTTAGCGGCCCTCCATCGTCCCACTGCCTTGTCACTAATATTGAAGCTATCGTTGGTGCGGTCTGGGTTGACTCTGGTAGAAACTTTGAAGCTGTAGAAGGTGTGATGAAGAGATTGAATACTTATCCTGACTAGGCATGGAAACTTCTCCCCTAGTTCATTTCTCCCCTCAATCTGCCTTCGGGTTGCCCGGTGCTCTTGGTGTTGTTAGCTCTTGGAGCACTAGATATTAGACGATGGAGGGGGTGGAGAGGAAAGTGCCATGGAGGAAGCAATCTATATCTGAGCAGGATGGAGGCCACAGTTAATCGTACTATAAGAGTGGTTCTCTTTTCGTACCACCCAGCTATAACTCCAGGTAACTATTACCATGCCTGCTTCTGTTACCGGGTAGTCTGCACACCTCATTCAATAAACAACCCCATGTGTGACACAAAAGGAGTCGATAAAATGGGATCTACTAGACTTATGTCGCTATTGATTCTTCGTGCGTTGTGATTCAGTGGAAGATTGATTATTGTTATATACTTCTTGAAAAGTTGAGGATGTGTGGGTAAAAGAATCGCGCTGATCTCCCACAAGTCTATCTCCGTACGGAACAAACTATGTATATGAAGCCCTATTATCTACATCAGGCCTCGATTCGTGACACACATCAGCAGTGCGACTTTTTAAAGCTCCCAGAAGTCAATACCTAGAATCCTCATGGTGATATACCTCATGGACCAACTATGCCTCCAAGTGGTAAGAGGCTACTGTCCGAAACCAGCTCCTCCCATGCGATTTTCACACTGTCGATGACCCCAGTGCCCCACTTCCAGCAGTCAAAACAAAGGAAAAGAAAGCGGCCTGTGCTTCCAAACATCGTCGGAAATTCATGTGAATTTGTTGTAGCGGTATTCCATGTACAACAGTACATACCTCAAGTAGAGTTCCAGGTCCAGATGTGGGAATCGACGCGTTCTTAGCAAAATGAAAACCCTGCCAGAGACATACCACATATCCACTTTGGTTGTTTTTAATGGACCCTTGTCCGCAGGCCACGGTGGGACTTCGCATCCATCCATAATGCATAGATCGCCTGCGGCTTCGCCTGTGTCCGAGAGTTGGCGCATGTTGTGTCCGCATCCGCTTCGCTAGGGCCCTGCCCAGGCTGCTCCGAGTTGCCAAGGACTGCCCCATTGCTCTAAAGGGTGTAGGGCATGGGAGTGAAGCTGAGTATCCCAAAATGCATAGGTACTACCCTAGTTATAGAACGTACATTTCGGAGACTGCGGCTTTAGGAAGATAGAGAACTCTTATTTCCATAGGGTGTCGTTCCAGTATGCAATTCTTGTCCAAGCAGCCCCCTCCGAGGCAGATTTTGAGTCGCATTTCCCGGGCAAGTAAACTCCTCGCACATGGTTCTTGTTTAGCAGTGCTCTAAATGTGTATCTACAACGAAACAGAATTTTTTTCAGAAAGTGATTCTTAGTCTGTAGCTGTTTGATCGATTCTATGAGGCTAGCACTCACGGCTCATGTGTACCTTGGGGCCAGCTGTATATTGTACCTACAGTGTAATCTAGTGTAAAGCGCTGCTTGAATGTTGTCCCAGCCGTTGGAAAGTGATACTGGCACCTACGAGATAATGTCAAAAATCTATCACTACAACAGAATTATCTACAACAGCAAACTCGTTGATACTTCTAGACTATAGTTATAACGTACACTATAAAAGCAAGAATGACAAACACATGCATTGAATTCTTGTACTCTACTATCTGATGTATGCTCAACTTTTCTCCTAACCCTTGCATAGCAGGATATTCAACATGTATGTTCAAAGGGAGCCAACAGCTCATGGAACAGGTAACACACCAGCATTCTCATACGACCGGAAACTGTTCAACCAAGCCCGATATGTATCATCGTACCGACTCCATCCAAATGCACGAGCCTTGGAAATACTGGCAATAAAAGGCGCCTTCTGCTCCGTGGGTGTGATATACCAATTCATCAGCGCAAATGCGTCTGGCTGAAACGCCTTTGGGTCGCCGCCATATTTGGCCACGATTGTCTCCCAAACCGGTTGCTTGTCCTTTGCCCACTCGGACATGTCCATGGGGACGGTGCTTTCATTCGGGGGTTCAAACTGGTCCATCGGCACCTTGAAGTATTCTGCTAGTAGGTGCCAGAGATATTTCCAGACTATCACATCGCCGTTGACGTGGTTGAAGGTTTCATTTTTGCAATGGTCTTGCGTGGCTGCCCAGAGAGTCAGATCGGCTATACTGGGCGCGTAGGACTGGTTCTCGACTCGATGGAAGCTGCTTAGATCGCCAGGCCACTTTGGAGTTTCACCAAGTTCGCGACAGATAAGGAAGTATTGGGCGATTGTGAGTGTTTCGTTGATTCCAAGGTCTGCAAAACGTGAGTCGGGTTCAATGTGTCGTGGTTTAAGCATAGATGGCGCTCTGGCTACGCAACTCACACTGACAGCTGTAACCGATGATAGCCCATGGACGAATGATATTGTATTGCCATGTTTGATGGCGTTTTTGGATGGCGAACAGATCATCCTCTTGCTCGTAGTAGAATATATTGTGAGGACCTTCATAGCGAGGCAATTGTTCCATTAGCGGGGTCGTGATGTCCCGGAACTGGAACCCATAATGCTGCTGAAAGTCAGGTACAAGTAGAGAAAACAGGTCATCCAAAACGAACTTGCCTTCCCTCCTGTTTGCAGAACCACGCGCTTCAATTTCAGGCAGGCCAGATCAATGGACTCGAGGAAGTTTCGAAACAAGGGGCAGTTCTTCTCATGGAGCTTTGAGAAGTCATTGTCGTGAATGTAGGAAGTGAAAAAGGCATGTGTCACATCTGTGCAATGTTCCCTCATCTTCTCAACAATATCCTTTACTGGCTCCAGGAAGTCCAATGCAATAAACCGAACCCTAGAATCAGAGTGGTTTGACTTGAGGAGTTTCCGTGAGGTGACGATTATCTCGGACCTTCATCAACGCCATGAGAAACACTAGTTTTAGAGGAACAGGTCAGAATACTACTTACCATTCACTGCAAGGCAACTTGATCAGATGCTCAATTATCGCACCGCCGCTGATACCGTTGGCGCCAGCTACAAAGGCGACCTTGCTGGTGGGCTGCCGGACGGTAAGGAAATTGCTGCTCATGGTAAGCAAAGAAGGCTTGGTGGTTGAGGTAAGGAAAGATCTGCGACTTTGATGGAGTTCTATCGAGCCTTTTATAACCCCCATCTCGGTTTCCCTCCTGTATGCCTAGACTGCAATTCAGGGGGGGGGGGGGGAAATTGTATACTGATAGCAGCTACAGAGTGGATCATCCTCAAGCAAAACTATCAGACCGTAGCGGCCATTCTTTACCTAATGGCATGTATCTCCATAACCCGGAACTTGCTGTCAAAATTCAAAATTGCCAAGAGGCTAAGTATGGGCCCTCACTTTAGCCACTTATTGTGTTGCTTGACATGGTGCACCTGGTGCAGGTCCGACACTTCGCAGGTCTCGGCCCCGGGGTAAAGGGGGTCCATAGATATCTTTCTCCTCTTCACCGCGTAGCCCAATTCTACTAGGAATATGCCGATCGTGTCGGGATATGGCGGAGTAGTCTCAGAATTTCTACGGGTGTACTGCCTTGATTATTCTTTGATCTAGTCTTCAATTCCCTGCCGGCCATCAATTCTGCTAGGTTGCGTGCGCACTTCTCGATAACTTACTCAAACTTTCGGTGATGCTTCCTATTTCAGTAGGAGATATAAACTGCAGCACCCGCAGGGGTGGTACGAGTAAGGCAGAGAACACAAAATATGCTCATAGGTGCGTTACTGTAGTGATCCCTTTTCTGATGCTCCCTCAGCATTTACCACGCCCTTTCTGTCCTTTCCATACGTCGCTTAGGACTCGAAATAAGTAGGTGCACATATGACAATTAGGGCAACGTCAAATTCTGTATCAATGGGATGGATTTGTACGATCATGGTAGCATATAATTTGGAACCCTCAATTAGATATGAAGGGACCATTCTCTCTAGCTTATATAGATAATTAAGCTAGCCTGCAAATATATTCTACTACAATTAGGAATTACCGCTTTCGTATTCTTGATGGCGCTGGTAGCCATCATATGCCTCAATTCCATCAAATATGTAGTGAGAATAATTCTCCTATCTGCATGGCTGCGCACTCTGCTAACATGCTTAGCCTTTCGGTGTAGGCTGTTTTCGGTCTCTAGAAAGCGCATACGGCAGCTTGGTGCAACAGAAAATGAGCGTGGGAATCACTCATATTGATAAGCTTGATTTTTGGAGATACTTTCGTGGAGCTCGAAAAGACGCTTCTACGACAGACAACATTCAGAATAGCTCCGCAGGCACTGGCCTTGTTCCGTTTGGTCCAGATAGGGTGCTCTGCAAGTTGGAGAAACGACTAAGGTCCCCTACACCACCAGGCAGTCCGTCAACCAATTCAGCGCCCAAGACACCGTATAGTGCTAGGTAGCTAGAGACGCCGCTATCTGCAGTAAAGAAAGTGCTTAGAGCGCATCCACAGAGCCCTTCATCTTCGGTAGGAACGCGGTCAGACAAGATTGATAGAGGTCATCCACTAGCACTTGATAAGCTTGTAATCATGCGGAAGAAATACGCAAATTCCGCGCTGATAATAAACGGCAAAGCCGAAAGCAGAAGCTCTCAAATAGACAGCTAGCTACTACAGAAGGGCCATATCTTCAGGGGGCCCTAGAGCGATTCCAGTGCGAGAAGCTCACGATATTATCGTTGTAGATCCAGATGGGCTGCTGGTTTCATGTATACTAGCTAACGCGATCGGAGGGGCATAAATTTCAGTTTGGTTAGGGGCACACAGACAGCTGGACGGCTTGCTACTGGGATTATCAATTATATGAATTGATCCGGCTGTACAAGGTTTTGCTTCCGATCCGCGACCTCGGTTTGTCCAACCTGTGACCTGTGGGTAATTGCCGAAATGTTGGCCAGAGTGTGGGACTTCCCCAAGCGGAAATAACCACAGCTCTGAAGTGAGACTATAGCCTCGTTGTTCGCTCAAGTGGCCGACCGGTCGTCACTGAGCGTCGCAAAAAAGAAGGGCCACCCCACTACCGTAACTAAACTACCAGATGCCCATATGTACTTTGGGGAATAATCGATCCACCTTTTGTGTACGCCGCCTTGCCCTACCTTTCTCTCTGAGCTCTTCTCATCACGAGCAAGCCATAAAGTCGCCGTGATTCCTTCAGCAGAGTCTATTTTCAGGCACTGTTGTTGCGTTCGGTGTTCTCACCCCTCGCTGGTTTGGAATGAAAGTCGTCCAGTCGCCCCCGTACCACTCACGCCCCAAGTTTTGACAGATCGAGCCAAGCAGCAGAAAGCAACCATACATAATATAACTCCCTCCTATTCAGGTTCCCCAATGCCATGAGTATGTTGGTCATCACAGGAACTATTGTGATGTCTTTGCCATTGGTCACTGTAGGCGTCAATTCCGGGAAACATCTCTCTGTTTGGCGGCAGATTATACCACAACATCAAAACTCCATCCCGGACGTAGTCATTAACTCAATATTACTTATTACTTTTATATATATATATATATATATATATATATATCCACTATGCTATTAGGACAGTACCTGAAGGACAGCACCGGAAGGGCTGCGGCAAACGAGGTCGTAGTAAGCTTCAGCAGTCTCCAGCTATCTACGAAGTACCTCACACTCGGCTCTGTTAATACTTAGTTGCGTGAACGAAAATTCTGCATTGTTTATACTTCTGAGGCATAAGCGCCCCGTATGTTATCCTTCCGTACTTTGCCGTTTGTTGGTCGTTTCCGTACCCTGCTGTCTCCACGGTAGGCGAGTCATCGTATGTGGGGTATAACTACCTCGCACCTTGTCTGCATTAGTCTTAAGTTCATGTGATGGGTGTCATGCCGCGGTAGAGCTCCCTCTTTGCTGTACAATCCGACTGCTTGAAGTGAACATGGCCCGAGATGGGAGTTAAGGACCAAGCGGATAACTCTGGTTCGGGTTCTGGCGCTTAAATATAGAGGTGCTGGACTGCCTTTATAAATTGCCCCAATACCTAGAGTTTAGAGACACCACGATATTACAGTTCTGGTTTAATTAATTCTCTTTCGCACCATGGGAACTCGAGAAGATCTCAGAATACGGAGCACGCAGACAAACCTCCAAATTGCCGTCACCATTTTTTCCGATGGCCAACCTCACTCTCAACCATCGCCTGTCATCATTATGGGCCACGGCATCGGCTGTATCAAAGACGCCGGCCTAGCTCCCTTCGTTACTACTTTCGCCCACCACGGTTACATAGCAGTGACCTTCGACTACTTGTACTTCGGTCAAAGTGAAGGAGAGCCGCGCAACCTAATGAGTGTTTCCCAGCAGCTACATGACTTTGAGGATGTCATTTCCTGGGTACGTACTCAGCCAGAGAGATTCGACGTGGATAAAATTGTGGTATGGGGCACAAGCTTCGGAGGGATGCATACTACAGCTCTCCTCGCACAGGACCACAAACTTGCTGGTGGCATAGCCCAGTGCCCTTGTGTGGACGGTCTAGCGGCTTCTTTGCAAGTCCCGTTTCTCCAATCAATGCGCCTAACTTGGGCTGCTTTGCGCGATGTTGGGCATTCCATTTTTGGACTTGGGCCAGTGTACGTTAACCTGTCCTCGAATGGGCTTCCAGGATCACCCTTGGCCATTATGAGCGGAGAAGAAGTAGCGCAAGGATGGGATCGGCTTGTATCGATGGAGGACATGCCATTTCCGAATAAGATCGCCGCTCGATCTCTTTTCAGTGTCCTCACCAATCGCCCGGTTCATAAAGCCCACAAAATAAGGAAGCCATATCTGATAATCCTTCCAACTTGGGATGGACAGGCACCACTGAGTGCAGCGGAGAAGACAGCAGCATTGGCGCCTCTAGGAGAAGGGTTAAGAGTGCAAGGAGGTCATTTCGATCTTTACTACTCAGGGCCCGCGTTTGACGAGAACATCAGGGGGCAGTTGGAGTTCCTGGAAAGGATACTAAAGAAATAGAGGACCATTGTATTTAGTGAAGGGGAACTCATGAAACGCATAAAGCATGGTTATCGAGGCCTCGTCTCCAATTTACACCACTGCAAAGAGTTACTGTAACCGCGCCATGTTCCCCTCCTGTGAAGTCGCAGCTCGCACGAGGATGAAGGTGAGGAGCAACATAATGAGAGGCAGGAGAAACACTTCAATCAAAAAGAGCTGGGCATATAGAGTCTAGCAGGGGTGAGGGTGCAACGTATTGAAGTGCATGCACGTGCAGGTGGGAGGGGTGTATACAGGACAAGATCAAAATCTGGCGTACATTTTTGCCTACAGCTATGGGATGGAATATGTATACTTCGCGACTAGTCACATTCGAGCACCTATATTGGTGGAGGTTATGCAGCTGTAACTCTATGCTACATTTGTACGGAGACAACCCACCGCCGCAACGGCCGAGGATGACCTGTGTGGGTTTATCCCTATTGGCCAAAGTGATAAAAATTGCAGCGGTGACTGAAGTGATCAATGGTGAAACTCAGGCATCACCAATCCTCCAGGAAAGAAGGTGACTATCATCCGTGGGGTTTAAGTTATTGGTTCTTCAGCCCATTGAAACGCAGTTCGTGTTGTGAAAAGTGGACCAGAGGATATGACGCTCAGGCGCTCAAGCCCTGTGGGTTATTTCCGATCGGCTTGCCCGATTGTGGGTTTTCCCCGGATGGATAATCGAGGTAGCGTAGACCTTCGTGGGTGTGGCCGTGTGGGGCATGATCTCAAAAGACGTTTGCTAAAGTGCGTTTAAGCGCACGTCATAAATTATGTACCAATACAGCCCTGCAGGTGACCTTGGTCCAGATGCGGGATTTTCTCCAAGACGGTAACGTGAACACAGCAGGTAGAACTGGAAAGGCTAGGCTCGGGAGCTTGCACCAGCCGATGTTAGGACGGGACTATTGGTTCTGATGGCTGATAACTTCTCGGAAGCACCGGACAAGACCGACAAATTTCAGTTTAACTCTTGTTCGCACTGCAAACCCAAAGAGGAGCAGAGGTTCTGGGCTTTACGGCTCCATTGTACATTCTCCGTAGAGATCACTGGTAAAAGCGCAGCTCTTGAAATCTGTTCTTTCTCAAACCCAGCTTAGTGTCTAACTGTTTGACTCATGCCATCTGCTCGTCCCCGTATTCTCCTTTGCTAATACCAGGGAAAGGCATACTACCAGGTAGCAGAAAATTTGAAAAATAATACAGTTTGAATAAAACTCAGAGCCAACTAAGTCAAAGTTGTGGGTGTGTCAATACACAATTCGAACAAATTCTGGGTAGACCCCGGAAACCACTGCACTATTGGACTACATAGTTACGAATGCTGTTTTATAAAACCTAAGAGTGGAAATGCGTACTGTATACACAAATACAGGCAGGCGGTAGCTTTAAGTTTAAAACTGTCTTGCGCTTTAATGAAGCCGGACCAATGGTTCACAATTAACTGGACCCAGCCAGCAGGATTGAGAATTCATTTGGCTCCTCGGGGATGGAAAGGTTCCGTGCGTATATAAAAGGACTGCGATGGGTTGTGTCAATGATACCGTCGACCACACCCTCAAAAGGCCGTATGAAGAACCCTCTTATTCTAGTTCGCAGATACGTCTGGTGCCCATAAAGAGTTCTACGATTTACAAGCTCTTAGTTACTTTTTCCCTGGCACAGCAACCGTCCCCATGGCTTGCGATTTCGGCAATATCCCTCGGAACATTCCCGGCAAGCCACAAGTTTTCTCTCTGCACGTTCCTGATCAAGATGTTGCAGATTTCAGAGCTCTTCTAAAGCTATCCAAGATTGGACCCAGGACATGGTGGAATGAGCATATGGACGGATCATTTGGTGTCTCCCGCCACTGGCTCATCAAAGCTAAGGACATTTGGTTGAACGACTTTGACTGGCGCCAGCAGGAGGCGAATATCAATTCGTTTCCTAACTTCAAGATCGCTGTCAACAACCCGGAACATGGCCAGCTGAGCGTGCATTTTGTTGCTCTTTTTTCAGCAAGACCTGATGCTGTTCCCATCATCTTCATGCATGGCTGGCCGGGTTCGTTCCTGGAATTTTTCCCGATGCTCAATATCATGACTAAGAAGTACACGCCCGAGTCCCTGCCATACCATGTGATCGTGCCGTCGCTGCCAGGGTATGGGCTTTCGGCGGACATCGGTCATGAGAAGGAGTTTACGTTGGATTCCGCTGCTCAAGTCATGAACCAATTGATGATTGATCTTGGATTCGGCAAGGGCTATGTTGCGCAAGGGGGTGACGTGGGAAGCACGCTGTCACTAATTCTTTTGAGAAAATACAAGGGATGCAAGGCAGCCCATGGTAAGACTACCCATCCCTGAAGGAGCAGGTTGCTTGTATGCCAGTACCGATGCTTAAGGTTGCTCTTTATCCACAGTCAATTTCCTTGCCTTAAATGGATATGAAGGTGACGTCGACCTTTTGACATCTCAAGAGCTTGATCACCTGAAACGGGCGCAAGCCTGGCAAGCCACAGGCATGGCTTACCTTCTCGAACAATGCACGCGCCCGGCAACAATTGGGCTAGCTTTGTCATCGAGCCCTTTGGCTCTTCTTGCATGGTAAGCCCTAACCGCGGGCTCCTCTTTCTGCGCCTCTTATTCTTTACTTACTAAATGCAGGATTGGTGAGAAGATCCTCGAGTGGGCAGATGAGCAACCCCCATTGGACGCGATCCTTGCCAATGTCAGCCTTTACTGGTTCACTTCCTCATTCCCACGCAGCATCTACCCCTACCGGAATATAGCAAGCTTCAATGCATTAGATACCAGCAAAGAGAAGCCGCTTGGCTATTCCTACTTCCCGGGCGAACTTATGCTTCTGCCCAAAGCTTGGGCGGACGACGCTTTTCGCAACATGGTGCAGTACTCGGTGCACGAGAAGGTAAGAGCTACCAACCTGCGATTGCCTCGGAAACCGTGACTGATCCTAGAGCATATTGGAAGGGCGGGCATTTTGCGGCGTGGGAGCAACCCCAAGCACTGCTAGAAGATGTCGAGAAGTTTGTTCACAGATCGTGCAATGCAGGTGACTAAGGCAGAGGCGGTCCTACTAACTATCCTGCCAGTTTCGCAGTATAATGATCATTTTCAGCACGCCGATAACATAACCTCCTTTCGCCTCGCACCTGTTTCTGGAATGTTTTAAAGGCTATTGTTCCTGCACTTTTAAACATTTCGCTTCGTAACTTGAAAGAGAAAAACAGGCCAAGGAGAAGGAACCAGAATGACTTCGATCCAAGGCTATGAAGTCCAATAGCGACCTGATAATTTCATATTTTGACAGCACCATCTTATTTTCACAGCTTTTCTCAATCGACACTGTAACTGTGTGGCAAAAGAGCTATCGTTCCTGTCCTATTTCTATTATTATGACACACCACAAGGGACTGTTTTTCTTATCAAAAATGCGTGGAATCCACTCGAGCCGTCTCGTTTGTCGTGAATTATTGGATCAAAGCTACAGGAAGCTGGAGGCTCATCGTCGAGTTGAAGCTTCGGCGCAGTGTACAGAGAGTTTGTTATGCCATGCTGCTCGGCAGGAAATTAATACGCGAAGAGTATTAAGTCCAGATGGAAAATACAATCACTTTAAAAGGCAAAGATTTTCGAGCTCGGTGCGCAAATGCATATCAAGGGCAAATGCCTGAGATAGTCTTTATAGTTTCGCGGCGCGACCTCGACAAGGCCCTACTTTTATGGCTACCCTTTCTTTCCGAAGGTGATGGCTCCTTTCCCGTAAGAGTATACCGCCTGCCAGTGTTCTCCCTGAATCACCTCTTAATCTCTTCCGGGTATCATATATCGAAAATGATCGAGTGCAAGTCCGATGGAAAAGCAAATGATGATTCGCGTCGTCATGAGTGGGAACATAAGGCCAATACCTGTCAATAGCTTTACTTAGGATTCTCGAATAGAGACGCTATCGTCAACTTAACTCTGCCTGTATCTCGATTCAGCTCAGAGTTTCTGGCACTGCAGACAGGTGGGGTGCTCCCCGAAGGCACGGTGAATGTCAAGGGAAATCCCCAAACTGTAGGCGAGATGGATGATCAGGTGACTGCTACCTCTCATATTGCCGAAAGCCGAGATTTTCGACTGACTTTCAAATGCTTTCCCACTTCCTTTTGCCCTTCTCTTCGCCACGCATCTAAAACTACCTTCGTATTGGCTTTGGTGAAATAGCTCGTTGCCAGGCTTCTCTAGTTATACTGTCTCAGTGGTATCTCCTCAGCAGTCCTTGGTATCTTTCCATTCCAGCGTCAGCTGTCGTCTCCGTCCATATGGACTCCCGTCATACGTGCCCAACTTGTGCTGCAGACTTTTCGACCAAAAGTCATCTGCGACGACATGAAGTGTCACGTGCGAAGATAACCACAATCCCATTGAGCTCCTCGCATGCCACATGGCTAGGACTGCCTTCTAACAATTGGTGTAGACCTGCCAATTCGTCCTTATAATTGCCTCTTCTGTGGACAGCCATTTTCACGACTGTGGGTCGTCCGAGTCACTCTACAAATACTTCACATAATGATCTACTAACATTCACAGCGATGCCGCTCGTCGTCATGCGAGAGTATGCCGAAGTCGAGGATCCCAGTCCATGCCACGGATCCAAAAAAGGGGCAAGCACAGAACCTCGTGTGACCAGTGTGCTACTGCAAAACGTGCGTGTGACAACAATTCACCTTGCGGATCATGTGGACAGGATAAGTTGAAGTGTACCTATGTGCGCTTGGAAGTCAATTCACAGGCTATCCAGTGTCAGTGGTCTCGCTACAGCCCCCCACAACTGAGGACTGGTCGCGGTATCCGAGCAACTCAAGGCTCTTCCGTAACTTCGCAGAGTCCTGCGAACGCTTCCGTAAAGACCAGGATACCGTTCCTACTAAACTATTTCAAATCGGACAGCACCTATTTTGATCGTCAGTCTGCTCTTGAGTTAGGGAGTTCTCGTCTCGACCAAGGGTTTAGCGGGCTTCCCAAGCTGCACCATTATGAACTTCTCCAACCGAACTTAATGACACCAACATTGTTCGACGACTATTCCAGCTCACAATTCTTTCATTTTCTCGACAATCAACTTTCGCCTCCAAGTCCCGTTTCTGGTAGTCCTCAGTCGAGTCTGCGAATAGAAAGGCTCGGAAGGCGCATTGCAGAAATAATTGAAAACCTGACGCTTGTTGCCGGACGTGCGAAAGAGTCGATGGGCAACATGCGAGCCCGCCTAGATGCTGCTGTCTCGCAGGGTCTATTCTCAACCTCAAACATGACCGAATTCACACGATTGTACCTTGAAAATTTCTATTGTCATTGTCCTATTTTCCACCTACCCTCATTTTGTTTGGAATCTGTTTCCTTGCCCCTTCTGCTAGCAGTTTTCATGGGCGGCTCAATATACTCTTACCCGCGTGATACACATACCCTTGCGGTGGATTGTTTCGATCTTACGGAAGAGTATGTATTTGACTTCCCAATTTTCCGAGAAGGGTCTACTGGCCATGGAATCTTAGACAGGCTGCAAATCCCTTCTCTCGTGGGGCCTTTTCTTGCTGCAATTATCGTGGTACAACTTCAGATTGGACGCAATAATGCTGGAGTGTATCGAAGAATCCGAGATCAGCGGTTCCCACAACTGGTGCGTGTTGCACGGTCACTGTCTCTGTTTAGCAATAGAAGGTGGAGAACTTCATCAAGGTCACCACTCGATAGTCTGACAACTCGAGAGAACGAGTGTCTTATTCGGTACATTGGCGTCCGAAATGTGCTCTTGCAGTGTTTTAGACTGATTGGACGTTAAATAGGGCAGCTACATATTTACTGTTACTTGATTGCCAATTCATTATCGGTTTCCGATCTCCTCCGCTTATCACCATCGCGGAATTGACAGGAGATCTACCGAGCAGTGAAGTAGGCTTCTTGCTGGATGATGCAACGATGCTAGTCCATAACACTCCTGGAAAGCTAAACAAATGCAATTTGTCCGTCGTGGAATTTGAAGAATTGCTTATGGATCACGCCTGGAGCGGTGCGGACGGTCCGCAGTTCCACAATATAAGCTTCTTTGGCTTATATGCTGTTCTTTGTGGTATGTTCTTGGCCATCAGTCTAAGTGATCTTTCGTCTCAACTAAGCTTGATCATAGGATTGCTCTCCATAATTTTCTCTGCTCAGGCAAGTAGGACCATTCAACGCCAGCTACCAGTTTTGGAGCGAGCTCTGTCTAGGTGGAAATTGCTCTGGGACCGATCAGTCTCGCAAGCCCATTCGCAGGAGCTCGAACGTGCTGGTATTATGATGAGTGCTAGTGAAGTGTGGCTGCTTGGGAGAGCCTTTTTGCACATGGAGTCAAAGGACTTTCTGGACGGGTTAGACAGCGATTCGATGATAAACATGGAATCGTTAGCTAGCCATGTGAAGAAAGCGCTGCCTAAATTCGGTTGATAGTGGGAATTGCTACGTGGATGAACTTGAGTGGCCCGCATGCTAGAAAGATTGCCTGAATGTTCTAAGAATGCTACTGATTGTGGAGTCATACATGGTGCAACGTGCAATCATGACCTTTCCTTGGATACTGCATTCTGTGTACCTTTTACTCGACTTGGACTGAAGGGACAACAGTCGAGCAGTCTCTTTCACGTCTTGAGTTGAAAAGCAGAAACGATAGTAGTATGGTTCGCGTAGCTCATATCGTCCTCCATGGTGTACACTGACCATCCACAATTCTTGTTTTCCTGGAAAATAAATCGTAGCCTCTTCTTCTTAAAGCATCCCAGGTTCAGAGCTAATACCGTTCTAATGTCACTTGACGTAAAATAGGCCCGCCTATACTGATAATTTCTGGCGACTCCACATTTTTACCTTCTTTTTTGTGAAAAAGGAAAATTGACTCTGTAGCTTTTTATCGTCGCTTTCAACAAGTTTCCCCAGATCTTTCCACAGTGGTAGTGTCTCAATATTTTTGATTAGTTTGTGGGTGTTTAGGATAACTCCTATGCCCGCAAATGTGATTTTTCTCTCCGGCTCGCTGTATTTGTAACTGTCTCTTAAATAGTGAAAGAGAAGCGTGTCTTCATTCTGTTCATCACAAAAATAATCAGAAGTAATGTACTTGACATGTCCAGATAAGTTAATGGTGTGTAAAGGAGCAAATATCATCTTGTTCTTTCACAGGTCTAGTGGGAGTCTAATTTCGTCCAAGTTCGGCCTAACCAGGGCAGGGTTGGCATTGTGATTATCTATAATCGCATCCAGCCACCCTTTACTCTTAAAGATGGAATCCCACGCATTAGGAACCTCAATATTCTCCTGTGAGATTGTACTGTCAGCTCCGCATTAAGGATATCACACTTGCCCTCTGGATCATGTGGCTTTGGTAGAAGAGCCTGATCCTCTTTGTTTATGTGCCGCAAGCTGGATAGCCCTAATACGCCAGATCCAACGGCTTTGACAGCGTCAATCAGCTCGCCATGCAGTCGCCCAAACATCAAGGCCGTCATCACTGGCTCCAAAGAGCAGAGTAATCGCACCACCCTGGGACGAGTGGACACAGTATGTGCGGCAATAGTATCAACGACAGCATTACGAATGCTGATGTTCTTTCTGTATAGACAGGTTAGCTCAAACATGGACTATGTCAGTAACGGGATGGGTGGGGGTCCCGTATACATCGCGGACATTAATTCACACTGCACGTCAAGACAATGCCTAGGCCTTGAAATGGTCCGACTCAGGTTCCAAAGGTCGGAACCTCGAACCTGAACCTGAGGTTCTCAGTCGGGTCGCGGTTCCATCAGGTTTGACCCAAGTTCGAACCTGACAGAACCTGATTTGCATAATTTTGCCAAGATTTTCCTATTTTAGATGGATAAAATAATAATTCATTAAGATTTTATACTGTAACTTACTGCTATTATAGTCAAAACATCTATAAACCACACAATGTCACCACATCCCTTGTGAAATTATATGAAATTCATCTATATATAGAATACCTAGCATAGCCAATATTATATCCAATCAGATTTAGTGGCCTCGAGGCCCTTAGTAGTTAATTCTAGTAGAAGTTATGGTTGATGTATTATATAAAGTAAGAAATATATATTTTACACTAAGTACTTCACCACCATCCTAATCAACATTTCTTTGAATATGTTTTAATAGCCATCATTAGAATTAAACAGGCTAATTAGAAGCTTATATAGGAATACTAATATCCTATATTTACTCTATATATTATATATTTATTACTTGAAAGCAACAAGACTATATACTTAGGGTCAAGGACTTGGGCAAAAATTAAGATTAAAATGACTCTTCATGTGGGTTAAGATAAGGTTCTAGGTCAGGTTCCAGGCTAGGTTCCTTAGGTTCTAATTGAGGTCTGTTAGGGTCCATCAGGTTTGACTTAGGTTTGAACCTGATAGAACATATCTAAAGGGGGCCTTAGCTGCCTCACTAACTAATTATCATATATATAGGTAGATAGCCTAGTCTATATTAAAATAGATATATTAACACCTTTATTCAGCTCATATTAGCAGCTAATTCTTATAGTTTTTCCTATTTCCCTTAGTTCTAGCTTACTTAACCTCTAGTATATCTCTTCTAGTCCTTCTCTATCATCCTAACTCTATTATTTACCATATCACACAGTCAAATCTCTTAGTTCTCTAATAATTATCCCTCATCTATCTATGAGGATACCCCTCTAGATAGCTCTTCCTTCCTTCTATCTAATGGTCTATAGCTATTCTTCCCTAACACCTTATACAGCTAGCAGATACCTGCTTCTACACCTAATACTAAATTTACCTAGCCTCTGGTACCACCCTCTATCCCTAACACTCTTGAACATGTTAGCCTAGAGAAGAAGAAGAACCATCTTCTCTAGACAGAGATAGTAAATAATAAATTTATTACATGATGGTTAAAGACTGAGTTTAGAAGTCAGTTAAAAAGGAATATCTTTAAGAATAAATGCTAGGCAGAGTGTTAGAAGCATTTTCACTAGGTTACCTCTATCTAAGATAGGTCTCCAAAGGTTATGTATAAAATATATAGCTAAATTCTTAATCATCTAGCAGATAGCTATTATGGAATATCCTCTATAAATAAATACTTATAAGGGGTTAACTATTAGAGGGTAGCACCTCATTCACAAGATATTAGAAGGCTTATATAAGAAGGGGTATATTAATATATTTATCCCTACAGATTTATTTTATCTCTACTAAGTTCTAGTTATCTTAGGCACATCTAGCCTCTTAAAAACCTATCTTTACTCTATAAGCCTGGATGGAGAGGGTAATTATATTTATTACTACCTTATGACTACTATTTCAACTTATTAAGCACCCTTAGTTTAGTGCCCTTATTAAGATGGCCTAGCTTGCACCATCCTTACCTAAAATCCCTTCTATATATATGGTCTGACATCATCCTTAAGAGATGATTAAAGAATAACAGCAGAATCTTCTTTGCAAGCTTCCTACAGGCACTAAGCTCTCTATTACATTAGATTACTAGATCTTACCCTTTTACCAGGCTTTTATGGCTGTCACAGGCTACTTTATTAATAAGGATTAGAACTATTATGAGATCTTACTTAGCTTTAAACTACTTTACGGTATATATACAGGAGTTAATCTGAGCTTAGTTCTTCTTAACTTACTTTAAAAGTATAGGATTAAGGACCAGGTCTTAACTATTACTACTAATAATACATCTAATAACTCTATATTAGTAGAGAGCATCTAGGGCTCTCTTTAGTCACTTAAGCTACTAAACTAGACACTAATTATTCATATACTATATATAGCATATATTATTTAACTTAGTTTGAAAGAGCTTCTTAGTAGGATGGAAGCAAACCTAAGGAATAAGAGAGAAGAGATAGAATAGACTAAGGAAGAGAATAGGGCTTAGTAAGAGAATTAAGAAATTATATATACTCTTAATAAGGTAAGCTACCCTCTTTAATATTGTCTTAGTTTATACTTATAATATATTAGGTTTAGCAGCTTGTGGTCTATATTAATAAGAGCCCCTAATACTAAGAGGCCTTCCAGAACCTTTAGATAACAGAACTAAAGCTTATACTAATATAGGATGTTAGGACCTACTGGAATTCAACATATCTGATGCTCTAGTGCACTAAATAGCTATAATCTATTTTTAATAGGTTCTGCGCGCAGTATAGTTACCATGATCTATAGCTAAGCTAGGAGGAATGATAGCAGATTAATTATCTTCTTATAATTACTTAGCCATTCTTTATATTTATAACCACCCTCTTAAAGACTAAGGATATTACTATCTATACCATCTTTGGTATCTACAACAAACTTTTTAATTATTTAGAAAGATCTATGGTGTAGCTTGTATAAAAGAAGATTAACTAGAAGGTAGTAATGCTATCTGCCCTAAAGTAAGCTAAGTTAAAGCTATTAGAGTATTATAGCATGACTAATAATATCCATGATAATCTATATATAATTAGTATAATTCTAGCACCATAAAATAAGCTTTACTTCTTTTCTACTAAGGAGTAGGAGCTATGCTGGTACATATAATACTATAAGAGTCTTAAGGATTACCTTATGCCCTACTAATAGTAATATTCAGAACATAGCCCATATCTAATGGCCACTCTTCAGCAGATCAGATCTCTAATATTAATATACTTATCACATCAGCTACATCCTTTCAGCCATAGATAAACACCCATAGCAAGCTTACATAGTATCTTAGAAGCAGTATACTTGTCACGGTGCTGCTGCGAATAGGAGTTGGCATTACTGAGGAGGAATCACATGACCTTGGGAATATCTTCACCGCATAATTCCAAAACCTGCTTAAAGCTCTTTGAGCTACATCCTATCTAAAGAGCCTGCCTGTACCAGCCTCCCTGCAGCCTGGGACTGTTAGATAAGGATTAGTGTAGCCAGCCTGAGTATCAACTACCTCTTTAACCCACCCCTGCTTGCCTGCAAGCCTGCACCTTAACATTATGTAGCTCCTCACCTCAGAGTTGACACTGTCAGAATGCCTGCCCCTCTGCCCCCATTCCTGCCAGGTGCCCCTGAAGAGTTCTCCAAGCACATTGCTAGCTATAGCACTGAATGGTATGAATACTGCTGCCTAGTGTATGAGTACATCCAGAAAGCTAAATTAACCATTAATGAAGCAAACCAACAAGCTGAACAATCCGAGGCCTAATTCCTGGAACTCTAGTGTGAATTCACTGCCTTAGAGCAGAGGCGCGAACAAGAGATTACCAAGCTAAGAGCTATTTAGCAGTACTAGAAGGAGCAACTACATAAGAAAGAACAGCAGTATATGAAGGCTGCTATAGAAAGGGACCAGGCCTGTCGCTTGGCTACCCCTACTGTGAATACGCCCATATCTACGCCTGTGCATAAGCCCGTTGCTAAGAAGCCTGT